TCTGCACAGTAGATAATCTATGCATTGGTCAGCCAGCAATTCTAAACACAGTACTCTGATAACAGATTCACTTTAGAACCACATTGCTACTATCGGTACTATAACTCATCTAGAAATGTTCAATCCACTTGTCACCAAAAAATGGGAAACAATCATAAAAATCGACAAAATTTATTGGACGATCTCTCAGAAATTGCCTTGTTTAATTAAATAATTAATGATCCATCCACTATTGATACAAAAATGCGTTCACCATCGTGACACTATCGTCTTAGCTCTAAAATACTGCCAATAGCAGGATCTTTTCGAGACTTTTTGCAACTCTCTGTCAGACCCACCCCTAGTACCTACCCCTAACGATCTGAAACGACAGAAATAACGAGTTTAACTGCACGTCAGAGTCGATTTTTCGGACCTCGGTGATTAAATGGAATAGCAGTCGGGTAATAAGTTGCAGGATTTCAAGGAACGTTAAATAATTTCCACGCTCGGAGTAGTCCGGTTGGCTAAACAGCGTGGAGAACAGGCAGACCGGCAGAGTGTCACTTGACCCACATTCCGCGAAATATCCCGGCCAAAATCGCGCAACGAGGAACGTGTCTCGCATTTGGAAATCAACCACGACCTAGAAACTTCTCCCGCGCCGTGTTTTCCCCTTTTCCACGATCCTCGGCCGCGGATGCTTCTTTCCGGCGTCGTGCCTCCGTCTCTAGGGGTAGGACAGGGTAGAGTCCGGTCCAGAGAAGTTTCCGGTGCTGTAAAGCCCTGTTTTCGTCTTCACGGCTCGTCCTTTGCCGTTCGAGAATTTACCATGGAAAATCCGCGATTTTCCGCGATATTTCGCGATATTTCATGCTATTCCACGATTTTCCGCGATTTTTCGTGATATTTCGTGATGTTCCACGATATTTCGTAATATGTTGCGATATTCCGCGATTTTTCGCGATATTTCGTAATATGTTGCGATATTCCACGATTTCTCGCGATATTTCGTGATATGTCGTGATATTTCACGATTTTTCGCGATATTTCGCGACTTTTCGTGATATATTATGATATATCGTGATATTCCGCGATTTTCCGCGATATTTTGCGAATTTGGACGACGGGGAGCTTTATTTCTGGTGTGTCAATCGATGTTGATGGAATGATAAAACGATATCTTAGTGTTTAACGTGAACAAGTGTTTATCTTTTCTGTCAGATTTGTGACTTTTTCTTTTTCTTTTTATTTATTTCGTGTCTTTTTTTTTCTTCGTTGTTAGACGTTTGATTGATTTAAAAGTATGACGTAGAGGTAGATGGGATTTGGAGGGGATTTGTAATGTTGCGATTTGAGAAACTTCGAGTCATTTCGAATTTTTGTAGAGTAAAAATTCAGACTGTAGTTAATGATTCGCGAATTTTTATTTTCTTTTTCTTCCTGATTTCTCTGATTTATAGATTGGGATTAAAAATACACTTTATAGAAGAGATTCGAAGCACCATAAGGTGTTATCTCCTTACCCTGTTTTTAATTCTAATTTATAAATCTTAGAGGATAAAGAATGCTCGAAAATTCGCGAATGAGTACTTCGTTTCTTGTCTCGTATCGATGAGTGTATTTGACGAGGAATTCGAGTCACTTCGAATATTATTCAAACCCTAAGAATTTTAAAAATCTTAATAGATTTGGAAGTCTCGAGAATTTTTAATAATTTCTAATAATTTTCCAAAAATTCGAGACTTCGAAGAGTTCTAGGCTGGGAATCGTATTCGAAAACTTGCAGTCGTTTTGGAGTTTGGATTCGAGCACTGTTCGTGTCACTGTTGTACGAAGAAATCGAGAGATATTGGCTTTCCTTGAGTTACCCGGGACATTGGCGAAAGAAGAAATCAACTACGATTATTGCGCGAGGTCTTATGATTTATGAGAAGTTCGCTGGATACTCGGCGAAAGAACGCGACTTTGTCGGAGAGTAGTCATTAATCATCGTGCCGTGAAAAACGTCCGCTTATTTCGGAAGTGAGCGTTCCACGGCTGAAGGAACGTTTCGCAGGGTGCACTTTAAGTTCTCGCCCGCGTGAGAGAGTTTCTTTATGCAGTCCTGAAAGGCTCCGTCATTCCTCGAGTACCGAACCTCTTGTAATTGCTGTAAATTACTTCGAAATTTTCAATCCCCCGTTCCTAATTTTATTTCTTAAAGAAAGTACGAAAAATATTCGAGCGGTGCCCCCGGGAGGACCGAGAATTTCTTTGTACAGCCCTGAAAGCCTCGGTCGTTCGTCGAGTACCGAACCTCCTGCAATTACTATAAATTTCTGAAAAGGATTTTAATTCTAATTTTAATTCGCATTTATTTAAAAGAGAAAAAAAAAGGAACCAACCATTGAAATTATGCTTTTGACGGAAACGAGAATTTTTGTACGTAATCCTGTGAAAGCCTTGTTCATTCGTAAAAACGGAATCTCTTGTACTCGCAATGAATTTCTTTCAAAATTTTAAATCCTCCAGTACCCGGTTCGATGCAATGTAAAAGGAGAAAGAAATATTAAAATTGTAATTACTATAAAGTTTCGGGAAATTTGTTCGCAGTATATGGTTAAATTTAAAGAAAGAAAGTAGAAAAATATGGAGATTCAAATCGTACTCTGGGGAAACCCAGTTTGCTTGGAGCTACGCGAAACCTATACGGTTAATTAAAAGATCCTAATCTGCCAAATGGTCCGCGTTTCATTAATATGAGAACCAGGCGAATCCTCGACTTCCGACCGATGCTGACGATTTCGTTTAAGAAAGCACAGCAGAATTTCTTTGACGAATAATACGATTTCGGGATTACAAGCGAGAAGAAGTTTAATAAAACGGAAGAGAACTAAAGGCGGAATTTAATTTCGGAGCACTTAAACCCTCTGCGAAAGACGGTGATGGAATAAGCCCGACTTCGATCCGTCGAATGGATAATTCCAGGAAAATCGCGAGCAATGGATACACCTTTCATCGACGTCGAATTAAATTACACAGTGCATATAACTTAAATTTGAACATCGGTCGATGAGAAAATATTTCCAACTTTTATCTCTTTTTCTCATTTAAGATTCGAAGCATCTGAAAAATAGAAGATTTTTACGAATTATTTCCCCCTTGTCGAAAAGTATCGGATCTATCAAAGATATTTGTCCGATCAAAAAATATTTCCAATTTTTATTTCTATTTGCATCTAAAATTCGAAGCATCTGAGGAATCAAAGATCGTCCAAAGATTGTCCCTTTCTCGTCAAAAAATGTCAGATCTATCTAAGATATTCATTCGATCAAAAAATATTTCCAACTTTTATCCCTCTTTCTCGCCTAAAATTAGAAGCACTTAAAGAATAGAAGATTATCGCGAGTTGTTCCTTTCTCGTCAAAAAATGTCGAATCTATCTAAGATATTCATTCGATCAAAAAATATTTCCAACTTTTATCCCTCTTTCTCGCCTAAAATTAGAAGCACTTAAAGAATAGAAGATTATCGCGAGTTGTTCCTTTCTCGTCAAAAAATGTCAGATCTATCTAAGATATTCATTCGATCAAAAAATATTTCCAACTTTTATCCCTCTTTCTCGCCTAAAATTAGAAGCACTTAAAGAATAGAAGATTATCGCGAGTTGTTCCTTTCTCGTCGAAAAATATCGGGATCTATCTGAGATATTCATTCGGTTAAAAGCTATTTCCAACTTTTATCTCTCTTCCTCATCTAAGATTCGAAGGCTGTGAAAAATAGAAGATCCTCGCGAGTTGTTCCTTTCTCGTCAAAAAATGTCGGACCTATCCAAGATATTTGCTCGATGAAAAAATATTTCCAATTTTTATCTCTCTTTCTCACCAAAGATTCGAAGCTTCTGAAAAATCGGAGATACCCGCAAATTGTTCCTTTTTCGTGGAAAAATGTCGGATCCATCCAAGGATTCGCGTGGAAAAGGAACTCCTTTATCCCCGAGCATCGCGATTCGACGACACGGGACGAAAATAGCGTAAGAGCGTTTTGACAGGTGAAATCCCGCGGTAGAGAGATATCTTTAGAGGAGATACACTTGCACTCTAGATGCATGCACGTAGATGCCGCGTTTGCTCCATAATAAATGGCATACCGACTAGATACGTCTTAATCTCAACGCGAACATCGATACTGGCCGGGTTCGAGAGTTATCTGGAACAGTTATCGTCTCGTTACTAAATCACTGCTGGCATTTGATTTCTTCTTTTGTACGCGAGTTACGCCGCACACTCGTGTCTATTTCCTCGCGTTCTCCTCTACCGGGAAATCTATTCGTGACCATTCCCGTGGGACACGTTTCCATTGGCCGATAGACGAGATCGATCATGTGCACCGCGGTCGCGGAAATCGATTTCGACGGATACGTGACATACGATCATTCTCGCATCATTCTTTGTACATAAGTCACGCCTCCTTGAGCTTTGATCGACAGAGAGCAGTAGCTTCGAGAACCACATTTAGCCGAGTGCTCGAAACTTTTTACTATCTGCACCGTGGCATATGGACGAAACGGCTTCCGTTGTTCAAACAACGCTCGGAATAAAACTTTCCGAGCTTCGCGTGTAAACAACCGCGCGGAAAAATATCGCAAGCGAACCACGTCTGTCCGTCTCATCCGTATGCTTTAAAAACGCATCCGTAAATGTCCTTGCACGTCACGGGCTAAAGGAAGGCGATTACGAATCCTCGTAATTGAATAAAAAGATTTACAAACATCCCTCTACCGAGAGACTCCGACAGAGATAAAGAGAAAATGAGACGACGATACTATCCCGTGATCATAGCTACGCGTTTCCGATCATTCGAAAGTCTCGATGGGAAAATAGAAGGAAAATTGGAATGCTTATTGGCGAAGCGTGCAAGGACTTTTACGAAGCGCGGGAAGAGGACGCGTTAGTACCGTTTCTCCGCTAGGACATCCTGTCTGGTCTGTCTTGGAGCTTGCTTGAGCCTTGCATGGCGGGTCATGGTTCCTGTTTCAGGCCGCGGCAGCAGCAGCTGCAGCGTCACCGTTGCTGAAGACGCCCCTCTCGACGGCGCAGCAGGCCACCTACGCAGCTGCAGCGACCTACACGGCAGTGGCTGCGCGCGCATACAGCGCAGCTGCAGCTGCGGCACAACCGGTCGCAGGATATGCCGCAGTCGCGGGGTAAGCGCACCACTACTCCCGTCGACGGCCTCCTCCGCGTTATCCCTCGGGCTCTACTCTCCTACCTTCTTCCTCTAACTTATCTCTACCCCTTACGGTCTTCGACGTCGCGTCTACCTCTTTCTCCGGCAGACGTGCTTTCCAGCGGACCCCACCGATCGATGGGCAGATTATGGTTCTTTGGGACGGGTGTCCGGCGTTATTTCCCGCTTTTCCGCGGAATTAATCGCTCAACCACTCGCACCCGAGGACCTTCTCTCGCACGGGAGAGTATCGACTGGAAGATTCTCCGCTGTAAACCTTCTATGTACTTCATGTTTCTTCTGACATTCCGTGCACTACATTCCGTTGCGTTATTTTTAAGTTAACGTTAATTATAGATTTCTGACGTTACGTCGAGCGCAACAGTTTCAAGATCTCGCAGTGCAACTGTACTTTTATTTTTACCCGTTCTATTGACCGTAAGGGGTGACGCGAAATTACGAAGCAGATCCTGTGATGACGATTATCGTTTGAATCTACCTTTAGATTTATCGACGTTCACCAAGAGACCTTTCCTCCCAGACGAATCCGTCGTCGTGGTCGAGCTCTCAGGAGTCGCAGATACATCGAATGCTACCCACCTGATGATAGTCCTATCGATAAACCTGACTATCCTACTCGTAATCCTTAGACAGATCCTGAGTATGTATGTCCTTGGTTTATTCGTTTCTTCTTCGTCCTTCCACTTTCGCAATTCTTGCATCGTTCCCGAACGTGCAGCGAGCAGGTACAGATGATGAAACGGATGTTTAATATGCTCATGCGTTGATGTTACAGTTACGGGCGTGAGTACGCCGATCCCTACATTGGACATGGTATTGGACCAGTAGCCGGCTATGGGGTAAATGCAATTTTCATTTCTCCAAATAAATGTCCACCTAGTTGCCGATAAAATGACAAACGGGGGACCGAGTCTTCCGATTTTTCGTGCAATCGATAACAAGTAGTTGATACTAACTCAGCATGGTTGCGAATGTTTTCATTTGCATATTGTCGTAACGCTTCAGGATTATCGAAATTAATCGAAATGGAATGTTGGTTAATCGAGGAATTATGTTGGTTCACAGGCGACCGTGTACAGGGGCGGCTACAACAGGTTCACGCCATATTAAGGATCGTCAGATATCGAAGCGCGAGCCTTCCAAGTACACCGTTATACTCAGCTGAACATGACCAGAACAAAAAGAAATCGACACAATCATCATCGTCATCCGCCATCGATCACGATCACCCCACGAAGCGATGCCTGGATCCTCCGCGCATGCTGACGCTAGCCTTCTTCGTAGCACCGACACGAGATCGTCGACTTCGGCTCTCGTCGACGCGGAACGGAAGCCAAACTTTCGTCGGGAACCATCCGGCCATCGTGCACGTCGTTCCAGTGGAGTCCGGGCTACCGAGTTCGACTACGGGGATGCCACGCTGTAGATTTAGAAATAGAGATTTGATTAAGAGAAACGCCTTCGAAACGGACAGTTGCGTGGACCTGGATAGATGACAGGGAAAACGAGGAAAGAGGAATGAGTGATCGTACGAATGAACGACCGGCAGGGAAAGGAACGAAAGATCGCGAAAGAATGATATAGGAGGCTCGGAATTGGAATTAGGTTTAAAGCGTGCTTGAAGTTCGAGATAGTTCTCGATTGGGGTTGCGAGCGGTCGACCAGACGACAAAGGTCCACTGAAGCGTCGTCGAACTTTCGAACCCTGATCGATAATCGGCGGAGAGGGTTGAGCGAGAGAGAGTGTGAGAGAGGGAGAGGCAGAGGGGATGGGAGACAGGGAATTGGTAAACTGAATTAGCAGACAAAGAGGACCGGTTAAATTGAATTTTACCGAAAACATGCTAAACATTCGACCGAGCCGAATCGATTGTAACAAGAGAGAGCGACGCGGGGGTGAAATTTGTTAGGGTGTTGGATGAGAACAGGTCCGTTCGAAGCATTCCAGGGTTGTTCTGGTGAAAATTCGTGTAAGGAAACGTGGCATCGCTTGGTTAAATTGATCCATTCGTCTGTGAGTTCGGACCCGGCAGCCATTACGACTTTGCCAAGTGGAATGACAGGGGAAACGTGTCGAATATAGCTGGTGTACGTGTATATATACTTGTGTATATACATATATATACATTATATATATATATATAGGTAGATAGATATAGATAATTGATCTCTCTAGAAATCAATTGTAATTATGCAATTCGTTGCTCGTGCACGTTTCTATAATCGTTGGGGAAACTTTTAAGCGCGTTCCGGGCAAGAATTTTTATCACGAATGTAAACGGGGGTATTTTAATCGCATACATGTTACGTATCATTGTACTATAATTTCACTGAAATCCGAGAGGCAAATTGATAAACACGCATACACGAAATAGAGGAATTCTGTACATAATTCGTTGATTTCGTGGCTAGAGAAATTGAAGCACGCGAACAACGATCGGGACACGGAATGTAAATCGGTAACGAGCATACGATCGTTACGTTTTGTATCTTTGTTTTTTTCCCCATTTTTCTGCTTTTCTTTCTTTTGTTTTCCTTTTTTCGAAGCATTTTCCCGCGATGCGCGTAGTCACTCGGTGGAAAGATTCTCGCGGAAACTCTGCGAACGTCGAATCGAAAACAGCAATTATCGCGAGACGCGTGACAAGTGGAACAAGATGGAGGGAGCTCTCGCAAATGGCTGCCGGAAAGGAACTCTTGCTTCGTGTCGACGAGGTAAACGCGACTTCCGGTGACAAGCGTCAGTCGACAGACTCGGTGATCCGCGACAAAGCGCGAGACCCTTTTTAGGTAGCTAGGCAAGAGATAGAGAGAGGGAATACAGAAGCGACGAGAGCGACGAAGCAGATACGCGTGACCGGTAGGGTTTCTATGCCAAATATGTGTGTGTCTATGTTGCGCTCGCGGGCGCGCGTGTGTGTGCGTAGATTCGCGAACCGAACCGCGGATGTAGAGTGTAGAGTAGTGTTATGGCAACGGAAGGGAGAGAGAACCCCTTGGACAACCTCTGACAAAGCCAGATTCTGGGTAACAGGATCTAGTCAAATCAGTCTCTACCGGTTCCTAATCGAGATTCTAACGATGTAACGCAGCTTTCTCTGAATACTCACGGCCTCGTCGACGGCCCCATTGGAAAATCGAACGTGGCAGCCTTTGTTTTAAGAATTGGGAATTTTCTAGGGATGGTAGGTTTTTTGGGGATGACGGAGATTGTCGATCGAGGTGTCTACGCTCTCTTATTTTCTCAAATTACTTTTCATTCGCGGAATTGGATATCGGAGTAGGAATTAATTTGCGCCGTTTAGTCGTCCGATTGTATAATCGTGTAAGCGCGAAATTCTATTTTAGAGCATCGATTCGTGGAACGTGCAATTCCAATTCCTCGGTAGTCAAACTGTCGACGAGATTCTAATAACGCTTCTCGTCGGGGACTACGTTGCGATTCGTTTAAATTCGACGAGGCAATTGTAACGCAGCTGAAATCGAGTGATCGAGAACGCCGAAATTAATAGACTGATCCTCTGAACTTCGAAGGAATTTTTAGAACAGCGCCGAGTTCGCATGGTACATCCAATATTGTTTGTCAACTGATTGAATTAACCCTGATCCACCGAACATTTATTTCGCTTCTCTCTATTCTCGCGTGCATACCGTTTCGTCACTTTATATTCAAGCAAACGATCAACCATACGTGGTCGTTGGAGTTTAAAGTTCCTCGAGTTTCTATCGCGTTCTCGATCACAGGATCTGATTCATTCTTGGTATCCGCTTCTCGATCGATCAGATAAATCGGCCGCGAAAGTTTCGTTCTTCTTTTCCCTTTATTTCTTTTCAAACGTAATCGCGAAGGTAAACGAGGGAATGATAAAAATAAAAATCGAGAAACAGAGAGAGAGAGGGAGAGAGAGAGAGAGAGAGAGAGGGAGAGAGAGAGACTCACACACAAACACAGACACACATAAACACACAGAGTACTCCGAGAGGGGGCGGGGGGGTAAGAGAAGAAATGCGAAAGGGAAATGGTACGCACATTGAGCCGAGTGAGTGATAATCCCTGTTAAAACAAAAAAAGTTCTAGTTAAGTGGAGATTTATCGTAATAAATATATACATATATAAATATATATATAAATAAATATATAGGTAAGTCGTTGCGTGACTCAACGTGGAGCGTAAGTGAGAAGGAATGCGAGTGGCCACGAGTGAATGAACTTGAGAGTGAAAGAGAGAAACAGAAAGAGAAACAGGCGAGAAAAGGAAACGACAAAACGCGAGAAACAAACGGTCAAGAGAATGAAACGCGATGGATAACGAGGGGAAAACAAATAACACAAAGAGTCGTGTGAAATAGCCAAATATGACAAAGATGTTCTTTTCCTTTCTTTTCTTTTTTCTTTTTTTTCTTCTTCTACTTCTATTCTTCTTTTGTTCTTTTTTTCTACATAGATAGCGCGACAGGGCTAGCGTACTGTCGTCGATTACGTTTTAAACTCTAATCTATCGTTAGGATAGGTCTCTAGGCTAGGATGAGAGGCAAAGAGGCCGGCGGCCAGGTTCGCCGCGCGTGAACCAAGATGGCCGCCGGTGAGAAGATCATATTCTCATTTTCGTTTGCGTGTGCGAGCGCCAGTACATGTAAATAACATACTACGATTAGGGATCGACTGTAATCGATTTCGTCGAGCACAAAAGGATTAATTCACGGGACATTCCCGTCTTAGGAGCTAAACCGAACAACTCAGAACATACTCATTGATTCTTGTAACGTTAAATTAACAAGCGTAGATTTTAAAGCAGAAACTATACGAACGAGGAAAGAGATGGAAGAGAGAGTGCTGAGAGAAACGCGAGATATGCTAGTGATACACGAGAATGTTCGCATCCCGGTGGAAGGGCGAGAGAGTGAGAGAGAGAACCGGAAGTGAAGTTCTCGAAGATTCTCTGTTCGAGCGCAAGTAACGTTCCCCGAGACGAGGAGAAAGCCCTCTTCTTCGAACCTCGACCGCCTCTACGCGATTGTTCCTCTATCAACGAGCACGTTTTTCATATACGTAAGGCACCCGAAACTCGTGCGCTTGAAGATGATATATTGATATTACAAAGGATACGCTCTGACGGTGTTCGTTCGCGGAGGAACTCGCGTGAGGCGAGGGAACCAGGCGAGAAAGATCTATCACTGTATATTGTACACTGTAATTACAATTTATACTTACTCGTAATCGATACCTTTATCGGTAGGCTATTACAACTAGTGGCTAGCGTAAGTCAAGCTCAAATCTAGGCGAGACCCATCGTCTTCGCGTCTTATTCTTCGTCACGAGTGCACAACTCCCCCCGATATTCCTCCTCTTGTTCCGGACTTTTATCGTTTTTTCAAGCGTGTTCTCCGATTGCGTACGCAGGCCTATCGTACACGATTTCCCGATGGATTCACGGCTACCGCAGCCGCCATCGGGCTCTATTTTTCTTTCGTTTCGTTTCTTTTCCACTGTGATTCCTTTCTTCGGTTGCTTGTTCGTTTCTTTGCCGAGGATCGTCGACAAAGATATTCCCGGGGACCTCGCGGAACCGGTAACGCGTCCCGTGCGATCGACCAATCGTATCTATGCTCCGAATTGTACGATACTCAATTTGCAAAATCGATTCGATCGTTTAGTTGTAATAGTTTATTTCCAAGTGACTCCCGAGTCTCTTGGGACGCTTCGTGAAACTGTAAATCACCTGGGCGAGTTCAGTGTACGGAAGAGACGGAGAAAATTCGTGATCGACGATATATTGTAGCGAAAGACACTCGAGATGACCGTTTTAGATTGGAATACGTGTTTTTGAATGAAATTCGAAAGTTGACTGTAAATAGTTACGTGTACTCTTAAAGAAACCTCGCTTCGTCTCTTCTCTGCACCGAACTCGATCTCGAAACTCGTTTCGCGGAACGTCCCGTGTATTTATCTAGAGGCCAGGGAGCGAGTAGATCCAGGGATAAGGAATGAATTGCTGTACAGAGAAAAAGCTGTAACGAAATTAGGTGGTAGCCAGGGACGAATAGATTAGAGTAGTATCTGTTTCCGAGTCTCTTAGAAGAAACGAGAACTCGTCTCGACGATAGAACCACAGATACTAGTCTTCTTCGTAGAACTAATTTATATCGTATTCGTTAAAATGCTTCGCGCGTAACAACGCACGTAGAATCCTCTCTCTCTGCGAATTGTACAAAAACATGGACTGCGTAATTGTAATATTCACGATTCGATCGTCGATCGCACTCTAGCGGACGCTTCCGGGCGAGAGAAATCGAGGTGCCCCGGCGAAACTTTGAAGAGGAAAAGAAGTTAAAAAAAAAAAGATAAAAATATATTGCGAGAAAAATGGAAATTAGCCAAACGCGAGACGGAGTCGCGGAATTTGAAGCTCCAGGTAGCACCGTTTCGATATTCACCCCTTTGTGCCCACGTGTCATTATGTTTTCTTCGTTGAAACCGCGTACGTTCTCGAGTGCTAGCGGGATAATCGCATTGTAAAATAATCCAATACGATCGATACGCACCGTAACGTTATACATATATAAATATATGATTCTACTCTAATTATTATTAAAGGCAGTACCGTAAACGGGATTTTTAAAGTGAATCTAGATGACTACATGACTTACGTAAACGACACATCTTACGAGCAACATATCCTAGCGTACTAGGCGGCGTCGTGGCCCGTTCCGCTCCGGATCCTCGCGGATCCTCCGCTCGCCATCGTCGCGATTCGCGCGCGCGCGCGACAACGCACATTTCCGCTCTCTTATCCCGGGCCCGGAAAACCCTCTGGGGCGGGCCCCTCTCGTCGGAGGGGTCCCTTGGCCGCGCTCTACGAACCGCGAGGCCAGCACCGTGCAGGATCCGGGGCGCGACACGCGGCCATCTTCTTTTTTCGAATTATCGCGACGGGAAGAGAGGGAAGAAAGCGAGAAAAAGAAGAAAATGATTAAAAAATTAAGAAGTAAGGGATGTTCCATGACATTAGGGCGTTATTACGATAATAAGTCTATCTTCTTAGAGTCGTGAGTGTATGGGTGATATATGGAGAGACGATATGTGTCCGTGTATCGTGTGCTGAATGGGCGTGATGATGCTTTTGGCCCTCGTCGAATCGGCGCGAAAATGGACGGCGAGTTCTCGAATGGTTGGATGTGTCGGCTATGAATGGTAACAACTGGTGAGATTGATTCGAGAATCCGTAGGTGGTAGCGCGCGATTCGATTGGTCGAAATACAAACCGGAGGAACGATAGTAATAACGTTTCGGCAAACGAGGATACGAGAAAAAAGCAGAAAATACGTGGAGAATGATAAAGGAGGGAAAACGGAGGGAAAAGATGAATGCAAAATAGAGAACATCGTATAAAAGCTAAATGCCACCTGTTTTTCGCTTCTCTCGCAGTGTAAAACGGATTCGCAACGGGAGACGCGTGCGACCGCCATCGGTTTCCGGCTGCGAATCGACCACGGGGACGAGAAAAAAAAAAAGAAAAAAAAAAGATAAATAAATAAAATAATATGCTGAAGCAGGCGAAAGCGACATTTACGTCGAGGAAACGCAGGTGAGTCTAGGCGTTACTCGCACATCCGCGGAACACATTCACACGCGACGGAAATTCGACGACGAGAGGTATCGATGAGATCCGCAGGAGAGGAAAGCAGAAAAGCAAAAAATAAAAAAATAAAAAAAAAAAAAATACATGAATTAAATATAACGAAACGTCAGGTACATGAGATAAAAAGAAAAAAGAAAAAAACAAAAAAATCGAGAGAACAAGAATACGATCAACTCGAAACTTTAGTTGCAAAATACTGATAGGAGTACACGGGGTGTCGTTCGGAACACCTTTATCATTGTCTGATTTGATGATATTTTGTAAGTCTGGACCAGTTGTTAGGTTCTTATTACTCCCATAGCGACTTCTTATGGCGTATTTTCTCTGTATATTGTCAATGTTTATTATTAAATATTTTTCAAATAAACCACCGTCTCCCTTTCATTGCTCCAAACATCGGGCGAGGTGAGGTGTCGTCACCTGTGCGTCTCGATCGCTCGAAAATCGAGGATCAGAGCCGAGGAGATGTAAGGTAACTGGAAAGAACGAGTGGAGGATAAATTTACTCGTCCGGTTAAGAATTCTCCATTTGGGATTAGAATAAAGAAGCGAGATAAGATACAGATACCGTCCGGGTTAACGCGAAGGCGGAACCGATCTCGCAGCTGGCAGAATCTCGTTGGACCTCTTCGCCAGTTTCGCCGTAGTTAAATTCCGTCGCGACGCGTCCCGTGATGGAAAAAGACCTCGGGCGGCCAAGGGGGCAGACCCGGAGGAATTCGCTTTTCTAGGACGGCCGGCTTACGTTTCCGGTGAAAGAAGAGTTAGCTGCCAGCAGAGCCGAGATCTTTTTTTTCCCCAGTGACTCATCGCGCACATGGAATTACTATTCGCTCTCTGTGTTCGACATTCGGCCCTGTGATCTGTCAGTAAGCCGCGGACCGTCAAGCAGAAAGCACGCGTGCTCCTCTCCGCGAGCGACCGACGCGCACGTGCGTGACCAGGAATACCGATTCGAAGCCGGCAAGTGGTTCCTGGGCCCATCGCGACTCCAGCATCCCGATGAACTGGTTGGAGGTGCGCCCTTAAGTCACACGCTTCACATTTTCTCGCTTGTCATCTTCTTGTCACGTCGGCACTACTTGCAATATTTCTTTTTAACTTTCTTCTTTTTCTTGTCTCGTGAGTCGTGACTATGAATTTATTACTCGCGAGTATTTTGAATATTCTTTTTTACTCATTTTCTCTCCTTTTTCGGGTGTCGTGATTGTAGATTTATTGTAGACGAGTATTTGAAATATCTTTTTTAACTCTTCTCCTCATGTCGTGACTGTAGATTTATTTTGGAATATTTTTTTCTTAATTTTTCGTCTTTCGTCACGTGAGTCGTGGCTGTGAATTTATTATGAGGGCTTGGAATAATTTTTGTCTTTTTTATTTTTCTTCTTATTTGGAAAAGTATTCATTTCTATGGTGACGAATTTCTTGTTCTTTTTAGATGATTTAACGAATGATTGTTTAGTGGTGATAATGGTAAATTACATGATATATTTTGTAACGTATCGTGGTCAGTTGATGACAAGTATTACCTTCGATATTGAAATATTACTCGATGTAAATCCATCGATGTAAAATTCATGGAAATTAATATGTATAAGAGAGCGATATAAAAAGAACTTTAAGTCAGTCTTCTCTTTATTATTCGTGACTGCGAAGTTATTGCAGGCGAATACTTAAATCACTTTTTGATTTTATTTTTCTTTGATTCTTGTTATTAGAAGGAATAATAATTTAAACGGTATGAAACCTTTTTTCCAATGGAACTTAGTAATATACATAATAATTTAATAACTCTTTAGTAAATTTTTTAATATACAGTTGTCACCTAATGCCAAGTATTAAGTTCGACATTGAAAAGATAATTTGATGCAAATTAATTTATGTAGAATTCATGAAGAATTCTTTGTTTACGTATAAGATAGTAGTATTTGAATGATATACCAGGTTCGAAACACGCCGTTATTCGATCTCACTCATCCCACCACAAACTCTAAAATACGTTAAGAAACGCTCTCCTTCACTTTTCATAAATGAAACCCACTCTGAACCCGACCAAAATTTCGTTTACTCCGTCTATCAATACCGTTCCAAGTTTACATAACGCGAACAACTCTCGCCGCTTTCGACATCCACAGGTCGATACATGTATCGAGCAGGCCCCATCAACGTAAAAATCTGTCAATCCGAACGAACCGTTGAAACTTAAAAATCTCCTTGCTATAGGCACCATACCTAATCTGTCTACGCGGATTCGTCATCGCTTCGCAAGGTGACGTAAGTAAAAATTCGTTCATCCGAATACCAATCGTTTCGTACGGTGGCCACGAAAGCACCAGGCCAAGCACCTCCGACGGAAATCTTACGTCGGTGGATCGCGTTAAGATCGTGGAAATAATTTGATCAGGCGTCGGAAAAGTTAATGAATTTTACGGGAACGCGAAAGTGAAGGCTCTGAAACAGTGGGCCGTACGAGGAAACGGGACGTAAATCATCGGTCGAACGGTGGCATAACAGAAACGCGGGGCAGTGGAGTGGCCGTATAAATTATGGTAACGAGCCGCGTCGAGGAATTCCGGCTGTGGACACGTAAGTGTTGTTACTTTACTTCGGGACTTAGCATATCGCCTATACCGGCAACCGTGAATTTCAATTAATCGCTTATTCAATGAACGCGTCGATAAGAACGTTTCCGTGTAAACGCGAGCCCGCTCCGTCGATCCCTCTTTGCATTTTCCATCGCGAGCGGACAGAGCGTGGCGGACGCTGACAAATAATCCCCGAGATCGCCGAATCGGGGAAGGAATTCGCTTTTCGTCTGGTCACATGAATGAACGTGGAAGTTTCGGTCGACGTCGCCTGCGGACTAATCGACCCTTCGCATGGGCCGTTACACGAAACCCGCCACGGAAGCGCGGGGTACTAATTTAAACCATTAAGGGGGTAAGTCTGTTCGCGAGGCCACTGTTAAACGCGATTCAATTTAGGGTCCCTTGGGTTACGGCTATGATAAAAAGCGTCTCCTTCTGTTTCATCTTCGAGCGAAATGGAATTTTATTTAATTAAACGCTGCATTCCCCAAACGATTTTCCCACGAGTGTTCAGTGATAGCTTAGGTTATTCGGTGGTGGTATGACAAATTTTATGGAATTGGCGCTTTTCACGTCGAAATCGTTTAATTAATATTAAATTAGCAGTGGATACCGCGATTTATTCTCATCTTCTTTGGAAGACCGTGGTCACCTTGGAATGAGGTTACCTAGGGTCTGTCTCCTCCGAATTTTTCATTTAAATATTCGCGAGTGATTCGAGCATTACAAGATGGACACTTTCGCGAGTAAAAATTTCCGAAGTTAACGATTTAATGTCCAAAGAAACGAAACGTCAGTGTATTAACTATTACTGGCAACTATGCTGCTCGTAATAGCAAACAACTTTCGTTCCAGATGTTTCCACATAACTAACGCTTTATAAATAATTTTGCTCGACGCAGTTGAACCAAAACTCGCTCTATACATCTGCCTATTTCCATAATCTCTGAAAATAAACGTATTGTACCGGAGTTGGGTTAAATAAACCGGCTAGAGAAACTAACAAACTGAGGAACAATGACGCGATAGGATATTTAATGAATGATGTCAAACTGCAAGAAGAAATTGGAATTCCTACGTTAAAAATAATTATTTCGAAGAAAGATTTCATCAAGAGAATTGGAAAATTTGTCGAACATTGTATGAAGACTCTAAGATATGCCAATTACCAGTTATCTCCTGCTTAAGAGTGTTTGTTTGTCGCTTTCTACGAGTCTTCCTGTAGCACTTTAAATTTCCGTTCAGAGAAACAACTAGGAGATAACTATTTAAGTTTCCTCTTCCTTTCTTTCGTCTTGAAAAGACAGAAGTCTAGCTGTGAAAATTGACACAGTATCGAGTACCGATCGAGATGCATGAAATAAAGCAGTACACATAAAAATACCGCGATTCAGAATTATTTCTTCGTTTCTTTATTGCTGCGTGATTGGCCCAATAATATAAGGATCTCGCGACACACTAAAGCGATATAATAAATTACTAAATATACGTCAGAGATGTAAAGATAACCAGCACGGTAGCTCACAGTCGCGATGAATTATTCGCAAGGTGCAATCTGTACGCTGTAAACTCGGGCGAGGAAAGTTAAAAAGAAATACAAGCAACGAAATATTTTTAGGCAAAAACCGAGGAACGATGTCTGGCTATCATGAGTGTCTAGGAACCCCTTCAGCTTGACCCCACCGAGATGGACTTCTGCAAGAGCCACAGGTTCCTCCGCGTTCTTCCGCAACCCCGAAGACGCGTGGTGTGGTCCTGGCGAGCGGAGAACAGCACGTACTTCCGGTTCACGGAGAACGACGACATCGAGGAGTGCCTGGTGGAGCTCGTCAACGTCTCCGTCCCACTTGTCGCGATTCTCGTCGCGTTAATCGTCGTTCTACGATACAAGTGCAGCAAACAGCCGAAGTGAGTACGCGTGAAAAGCAACGCTTACCCGAGATTCCAATTCCGCGATCGATTGAGAGATCTACAGTGATCGATGAGGGCAATTACAAGCGCGCGCTCGAAAGTCACTTTCTAAGATACCTCGCGGCGGGTTTTGCATGTTTAACAGAAACATCGTTCGGCTGATAACACCACTTTTATTTCTACACGGTCACCGATATTCTCGCCGATAATGTCGCTTCTGGCACGATAAGATTCGACTGTTTACGAGGACAGAGGTATTCACTATGGCTGCGATGCGTCGTCGGCCTCGTGAGAACGTGTTTCGAATTTTTAATTCGCACTCCAGGATAAACCTATCGCGACCGGTCAGATGATATCACGGCGAGGAAACGCAGGCAGAAAAATCTCAACAGAGGCGCTGTAAAAGGAACATTGAAACACTGATTATACGCTGTTCGACATGCCTAAGCAATATCAGGAGTGTGACAAATGATACGCGTGTCTCTCCGATGATTTATTCATTTATTTATTGAAACTTACGGGTAAAGTTCTTGTTATTTTTAATACAGTGATATGTAGGGATTTTTGCTGAATTAATTCTATGCAGACGAAGCTCTGGGCGTCTAATAAACAACAACCCCTTTTTAATAACAAAACAGATTTATTTAACTAAAATATTGCATTAAGTTTCTCTCGATTCTAACTCTCAAACACACGATCCTCTATTCATTACGTCTCGACTTTGATTTCTGCCTTCTGCGCTCTTGCACCCTTATTTAAAGGGTGCAACTCCCTCTTTTCATACACAAGCTCTCTTCGTTGAGCACTCATTTCCCACGCAACCTCGCCTTTGGTGGGCCAGGTACTTCAGACACTCGGATGCATTCCTAGACTTTCGTTCATTGCTTGCACTCGACCCAGTCATAAATATCTCATCGGTACAGTCCTCGCACGTAGTCACCCATCCGCATGCACTCCAGACATCGTAATAAACGCTTAAGTCGAAACCGATGCCCTTTATTATTCCCTTCCTAGAGTCCTTCGCTACTCGCAACCTCGCAGATATAAAATATGCACACACCAAATAGGAAAAAGAGGAAAATCTATACAGCAGACGATAACAGATACAACACTATACACCAAGTTACATGGAAGAAATAAAATTAAGTAGAACAGGATTACGTAATAATAAATAATTCCACGAAATTGTGACAACGTATTGTTATGTGGTCCCTAACAGTTTGAACAATTCGGCCTTAAAACTGATAGTATTATTAGAAAAAGAGTTAACTTTTGTAAATCTCATCAATGCTGCAAATTCAAGAAAATAGAAGACTGAAACGGCTCTGGCCAATAGACCTCAAATGAGGATCAGGAGAGGCTCTCGCTGGAGAGGCTCTCATTATGCCATGTGGAATTGTGGTTCCTATAATATCTATTCAGCTCATGGGACACTCAGTTCCGATTTCCGAAGAAAAAAGGAAAAATAAAAAATTTTGTAAAGAAACGATTTGCCAAGTTGCAATGAATGTCAATCCTTTGCACTCGGCGATTCTTTCGTTACAGGGAAATGATAATTCGAAGACTTTCTGCCTTAAAGTAACGGTAAATAAGAAATCGTATGCAAATTAGGACGTAAAATTATTTTACTTCGATATTCCACGCATCGTTGGGTAATTGTAAATTATTATATATTAATTAACATCCATCTTATAATCTGATTAAATGGCGACTGAGAGACGTCTCTCGACTGCAAAGGGTTAAAATTTGACAGGGCTAAGAGCTCTGGACAGTTAACTTCATCATTTATGCTGTCCCTCTTCGTATCAAACGATTTTTGTCTTCGCGGTTGTTTTCTGTAACGTATCTCGGTGTTCGGATAATACAGACACCCTGTATATCAGGAGGAAAATTGATCAGAGCGATGAGGTTGAATGTTTAATCGTAAAATCGATCGTTTAGTCAGTTTAGTGTTAAGACACGAGGCTAGAAGATGGTTGCTTGGCTAGGTTCAATTGAGGCAACCTTCAATTAAGCGAAATGTTTCACGTTTGGGATGTCCCATGATTCAGAGGGGTTACCGTTCCATCCGAGCAATTTACTTCAATTAATGCGGCAAAAGTTTATCGAGCCTGTTAATTTCTTCGCCTCTGCTTGACCCTCGTACGAGGAATTGTAACGCGATTTATGGCTTCTCGAGCGATAAATTTGGCAAGCAATTAAAAGTAGCATCGGAGAACAGTGGAGTTGGGAATTTTGAAAGCGTGGAACGAATTTCCGATTAACCGGGAAGTGAATAATTGCTTTTCTTCTTGGGAACTTCGTGGTTTATTTGCACGTGTTAAACAAACGCAGTGCTTGCTTGTTCTGAGAAGTAACGTTAGGTCCACGAAACTGAAATTTGTTTTCCATATCGTGTGCGTCGCTTCAGTTCCTGCTTCATTCTCCCACAAATCAAAAACGCGACAAACATAACAGCTTTTGACGTTTTCTCGGTACCGCTTATCTGCTTTACCGATAGTTTGCTTTATTCGTGGTATTCAGGTTTATTAGGCAAAAATTTTGTTTCGATACCGAGGTTCAGAATGTTCTTTAATTAAAATTATTATCATTTATATGTTCATTGGTAAGTTCTGGAAGATCAACAACTTTGCAGAAGCTTTGAGCCTCGATATTAAAATTCAGAATCTTATTTAATTATTACTCCAACGTAATTAATTACCATTTATTTATTCCCTAGTAACTTTTACTAAAAGGTCAGCAACTTTATAGAAACTTTTAGCCTCGATATTAAAATTCAAAAGCTTCTTTAATTATTACTTCGGCATAATTAATTCTCATTTATATATATGCACTAGTAGCTTTTAATAAAAGATCAACAACCTAGTGAAAGCTTCTAAGACTCGATATTAAAATTCAAAATCTTATTCAATTATTATTTCGATATAATTAATTACCATTTACATATTCCCTAGCAACTTTTACCGAAAGATCAACAACTTGGCAAAAGCTTTTGACTTGCGATATTAAAATTCGAAATCTTATTCAATTATTTCTTCAGCATAATTAATTCTCATTTATATATTCCCTAGTAACTTTTGCTGGAAGATCAACAACTTCGCTAAAGTTTTTGAGACTTGATATTAAAATTCAAAATCTTATTCAATTAATTCTCATTTATACGTTCCCTAATAACATCTAATAAATATTAACAACTTAGCAAAAATATTTGATCTTCTATATTAAAATTCTTAATCTTTTTCAATTATTATTTCACCATAATTAATTCTCGTTTATATACATGCACCAATAGCCTTTAATAAATGATCAAAAACTTAGCAAAGATTATCAAGCCCAGATATTAAAATTCGAAATCTTACTCAATTATTATCGTACTTCAGCATAATTAATTTTCATTTATACATTCCCTAATAACATCTAATAAATATTAACAACTTAGCAAAAATATTTGATGCTCGATATTAAAATTCATAATCTTTTTCAATTATTATTTCACCATAATTAATTCTCGTTTATATACATGCATTAGTAGCTTTTAATAAAAGACAAGAATTTAGCAAAGTCTATCGAACCCCGATATTAAAATTCGAAATCTTCTCCAATTATTACTTCGACGTAATTAATTCTCATTTATGTATTCTACTAGTAACTTCTACTAAAGGATCAATAACCCAGAAACACCTCTTCTCCCCCGGTAATAAAACTTAAAATATTCCTCGTTTATTAATAAAGATTAATCGTCACCTATATTTATCGGCACTAAAAAAAATGAATCGCTAAAAAAAAAAATCCCGACACGGCAAAAATATCCTGCGCTAATAACTCCCATTATGAATTCAACTACTATTGAAACCTGCTTCGCGCCAGTATCGCATTTAAAAATATTTCTCACTAGTTACCATGGTGAAATTAACCATCGTCTACGCGGGCATTAAAGAAGTACCCACTGTAAGGTATCCTCTAAAATTACACCGTAAAAAGCACGCTTTGCAGAAGCAAAGCGAAAGGTGGAAGAAAATTGCCAGCCATAATCCCAAATGAAAATATCAACGTTCCCGTTAACCGCGCTTCTTGCAACTCCGCGCGGCTTAAACGGATCGCCAGTAGGCCCGGATTAATTACTCGAATAATTTATAACACGTGCTTCTGTAGGGTGTTAGAACACCTACGTACGACTCTCCTTCCCGCTTTGCGTCACGTTCGTGGAATCTTAATGGAGCCGAATGAGATGGACGCTGGGTTTATCCTTGCTCGTTCGCTGGAAAATCAATAGCAATTGCAGGCTGCCTCCTTAAACTCCATCGGTTCTTTTCAAGGGAGCGTTTAATCCAGGGATTATCCGTCTGAAACCCCAAGAGAACGGACGATCGAATGGACCGAGGCTGAGGAGCAGGATCGAGGGAATAAATTTGTCGAACGTTCGAGAGCAAAGTCGATCAATTTCTAGTAGGTGATGCGAGAAAACTTGGTACTCCCGTTTAACGAAGGTGGTAATTACCTGGTAATTAGCTGGTCGATTTGCTTCAAGTTTTACTCCACTTGGGTCCATTTCGTGCGAAAACTGGATCAACGCAGGATCCAGCTTGCTCGTCTATCTCGCTCCAGAGGTAGATCATTTCCTTGTAATTGGGGGTTTGTCGAAGATGTATTGGTCGGGAATAAGCATGCACCGATCGTAGACGCGTCGAAGCGCTGTATTTAAGCAGCTTAATATATGATAATAACCATGATCGCGAGATCGATACAGATATTCAAATTTCCTTCGATTAACAGATGTCGTGAAATTGAAATCTCTTCTAATGCCCACGAAAACACGCGTTTCTTTCATACTCTTTTGATGCAGAGATTGCAGGAGTCTACTGCCATTTCATGTAACGAGGACACTCTTGTGCATGGCAGTGTTAACAGTGCTTTTTCTGGAGCTCTGCGAGTCCCTGCTCACGTCGATCTCTTGCTCCTCGATCCTTACGATCGTAGCCACCCTTTGCTGCTGGATCCTTCACAGGGAGACCGAGGTCAGAAGTGGTTTTGGGACCGCCATATCTGCTGGGATCTTCGCTGCGATTGGTTTATCACGAGCATGGAAATTCATGTACTTCTCTAGGTCAGTATCGACGATTATTAACCCCTAATAAATCCCTGATAAATCACGATACCTTTATCCCCTATGAACAAGAGTCATTCGCACCCCGTAGGTTTTTCGGTGATCCATACCTTGAAGAAGGAATTCGAAAAAATTCTTAATTCCAGATATCTACAAACATCCTAAATGAGCGCTATAATAAAAATTTTCACATATATTTCCCCGTACCCCTATTCGCGAGAATATTAAATAGCTCGAGACAGGGTGCCTAATTTACACATCGAGCGTGTCACTCGTATTTACACAGATGAAATGATCTAGATAAAAAGATTAGTCGAAAAATATTTGTTAAATCGTCGTATTCGGAGAACTCTTAGTATTAATAGTAATAATAAATTATAGTAATTATCCAGGAACAAATTTCCGATATCTAAATACAATTTCAAATGATCTCATGCTAATTAGATGTGGTCTATCCCTCGAACACGTTCGATTTGCAACCACCATGATCACCGCCATTTTCTCTGGTCTCTTCGCTGTTTTGGACTCTTACACGATCTACCTTATGGTAAGTCAAGCGTAAGTACTAGCCGGTATAATTACTATGTTAATTCTCGGCCGAGATTTTTCTCAAACGCTGCTACATATAATTAGTAGCAAATTCATTCTGGCCCCGGTTCTATCCAGGCTATCAACGCGCCGTTTATAAGCCGGTTGCTTCTTACAGACAAGCATAGAGCCGCGAATTAGCGACACAGCGTTACAACCTTATCGAGGAGAGCCAGCTACTCCCGGCAACGAGTGCAAACATTTGTTTTACATTTACTCAGCTTGTTTGAATAATAATGTTTATTATCGTAGCCTGGAGAGGCAGCCGAGCTTATCGAGTGGTAGCACGAACTTTTCTTCCTCGATGCCGCAAACTAGATCGCAGAAATAGCCCCGTCCATTCGATATTCCCTGTTCAGTTTCTAGGAAAACCGGATAAAATGTCGCCCCGCGAGAAGTTGCGCGAATATCGCGAAACTCGTCGCGCCTGTTACCATATCTAGAAAAATCCTCAAACTTTAACCCTTCGCGAACCAAGTATATTCGATACCACGTGTGTCGTGACAGAGAACAATTTTACTATTTTCATCGTTGTTCCTGGTAGCTTTTGATTTCGAGAATTTTCCCAACCTGTTTGTTATTTCCGATTGTTCCCACTGGATCATCATATATTCCGTCTTTCCACTTGCCTTCGCTGGTAAGCTAAAAATATTCCCGTGCAGAGGGTTAAAATAATCGTTTGCGCGATTTCAAAATTGCTTTTGAAAAATGCATCGCGGGAATTTTAATAGAAATATCTCATTCGGAAATATAACACTCGCTGAGATTTAAAATTAAAATTCGCAATGGCTTTAATTCTACTCTGCTTTACGTCTCCATAGCTTCTCGTTTTCGCTAGCTTAGCTGTACGTCGATCCTCTTCTTGTCATCCGGTAGAATCGAATCGTGTTTGACGTACCACGCGTTTAACTATAGCGTTAAGGACGGACCTGTTTATGCCCTAAGTGGTCTTCAGATAACAGGTAAGCCGGTATACCATGGCTGCGTTTGCTCCAAATATATTTCGCGTGTGCACGCCGGCTCCTTGACCCAGTAAAAACAAGAGGTCTGAAGCATGCAAATAACCCGCGTCTTAACACGCCGCCTCGAATAAGTCAACTACGATCTTCATCCATGTCTAGACGAGGAGGAGGAGAAGCCACTTGATCAGCCGAGGGGTATGTGGAAGAACGGTGTACAAACACGCAGAGGCGCCGTTCCTCGACAGGATCACCTTCCATTGGGTGATCGACCTGCTGTCCAAGGGATACGGCACGCCCCTGGATAACCAGGACCTTGGACAACTTCCTGAGGAAGAGACCACTAGACGCCAGTTCGAGAAGTTTCGAAAGGTCTACGAGGAGTATAAGGTAATTTTGAAGAATGTTGAGAGAGAGAGTTCAAATGCTAATTGTGTCATTCGTGGGAAAAATTAATTCTATCGAAAAAGAAATAAAAATAGAAATTTATTTTAAATATTACACGTAAGTATTTGGACGCTAAAAATTACAAAGTTAATTGACAGAGAGGGAGAGAGAGTTTAAATGCTCTTTAGAGCAACCGATCCCCTTTATCTAAGCTTCCAAGAAGAATGAATTAATTAAGCCATTCGTGGGAAAGATTAATTCTACTGAAAAAGAAATAAAAATAGAAATTTATTTTAAATATTACACGTAAGTGTTTGGACGCTAAAAATTACAAAGTTAATTGACAGAGAGGGAGAGAGAATTTAAATGCTCTTTAGAGCAACTGTTCCCTTTTATCTAAGCTTCCAAGAAGAATGAATTAATCGAGTCATTCGTGGGAAAGATTAATTAATTCTATTAAAAAGAAAAATGATAGAAATTTATTTTAGAAGTTAATCAGTAGCAGTAATTAATTCGTACCTTTGAAGGAATAATTCTAAAGAACGAAAATAATATTAAAGAATAACGAAGGAATAAATTGCAAAAAGAAAATTTCGATGATTTAGAATAATCGTTTATCTTTATAGAAGAGAAATGAGAAGCTGTCTCTCTGGCGATGCTTTTGGAAAAAGATATGGTGCCCGTTTGCCATTGGAGGGCTATTAAAATTGCTGGGGGACGCTACAACCCTTGTGGGACCAATGTCTATTTCCAAAATCCTGGACTACGTCTCCGTCTCCCAAAATGGAACAATGAATCGAAACACTGTGGTATATAATTTTATTCAGAAGCTTCTTATTGCAATAAAAAGAAAATAAAAGCATATCGTCACGTTAGAGAATTCCTTATTTCGATTAAAGTACGGGCAAATAATTTTACTTTGCAAAGCACTTACCAGATGCTGTTCAACATTTCAGACTGCCATGACGTTTCCTGAAATCCTGCAAAATGGTTATTTTCTGGGCCTTCTGGTGTTCTTCTTCTCCTTGCTGCAGAGCACTCTGAGCCAGACTTCCACTCACATCCTCTGCGTTGAAGGAATCCGCTTGAAGACTGCTCTTCAGGTACTCTTGAAACTCGAAAATAGCAACCATCGAAGACCATGGGCACAATTGACTGAAAATTGCAGGCGCTGTTGTACGATAAGGCTTTGCGTTTGTGCTCGTGGAGCATCGACGAGGAGGATAGTCCACCAGACAAGGAAAAGGAACAGAATAAGTGTCAGCAATCAGCTGATATAGGAACCTTAACCAACCTTATATCAGAAGACGTGTATAACCTGATGAGCTTCTTCTGGATTGGACACTATACATGGGCAATTCCATTGAAGGTAAAAGCAGGCATTTTCTAATTACTTCCAATTAATTCTATAGCTGTTAACGTCACAGATATTCCTTCCAGATCACTGCAATAATTTTTCTTCTCTACACAAAATTGGGCATCAGTGCAATCATTGGGGCATTTTGTTGCATATTAATAGTGACGCCACTGCAATTAATCCTTGGAAAGAAGATGTCGGAAAATTCCAAGTTGGTCGCTGTAGGTTAATATTTGTACTTTCTTTCAATATCTGATAATTGAGGAAGCTTCTTAAAGGCATCAGGAATTTCAATTTCAGAAGAGCAGCGATGCCAGGCTACGCTTGGTCAACGAGATCTTCCAAGGGATGAGGCTGGTGAAGCTCAGAGCCTGGGAAAATATCTTCGAGGAGAAGATAAGAAGAACGAGAGACGATGAGCTGAAGATGCTGGACAAAGATTCTTTCTATTGGACCCTCATCAGTAAGCCTGACTTTTATCAATTATTCTCGATACATCGGTCTATTGGAATAAAGCGAAACTTAAACTGAGGAATTAATTATTCGCAATTAGACTTTCTTACTCATGCTTCGTCGGTCCTGACGACACTTTTCACTTTTGCCGCTTACTTTTGGCTGGAAGACCGAAGTCTCGAGCCCGGAAACGTGTTCGCTAGTCTGGCTCTGTTCTCGCAGCTCACGGTGCCTCTCCTCATCTTCCCCGTTATGATACCTATCATCATCAACGCTATGGTGAGCGAACTCGAGCTTTTGTGCTTGATAAATCTCTTGATATCAAATATCCTTCAGATCTCCACGAACAGAATGGAAGAGTTTCTTCAACTTCCGGAGATTGACAACGTGTTGCCTAATTTTGATGACAAATCCGAGATCGCTGCATCGTCACAGACCAATTCTGTCGAAGAAAGTACCGTGAGTATTTTCAGGCATATTTTCAAATATATTTTCAAGTACAAAAATTCATTGCAATTAAAATCTATTCAAGGTGGACACCATGAAGACACACAACACGCCCACTTTTGGATCACTGGACAACATCAAAGAGGACGAAGAGGATGGACAATCCTGCGGCTTGAAGGACTATACTTTAGACATACACTCTTCCGTGGACACAGTTTTCGAGAAAGACCCGGAAGTTCCAGTGCTTAGAATGAAGGGTTGTGGATTTTCCTGCGGAACAGAGGAAAGTCTGCTGTCAATAGCCGATCTTAGCTTTCCACGTGGTAGTTATATAATAATTAATTATGGTAATCGATAATCCTGTAGATCTGGACGAAATATGTTAAGGAATTGAACTCTCAGGTCAGCTGACTTTAATCGTCGGGAAGACAGGAAGTGGAAAGACTTCTTTGTTACTGGGAATGTTGGGAGAGATCCAAAGAACAGTGGGGTCGATCGAGTGGGCTAAGTGAGTTAGAAATTCCTTTAGTATTTGAATCTTCTCTTCCTGCTTCGATTATAAATAAAACCTTGCGAACCAGAGACTCCAAAGTGGCGTACGTGGCTCAGAGACCCTGGCTCCAGAACACCACGCTGAGAGAGAATATTCTCTTCGGCTCTCCGTACAAACTGAGGAAATACAGAAGCATCTTGAAGGCTTGCGCCTTGCAGCCGGATGTGGACATTCTTCCTGGTCGAGATTTCACGCGGATAGGTGAAAAAGGGATCAATTTAAGCGGTGGTCAGAAGCAGAGAGTGACCATAGCTAGAGCACTCTACAGCGACGCGGATGTTATAATAATGGTCAGTTTAATCGAAATCCGACGCGTCCGTTGTTAATTAAGATGTAGAAGATTTATTTAAATACCGATATTTCCAGGATGATCCACTGTCTGCGCTGGATCATCAAGTTGGACAGCAGATCTTCGATCAGGGGGTGCGGAAGCTGCTGCTGAGGAGCGGACGCACGGTGATCATGGTTACTCATCGCCTGGAACTGTTATCCACTGCTCATCAAGTACGTCAATCGATAGAGTGTCAAGAAGTTAATCTTTTAAGTAGATGATAAATTATCGCGAATACGATTAAGGTGATCGTTATGGATGGCTGCCGAATTCGAGCAGTCGGGACGAAATCAGCGATCGAGGACTCTGATCCGGAATTGGCAAACGAGTGGAAGAAGACTGAGACGAGAGGAAACGAAGGACGTGCTCATAGGACAGCCAAGGACAGATGGTCTTTGATCAAACTGGTGTCCAGGATCGGTATCAATGCGAAGAACAAACGACCTAGCGATGGGTCGTGGGTCACTGACCGTGATGCTCACGTGGTAGATCTCTTGATGTCTTTATTGGATCGTTTTCTATCGTATTTGATGGTTCGTTTGATGTTTTGTTATTTTTATTATTTTCTGATCTCGAATAAATCGGTTTTCCAGAATCCTCCGAGTTTCGTACCGTTAAGGATGCGAAGAACGACCCTGTCTGGGTCGAGGTACTTGGCTCACGATCTGACAGACCTGCCAGTGCCCACGGAAGAATGGAATGTTGGGAAGAAACGATTGAAATTGCATCGAAACGCTGTCAGGTCGACCAGTCTTCAGCCTCAGAGACAGCCACCGCCTGTTCTGCGACAGAGCAGCACTCCGACGATCCTTGAAAGCCAATACGTCGTTCCTAGGTATGTAATTATCATCCTGTAAATTATTCCTCTTTAATGAATATATTATTATCATAAATTATTTGATTTCAGGAAAAGAAATAACACCATTGATACTGGACAACGAAGCAGCGTGTTGAGACAATTGTTCTCTGGCGGGTAGATTGAACAACTATGTTTAAACTCCCACTAATTAATTATTATATTATTTTTAATACGTACTCAACGTGTTACAGGATCATTAGCCCACATCCTGACGAAATATCATTAAACGGAGACAAAAGCGTCCTGCGAAGATTGATACCCTCCAGTTCCAACAGACAAATGCAGTATAGCGTTAAAAAGTATGAGAAAGTAAATTGTTATTCTTTATAAATAAAATATATCATCTGTTCTTCTTTATAAATCGTTCTTATCTATCTAGAACTAGTCAAGATCAGGATAATGATAATTTTCCCGTCAAACGATTACTATCGACGGAATCCAGAGGAACTAACGAATCGGATGAAGTTGATGGAGGTCAGTATACATTATACTGTGAAACACAACTATAAAAAATGCCAAGAAAGGACACAAAAATCTAGCTTTCCCTTTTCTTTCATTTTCGAAAGACTGTGATGAAGATGACCAAGATGAAGACCCCCTGTACGAGGATTTAAGTGGAATAGTCACTAGAATGATCTTCTGTGACTACATAAAGGCTGGAGGTTGGATACCAGGTCTAATTTACATAGGAGTAGCCATTTTCTGCCAGACTCTGCGAGTGTATATCGATCTCTGGTTGAGTCAGTGGACAGACGAAGACAACGTGAACCTAAGCCAAAAGAGTTACAATGTAAATACATAAAATATATATGTATCTATTGGCAGTATTTAGAATATCGAAAATTGTAGTAGATAAGAACGTACCTGTACTTATTTCAGACCGTGTTCTATTTCAAAGTCTACATCGTCCTTTCCATTGTCTTCATACTCTCGTCCTTCGTGTGCAATGCAACTGGTCAGTGGACAGGTGCCAGGGCAAGGAAGAAATTGCACGAGGAAGCCGTGTCGAGGCTTCTCAGAGTGCCAATGTCGTTCTTCGACTGCAACCCTGTTGGAAAAATCCTGAACAGGTTCAGCGCAGACACAGGCGTCATAGACAAAGTCAGTATGCGATGAAAAATTTGGAAACTGATGGTTACTATGAATACGAACCGTGATTTTGCAATTCCTCTTGCAGAAAATATCTATGTCGATCCAAAGGCTGACATTCTTTGTCCTACTTTGCGGCTCTGCGATGATAGTGAACGTTATCATCTCACCCTGGTTTTTCATCGCTGCTATACCCACGTGTGCAGCTTATTATCTTGTCCAAAGATTCTATAGACGCAGTGCTAAACATTTGCAAAGATTAGACGGCAGGTGTGGTACCATTATATTTCTTATACTATTCTTCATCAATTTTTATTAATTTTCTAGTCTTTTTATGAATTTTTTGATAATCTTTTTTGAACCTTCCACATATATAATGCTTTCCAAAAATTATTTAAACCTTTGACAAATTTTGTTGCACTTCTTCAATATAAATTTCCATTTTCTGTATCTTCTGTGTTAAAATTACTTAATTGCTCGTCTCCAGTACAAGATGGCCGATCACAACGCATTTCTCCGAAACCCTTTATGGACTAGCAACGTTGAGAGCTTCGAAGCAAGAGAATCGTTTCATGGAGGAGGCAATGAAATGCTTAGACTCTAATACGAACGCGTTCCTGCTCCTGAATTCTAGCAGTCGGTGGTTGGGTATCGCTCTGGTTAGAAGGCTTACAAAATTACTGAAACTAGTCTAGCATTGAACTATATTAACTTCGATATAACCAATTTTTAGGACTATCTAGGCGCTGTGATAGTGGGCTCCGCGACACTCGCAGCTTTAATTTCTGCGGAATTATATCCAGATCGTGTTACGCCTGCTCTAGTTGGCCTGGCGATTAATTACACCCTGCTTGTGCCAATTTACTTGAATTGGGTGGTGAAGTTCACCGCGGAGACCGAGATGTATTTTGGTAGCGTAGCTAGGATCTCCACTTACAGATACGCTCCTGTCGAAAACTACCAACAGAAAGGTACCATTATCTTCAATCTCACAATATCATAATTATACAAAAGATAAGAGAATTGTCCATCATTTTCCAGTCTCCCACGTACCTGACAATTGGCCCAGTCGAGGTGAAATTATCTTTGAAAACGTCTCCCTGAGATACGTTTCACAAAGGGAGCCAGTGATATCGAACCTGACATTGAGAATTCCAGCAGGCCAGAAGGTAAGAATCGCGAAAGGATGACACGATTCTGGGTTCTCATCGAATATTGTACACAGATTGGAATCTGTGGAAGGACCGGAAGTGGCAAGTCTTCGACAGTGATGGCGCTGTTTCGATTATTAGACATTACCCATGGACGAATATCAATCGATGGTATAGACGTTCGTCAAGTTCCCTTGGAAGTCCTTCGCTCGAGACTTTCGGCCATTCCTCAGGACGTGATCATGTTCAGTGGTACCATTAGGTACTCTTCAGTTGTATCTTCCAAGGAGAGCCTAAGAAATAACCAATTTTAATGAAATTGAACAGGACAATAGATCTGTATCCAGAATAAGCGTAACTCGAATTTTAGAGGCAAGTGATCAGCCACTTTTGAGCAGGTAGGTATAGTCATACGTACTCTTATATATCTACAAAGTACATCCAACTCGAGAATTATAAGAATAAAATATTATGACAGAAAATTCATTAAAATGACTATTCTTTTTCTCATTTAGGGATTTTCCAGATATGTGTACCTGTTTTTCTCAAAATTGGTTGATCATCTGCAGCTAAACTTTAGTTTTAATTGCATTAACACTAGATTTACGGAACCCGTCAATTTGATGGAAGGGTTGCTCCAATTATACGATGATAACAGATTTAGTTAACTTATATTAAGACTGGTAATATAACATATAATTGTTTTTAAATTAAACTAATCGTTAAGAAACAAGGCACGTGGTTTCCTTTATCTGTCAACTTGACAGGTGTCCTTAGAAATAGGTATACAGATAGCGTCCATAAACCTAGTGTTAAAATCAGTTAGGGCTTTTTCTAAGGCTCTCATTTGTATCACAAACAACCTGGTTGTTCGAAAACCATCATAAAATATACCAATACAATTTCCTCCAGAGAAAATTTGGATCCTCTGTCAGAACACGTGGACGAAGAACTCTGGACTGCCTTGGAGGTGGCCCAAATCAAAGACACCGTGGCTTCTCATCCCGAAGGTCTCAGTAAGTGACTCTCTGCAAAATAGTACGTTCACTTATTGATAATATTTATCGATAAATTGCACCCTCTCCTTATATCTAAGATTTCGATTGCTTCGTCGAGATACATACGTGCGTTCTTTGAAACAGACTTCGAAGTGAAAGAAGGCGGTGAGAACTTCTCTTCCGGTCAGCTGCAGCTGCTTTGTATGGCGCGAGCGATCCTCCGGAAGTCGTCGATCGTCGTCCTTGACGAAGCAACCAGCGCTCTCGACGCTGTCACTGAAAAGAGCCTCTTGAAAGCGGTCTCGACCGCCTTTAGGAACAAGACGGTGATTGCTATCGCGGTAACGTAGCTTCGACACACGATGTTCCATGTCTCCGTGAAAGAAATAGGCACAGCGAGTTAGTTTCCTGTTGAACGCCTTTGTTGCCTCGCTTTTCAGCATCGGGTGTCAGCGTTGCTGGGCTGCGATCGGGTGATCGTGTTCCACGACGGGAAGATCGTCGAGGATGGATCGCCCGTGGATCTGGCGCAAAGGCAGGGTGGATTCTTCGCGAATATGTTGATGTCCAACGAGGAGAATCAAGTGGCTGATCGCTGAGGAGAGACAAGCAAGGAACAGCGATAACGATACAATCGAAAGACTGGGATAGACGAACGTATCTACTATGTTCGATCACAAAGTATTTATTTTTGATATGGACGATAAATATAGGATATATAGCGATAGAAATACCTGAAATATTTTTGTAAATACCATCGAGATACACTACAGCGATCGTTGATCGATCTGAGACAGATTTCGTTCATCCCCTACTTACGTTGCATAGATAACGATACTGTGTTGCTTGTAATAATATTTTGTGTCACTCTTCGTCTATAAATTTGGGAAAATTGTTCTTAATTAATTTATGTATTACTGATAATGCTGTCTTGCTCGGTTAAATAATTCTTTGCGAAATTTCGTTTCAAAATTTTGCTTTCGTTATTCTATTTCGCAAATTTTGTTGCGGTATACGTATAATCGATTTTTCAATATCTATATCTTTTCTGCTAAGGTTTATATGTAACTCGCTTTATTTATCGCGACCAACCTTTCGACCAATTAGAAAATTTTATTTTTGTAACGTGTTAATAAGGTGTCTTAAAACCAATAAAACGTTCAAAGTCTGTTTCAATTGGAACGAATCTGTCTGTGAAAAAGTGACGAAAATAAATGGCGAAATCTGCAATCCGTAAGAGATACAATAGACAAGAATACGGTATCTCCTAGTGTACCTAATTATAGGTGCTATTAAGTCTATATCTTTTATTTATTTTAAGCACTCCTTTGATATCGAGACGAGAAAAATTAATTTCTTTCACAGTTATCCAAAACCGATTTTATTTCCATATCACTGCTATTAAATTGGCTATTATTAATGAGATGACTGGTCTTTAAATAAGAGCTACAGATAATAGGCTATATCAACGTGCAATTGCAAAGAATAAAGCTTCTATTTAAAGACCAGTCATTTAACCATATATAAAGTAGATTTGAAATTGAAAACAAAAAATACTTCCACCACGCAGTGGCTGCTTAAACACGCGTTTAACTCCAGTCTAAACTATCCCCACCTCGTTCGTCCCTCAAACATTCTTATCACTGACAACTCGTTACACACACGTCCAACGAGAACAAGAGGAAAGAATCTACTTATCACGCCAACCAAAGCTCGATCTCCGACCATGCCTCTATCAACGTATCTGCTGATCAGATCGAACGAGTGTAATGGAAATGTACTTTCTCGAGACATTTCGACCATCGATCGTGACCGATCCACGTGTAGCCGGATACGCAATCGTCGCCGTTAACAGTCGGCGTGTATCACGCTCGGATAAGGTGCCAAATGATAATAATTACCGATACCCCCCACCGTCTGCCGGCAATTGGAAACGAACGCGTGTATTTCAGCTAGTGGCATTGAGACCGGCCTGTCAATAACACCGCGACTTCGCGAGCGAAAGTCCATCGAGGTCTGCTCTTAGGCTTCTCTTCGGCTTCCCTTCGACTTCTCTTCGATTTCTTTCAGACTTCTCTTCGACTTCCTTTAAACCTCTCTTCGACTGCTTTTAAACTTTTCTTCGACTTCTCTGCGACTTCGCGCCTCAACCGCGCCCACCATCTTGGACCCTAACGCAATGTCGGGAAAACCTCGTTCGTTCGAGTATTCCACCGCGAATCTTCACGTTCTGCGAGTTATATGACAATAGACTATCCCCGGACACGTTCAGCGAGGTTGGATCACCGCAGAGACCAAGGGAACAGACACGCGTGAAAAATGAAAGCGCGCTGTCGCCTGTGAGTCTCTCGGAGGCTTTCTAATTATCGTGAATAATCGATCCACGCGTGATCGTGGCTGGTAACGGACAATGAATCTCGAAAGTGGCCTGTCGTGCAACCGGCGTGCCGCAGTTTTATGAATCGAACCGTGAAACCGTGTTCCCAGGAGACCGAGATCCAACGAGGCCCGGACCATCTTCCAGACGTGAGTACGCTCGATTATCCGTCCACCTTGTTTACCTGTTTGTCGATGGTGTAACGGCTCTTCTGCCGCGATTTCGACAGAGATTAGATCGCAGATTCGGAGCATACCCCGTTCACGTGACTCGTGAAATTCGTTCTTGGCCATCGCATTTCAGTGATATCTCTTCGTGTATCGTTACGCCGGGTTGCTGGACGAAATGGAGCACGAATGCCTTAACCTGGCCGATGACCCATCGTGGACGGGTTGCCGTAAGTTTTACCATGACCAGGGAGTGCTTTTTAAACGAGATCTCGCGAATTTCGCGCGAATGACGATTTCCGTTCGACAAGTCGCGATTATGACCTCGAAACGGCAGCTTCTGGCTCGAAGAAAGACGGGAAATGGGAAAAAGGGACGTTCGATAGATGCGGGACGATAAAGGCAACAGGCCTGAGCGATAAGAAACCGTCGCTTCGGCGATAAGCAGCGGAATATAAGAAAAGCAACGGCTATCGTCCCGTTCGTGCCGAGGTCGTGGAAAAGTGCATAAGTAACGACGGAATTTATTAAACAGTATTCCAATGAACAGTTTCGCTGCTTATGCAAATTTCTCATTCGCGATAGCAATCTCCCTGCCGTTTTAGGCCTTATTTATTGCGCAACTCGCGGTAACCGTGGTGGTTACGATCGACTGATAAATTAGCCAATTATTTCTACTCCACCGAGCCTACTCGTGGGACCTTATCCGTGAATGAATGAAATTTAGAGTTCTCGAAACCTAGATTGGAAAATGATGAAATCGTTATCGCGTGTATGTAATCGCTTCTGGTACTCGCTGTTAGGAAGTTGAATGCCGGGTAATGAGAGGAAATCGCGCGGGATCACGGTTTCGAGGCCGACTTTTTCGCACGAACCTTCGAGGAAGCACGAGGAAGAAAAACGTTGTACGTGCATTCCTTTTCGAGATAGCGTCCGATGGAGAAATAAACGGAAAAGAGAAATTAAACGAATGCCGGTCTCTTTCCTGAAATTTCGAACGAAGCAGGCATACTGAAGTGAAATGTGCTTCAAGATGTAACTAGAATCTGCAACCTTCTCGAAAGAAGAATCAGGCACGCCGACCTTATTAATGAAAAGAGAATAGAACTCGCTAGATAAGACACGGCCGTGTGTGTACCTGCCTGTTGACACTGCGTCTCTTTGTTATCTGCTAGATAAGATTCCTGCGTCTTTGTCGAACTTGAGACATCAGTTTTATGCGCGAATTCGCGGAGTGCAGCTGAAAACCGTGAATCGTTCCTATTTCATCGTCAACGGTTCCCTTGGTTCCCTGGCCAAAGGAATTTCGAGGGGCCCCTTCGTTTCGTGCCGAAGTTCCGTTGTTCCCCGATCACGTCCTCCACGTCGAACCGGAAAGGTGAGTGCCGAAAGTTCGACGTGCACAGACGACGCGTCGACGGGTTCCGTTCGAGTGAAAATTGCGCGAAAGCGAAGCGATTTCCTCGGAAAGGGCGAGCCCCACTCTCTAAAGTCGGTTTATCTCGATTATCTCGATATCTAATCGATCAGCGGAAATCACATCGTCCGCAGATAAATTTTCCGCACGATAATAATCTCGCAGTCCGATTGCAGTCCTAATAAGAGCAACGTTGGGGCACAGATAAGATTTCCGCATTTCTGTCTGGCGTAACATTGCTGGAAACAAATATTGCCAACGGTTAGGTAATTTCGTTGCGCATGTTTTACGTGTACATTTTAATGTATCACACCGTGGTATATAGCGAGGTCGTAAGTGAAATTGTTGAAACACAGCGAGCTTGGCGGAGACGTTTTAACGTATGGGTAAACCAGCCGGTCGACGGGGCCCTCGAAACGAGATTAATATATAAACAGTCGAGTCGATGAAGGGAAAAGTGTCAACTTAAATATGCGTAAAACGTTCGTTTTTATTCCATAAATGCGAGAATTTTTATTTTGTATTGTTATTACGATTGGAAATAATTGCCACAAATTCCATCATGAGGCATAGAGAATGTAATCAATGGAAGATTCGAAGGGGGATTAATACGTATAGAAAATCAATTAATATCAATTAATAAGAGAAAAAGTATGGACCTAGGTATATACGAAAAATGGTTCCTGTCTTTTATTTAAACTCGAGTATTTTTATTTTATATTATTATTACGATTGAAAATAATTCTCAAATTCCATCATGAAGCATCGATAATGTAATCAACGGAGAACGCGAAGGATTAATACGTATGGAAAATCAATTAATAATTAATTAGAGGAAAAGTATGGACCTAGGTATATACGAAAAATAGTTCCTGTCTTTTATTTAAACTCGAGTATTTTTGTTTTATATTATTATTCAGATTGGTAATAATTGCCACAAATTCCATTATGAGGCATAGAGAATGTAATCAATGGAAGATTCGAAGGGGGATTAATACGTATAGAAAATCAATTAGTATCAATTAATAAGAGATAAAGTGTGGACCTAGGTATATACGAAAAATGTTCGTGTCTATTACTTAAACGAAATAATTTTTATTTTATATTATTATTACGGTTGAAAATAATTCTCAAATTCCATCATGAAGCATAGATAATGTAATCAACGGAGAACGCGAAGGATTAATACGTATGGAAAATCAATTAATAATTAATTAGAGGAAAAGTATGGACCTAGGTATATACGAAAAATGGTTCCTGTCTTTTATTTAAACTCGAGTATTTTTATTTTATATTATTATTCAGATTGGAAATAATTGCCACAAATTCCATCATGAGGCATAGATAATGTAATCAACGAAGGATTCGAAGGGGGAATTAAAACGTATAAAAAATCAATTAATAAGAGAAAAAATGTGGACCTAGGTACATACGAAATATGGTTCGCGTCTACCATTTAAACTCGAGTATTGTTATTTCATACTGTTATTATTATTGAAGATAATTCTTACAAATTCCTTCATGAAATCAGAGATAGTACATAATCGTTGGGGGCCTACTCATTATACTTCATAATTCGTCCCTGGAGATTGTAGATAAAATCCTCAAGGAACAGTACTGATCGACGTTGCGACACTCGAAATCGTAACTTTGAATTCGCCGAAAAATGGTTAAGAATAAATAAAAGCATAGTCATGTTACTCTGTTAATCACTTGTGCCGACGACTGAATATTTCATTTTAATTCCTGGCTATTTTTACAAGCTCGCCGTATCGTGGCACCTGTTGTACATCGCAATGTAACGCGTGAAACGACGAAAATAAAATCGGAAACGAAAGAGATCGACACGGTGCAGCAGGCCTCGTTGAGGGATTTTTCGCGAAGCGTTCGCCGATTCGAGGGAAGAGGAGCGTTTCGCTCTCCGCCATTTCTGTCGCCCCGGTGTAAATTCGACCGCAATAAAATGACTCGGTGACAAGGCAAACAGGGCGATTAAAGGAGAATCAAACGCGATAAGGGGACGAAAATATTGGCGGAACGTAAAAATAACCGAGGAGTGTTTAACGAGAGCGGGACCGAATCGCGGATGACGTCTTGAGAGGAAATACGAACACTGGAGCACGTGTGGAGCGATTATGCTCGAGTTAATTGCGCTCGACGTCGCAGTTGATTAAACGCGGAACGTAATTAAGATACAGCATTCATTTGTCCCGTGTTTCGTTAACGCGAACCGTTTCAATTTCACGGTATACACGCGCGTTTGCGAGCGAGTAGGCTAATTACCGCGTTGTATTTAATTAATATCCACTGAAACAGCACGACCACCTAATACAATTTAATTTCCGAATAAAAATGACTAATAATTAAAATAGCGCGATCATCGATCATAATTTAATTTCTATTATCCGTTATCTATTATTATTTAATTTCATTATCTATTATCGATATTAAAAATTTCGCTTCGGAATAAAAATTAGTATTAATTTCGCCACGACAGCTGGATGGTTTTAGTAATTGCAAATACGAAGAGTATAAAATCGGTCATCGTAATTCGTCTGGTTGTTCTAGCGATAAAGCTGCTGTTTGCAATGAAAGTTTATCGTTCAGCGAGGAAGAGAATGATACTGTTCGATTTTTAGAAGGAACATTGCAAAATAATCACTCACGACTATAGTATTGTAAATAGAGTATCTGAAACGATTGTTCATATCGTTATAAAATATTTATCATTCATGCACGAATCATGTGCAATCACGAGCACAACTCGAGGTATGCTCGAGAAACAGATTGCGGAGAATCGGTTCGAAGAATCGGGGAGAAAAAGTTTTGTAGAATTTGTTCGAAATTATCTGTCGTGATGCAAGTAGCGAAAAACACGTGTACCGTTGCAATTGCTACTAGCTGTGGAAAATCCCTTTAAACGGTAGCGAGATAGTGCACTCGGTTCGAAGCGGAAAACAAAGAGGAATTAAAGGTATTAGCAGCGATGAACTTGGGAAGCTGCAGAGTTCTTGCCATTCCGATACTGTCAACATGAAACCTAGCACAAAACCCACTGCTAACGCTTCTGTTCCACTCTTATTTACTCATTTCTATCAATATTTGCACCAGCTATTCTATCTGTATAGCCAAGCACCGAGTATTACGATTTTCCGTCCAGGGTTTAACGTTACGTCTCGACACAGATATCAGCTTTTCGCTGAACAAGAGCTTAGAGAATATCATAAGATATCTGGAATTTCAATTAACCCACTTTTTCTCGGTATTTCAACTTCGAGAAACACGAATTGATGCATTTCGTCATTCCATCGCCATCTATTCGTTTACAACCATAATATATTTATCATTAACCCTGTAAATATCCTAATTTACGTATATTTTATATACGTTTCGTACGAATTTAAATACATTCGCTATATTACTCGCAATTTTTCATAAAAGAAAGCAATTCGGACAAAAATGGGTTAACATCCTACCTTTCGTGCAACGTCCATCAACGAGATAGATCTCGATCCCCCCATGATCTCGGAAAAATAAAAGCCCCTTCACGTAAGAATAAAAAATACCTGGAATTACTTCAGCGTGCACTTAGATCGCGATCTATGGATCGCATGCCTCTCATTCCGCGCGCTCACCGAGTGACATTCGTTCGAGCATTGTGCAAGAAAAATTACGAAATGGTGCGCGCGTGCTCGTGGCGGAACGTCCTCGCGATTACGTAAAACGAAACGAAAGAGAAAAGAGAAAAACTGACAGACGAGGGCACGGAACGAAGTCTGGGAAGAGGTAAAAGGAAGAAAACTTCTTGAGAATTAACAGCGCGACCTCTAACGAGGCAGGAAGCACTCCGCGAAATGAACGTGGCGTAGTTAGATCGGATCTGTGACGGAAAGGGACGATTTTCCAGCTCCTCGCTGCTTCGGCGATCGTTTCAAAGCGTTACGAGCACTCGCGTCAGTGCAAAACGCAGACTTTCGATGCTAATCTCTTTCGTTTCGCTTTGTTTCCCGGCTTCCCATGCCGATCTCATCGAGTCGCCAAGTGGACTGCACTTTCCAGATGATCTCGCTCTAATTTATGACAGGGAAGTTGACGCGAGGCGAAATATATTCGCGATTCGGGCTGTCACGAACGCTCGCATATTCGCGGTGCTCCAGCACGTGACCGCCGCTAATTGATCTATCAAATTGCAGGCTAGAGATCGTAAATAGCATCGTTCCTCGGGAGTGATCTTGAAAGTGGTCGGACGGTGTCGCGAATTCGCATCGGAAGCACGTTCTTGACAAACACGTTATAAATAACATTTAGGCAGATCCTCGTGACTAATCAAACAGCCTTATCGCTCTCTTAACATCGTGCAAACGGATGTCGGTCCCTGCAACGAGGCTACGTTACCATTTCAACCTACCTTGCTAGCTGACGTTGAGTTTCGCGTTCTTCCGTATTAATTTTAAGACGGGAACTTCAGGGTTCTAAGGACTTCGATCAATTTGCATCCATTCTTCCAACTTTCCTGTCACACTGAATCGAAGACTAATCGCTTCGTCCATAAGCACAAAGGAGCTCGTTCAATTTTTCACCAGGTATGCAACTTTTCCGCTGACCAAGCGCGCCACATCGAACAGAGATGAGCAAAGAGATCGCGATATCGTTAAAGCCGCGATAACATCGGTTAAAGCCTTGTTAAGCTCGGCCTCCGACTCGTCGGTTATTGCCGCGACCCAAAAATAACCAATTACGCGAAGGGATTTCCTGAATTTACAATTGGACGATCGATCGTCGAGCGATGTGACATCGTCGCGATCCTCGTTCTCCAAGCGGCGTTGAAATCGGATCGACGCGGAAAGTTTTTAGCAGAAGAGGCTTCCAAATGGGCGACAGTCGCGCGAGGGAACATGAATATCCACATTGTGAGAATGTGCTAATATATCGTGACGTCAGCGGACTATATATCGTGCATCGAACATCATTAGCATAAGCATGTGACCAGCTGAGGCGAGCGTGCCACGTGCTCGTGAATTTTTCACGTAAGAACTTTTTGTCTGACAGTGGCTTCTTCTGGTGCCAACGATTTCGACAATAAATCGGACAATCGTGCGAGAAAAACGAGTCTTGAGTACTTAGCTGGCTGCTCGAACGTTCCTCGAACGTTGCTGGTAAGTGATCGTCCAAATAGCGCAGCTGTCGCTGGCCAAAAATTCGCGATACCTGGAGGATGCACGCCGTGACGATTTTCTTGAAACGGTGCTCGTGGAAACGATAAATGGCGTCATCTGGATTAATGCCAGCACGGAATTCGAATCAGATAGAACAGCTCCCTCGATCAGCGCGTCGATCGGCGAGAAAATCCTTGCTCGCGAATATCTTCCCGCAAAATTAAGAAGAGGATCGTTGTGCTTTGCAGGAGTCAAGAGAGTGTGCTTCCGACATGTTTTGGACGATGAAAGTATGATGAGGTTCCCGTGCTTTCCGTGCTTTCGAAGTGTCCTAGGACAGAGTGGCAACATCAATCTTACCACCGAGTCGAGTATAATTAGTGTAAGCAATCAAGCATCGTAACACAGTTCTAGATGTAAGCAGAACTTCCTGCATTCTTATATATCTTCGTTTGCAGAACGGAAATGCGACGATCCCAGTGGTGACTAGCTACAGGCCTTCTGATGATCCAGATCTGAATCGTGGTGTGGTGAGTGTTCCAAAAGCATCTAATTAAGAAAATTATTCTAATTAACATTTGAATGAAATTTAAATTTCTTGAAAATCATTGACATAGAAGTTATTACTAGTAGAAGTTCAGGAATGATGAAACAAATACGTGCTTTCTTAACTGTAAAGGAATATTTGATTAATAAAACTAGCGTAAAAATTGGGCTGAATAACGAGAAGACGGTAGAAATAGGATGTCGAAAGATTAACCTGTTTAAAAAAATTCATTCATACCGATATAGATACGCTCTGTGATTGGTGGCACAGTGTCTAATGGGTTAGGACCACCGGCTCACTCCAGCGGAAAAGGCAGGGCGCCATCACCACCTCGACATCTCAATCTTCTTCCAACGCATCATGAGGACGAGCAAGAAAATGCCAAGACCTCGGATGGCTCGAACAAGCCGGTGAACCCCAGAGGTGGTATTATCGGCAGGCCACCTTCGCCACCCTCTGCACCGACTCCTGTTTACGATAAAGACCTAAAGTAATTTTCGACAAAGAAACAAACTGTAATGGAACGAATCGTACCAAAATTCTGAAGATTAATATACTAAAATGCGTACTTTATCCGTTACAGGAGTAGACGACAGATTAAAAGAGCCATTTTAGAGAATGAATTCCTCGGCAACCTCGAAGAGGGTCAGGTGGAAGCGCTGGTTTCTGCCATGTACCCGAAACAGATACCACCGGGTACCTTGGTGATTCGAGAAGGAGATATGGGTAAAGGTTCCTCTCCTATATTCCCTATAGATGTGTCTTTTCTTTTTACATTCATTTTTAATTGATATTTCAGGGTCGCATCTTTACGTGTCCGCAGAAGGAGAGTTCGATATTTACCAGGGCGACAAGTTCCAGAGGAGCTTTGGACCCGGTATCGCGTTCGGGGAGATCGCTTTATTGTACAATACCAAGAGACTTCGATCTATCAGCGGTAAATAGTAGTCACATCGTGAAATAATTAACGAAAATAATTAGCGAGTATGTCATTTTTACCTGAAACGTGTCACGTTTAATCTGTAGTAAAGAAAGGAGGGAAAGTATGGGTGTTGGACCGATCCGTGTTCATCAATGTGATGATGAAATCTGCTCAGGAGAGACTAGAAGGGAACGTTCGGTTTCTTCAACAAGTTTCCGTTCTCCAGAAACTGCCTGAACCTAAGGAACACCTTCTTGCTAAGATTTCTGATCTTCTCCGCATGGTAAATGCGTCTCACATGTCTGATAATGATTCCTCGCATTCGCTCGATTCTGAAAACAAGAAATGTGCATCTTTTTGACAGGAATTCTTCCCTGCTGGGGCAGTGATTGTTCGACAGGGAGAGAAGGGTGACAAGTTTTACATAATTAGCGGTGGAAACGTCAGGATCACCAAAAATACCAAAGATGGCGGTGAAGAAGAGCTGGTGGTGCTTGGAAGGAGCAAGTATTTTGGAGAAAAAGCACTTTACGACGATGCCGGTGACAATCGACGACACGCTAATGCTATTGCTTTGGCTCCTGGCGTCGAGTGCTTGACACTGGACCGACAGTGAGTTTCCGTAAATCGATGACGATAGATCTTCTTTCATTACTCGGAAAATACCTTCCTTTCTAATACCAAATTAAACTTCAGGTCGTTCCTCAATTACTTGGGTGGTCTTGACGAGATACGCAACAAGGACTGGCTGGCGGAGTACGAGAATCAGAAACGATCTCTGACGTTGAAGAAATGGTCTCACGAATATTCCAAGGTTACCTTGGCCGATTTAGAGACCATAGGCACCCTGGGAGTCGGTGGATTCGGCCGGGTCGACCTGGTCACTCTGAAATCGGATACAGAGAAGAGCTTCGCGTTGAAAAAGTTGAAGAAAAAGGTGATGGTCGAGCAACAGCAACAGGAGCACGTGCTGAACGAGAAATACATCATGCAGGCCTGTGATTCACCGTTCATCTGCAAGTCAGGATCAAGTTTGCGTTGATTAGATGCAACTTTCTTGCACCGCTTGATGAGAGAAATAATTTTTACTTTTACGACTTAGGCTTTATCAGACGTTCAAGGACAACAAATACGTGTACTTCCTGATGGAAGTCTGTCTAGGAGGAGACGTATGGACTACTCTCCAAAGGAGACGATTCTTCGACGACACGACTGCACAGTTTATGATCGGATGCGTAGTGGAGGCTCTTGCTCATCTTCATTCGATGAACATCGTCTATCGGGATCTAAAGCCAGAGAATCTTATGCTCGATAGCCGTGGATATTTGAAACTAGTAAGATCCATATTGTCATAGATAACAAGGAAACCGTATGAAATAAAGATTAAGAGGTTTGGAATAACAATTAGAGAAGTTCCATATAGCTAGAAGATCGCAGGACTCACCCTTAGAACAGAATACGTATTCTAATATCGTAGATGCTGAAGAACAACTTCGAAAAAATATATTCTCTTCTCTACTTTCTTCTCTTCGCTAATCAAACGAGATTTTGTGAACTTTTTCAGGTTGACTTCGGTTTCAGCAAAAAGATTGGACCATCCAAGACATGGACCTTTGCCGGGACGCCCGAGTATGTGGCACCAGAGATAATCTTAAACAAAGGACACGATAGGTAGATAAATGAGACACAATAACTGCAAGGTGTCGAATAAATGATGAATTTAATAGAGAAAAAGCGATGATGATCGTGCATTTAATTAATTTAAAGGGCGGTGGATTACTGGGCCCTTGGAATTCTAATTCACGAGCTACTCATCGGTAAGCCACCCTTCCGTGGGTCCGATCACATGTCCATCTACAACAAGATCCTAAAAGGTATCGAAGTAGTCGGAATACCTAATTCTATTAGCAAGAACGCGAACAGTCTGATCAGAAAGCTGGTTCGCCTAAGTGCTTCCGAGCGTCTGGGTTATCAAAGGAATGGCATTCAGGACATTCGAAACCACAAGTAAGTCTTCTATAACTAGGTATTCATTTGAAAATGAAATTTTGATAAAATTTTTCGCGAGCTAACCGTGTTTTTACAGATGGTTCCATGGATTCAATTGGACCGCCTTGCAGAAGCTAAGTTTACCCGCACCAATCGTTCCGACAGTACGTGAAACTTACGTTCATTTAGCAATCAGATATTCAGATACGATGTTTAAAAATTAATTCGTTCTGAAGAAGGAAAACACTTACATTATCTTATTTTGTAAAAACCACAGGTACAAAGTATAATCGACACGAGGAATTTCGAAAGATACCCGCCAGATCGCAACGTTCCACCAGACGAATTCTCTGGATGGGACGAGAACTTCTAAGAAGAAAAAGTCGAGCAATAATCAGCTGTACGTGATCCATCCATTAACTAAACGATAAGAATTACGAAATTGTAGAATGAGAGAGAAGTAAAGAGAGAGACGTTCTGATAATTATACAATGAAATAAAACGATAGCAGGAGAATCATCGTTATATCTAATCGACTTGGTTACCTTAGGCAAATAGCTTTGCTATTTATACTTCTTGCATTCGGAACAATCATATATGCCCACTAACTAATTCTTATGATTAAATCCTAATTAAGTAGCTACTTGTATAGCAAGTATTCAGGACTCATAGAAGGATTATAGAACGAAAGATACTCTACGATTAACGATACTTGTAGCTATGATAATTTTAGCGTTATCAATTAATAATAAATTTATACACGAGTTGCTAAGGTCATACTGATTCTACATTTCCTTCATCCTCGTTACTAATTAAACTTTATCGTTTACTTCCGCGTCAGATAAGCGTGAGTGCATCGACAAAGGTGCAATTGAATCATAAAATAACTTAGGTGAAGAATATCCTGATAACCAGCCCTCAAGAAAAATGCATGACCATGACATATCTCTACCGTCATAGTTATCACGTCTGCTAATCTAACTTCGTTCATGCGAGATAAGATCAGTATACTAATCTATTACTATCAATAATACCAGTTGTTCGCCAATATCCTTAGCAAAGGCTAACTGCAAAGAATATTAACCTGTGCTTAGCTCGTATTCGTTACATTCAGTGAATTAGTGGTTTCATTAAAATTTCATCAAACGATGGGGTTGGATACGTGCATGTGTCAGTTTCTCACGCATTTTCTGTGCTTGGGCAAGCATTTCCAAAGAGACCTCAACGCCGATCAATCTCGTCGACGCGACTCCGACTCGTATTATCGAAATCTGTCCCAACACAGGAAACACGGTGTTCTTGGCGAGGTGGACGTTTCCTCCGATCCACGGATCGTCGAGCACAAGAAAGGCGCAAAGTGAACTAACAACTTTCAGCTATCCGTTGCTCACTTTCAGCTGCAATAAATTCACGTTTCATGTAACTTATAGAACGCAGGAGCTGATCAGAAACGCGATTCAGAACAACAAGTTCCTCTGTGACTTCGAAGCATTGCGAATAGAGAAGCTCATCTCGGCGATGTATCCGCAAGACGTGAAATTCGACACGCGAGTCATCCACGAAGGTGAAACCGGTGAGTGTCATTTCGAAAAATGCCGAAATATTAGTCGTTGCGAACTGATCGTGACCGAATGTGACAGGATGCCATCTGTACGTCGTAGAGGAGGGAACGTTCGACATTTACGTGGGCAAAACGTATCAAGGAAGTTTTGGGTCCGGTGTCGCTTTCGGGGAGTTTGCTTTGTTGTACAATACGAAAAGATTGTGTTCCGTCGATGGTACTAACATGATCCTTAAAACCTTCCAGATTAGAATCTCAATATAAAAATTTCTTGTAACTACCCAGACACTCGTTTGTTCCTTCAGCAACCTCAAATGGGAAGGTTTGGGTGCTGGACAGGAACACGTTCCAGGTGATAATGATGAAAACTAACGAGGAAATGTTGGAGTATAATTTGAAAATTCTTCGTCGAATTGAAATATTCAAGGATTTTCCGGAAGAGGTTCTCGTGAAAATATGCGATCTGATAATGGTGGTACGTGTAACGTGGTTGAAATTACGATACTGAGATTAAAAGCACTTTACATATTACTTAAGGAATTTTACCCGGCGAATTCGTACGTGATTCGAGAGGAGGACGAAGGGAATAAGTTCTATATTATAAACGGTGGCAGAGTAAAGGTCACGAAAAATAAGTCGAACGGTATAGAAGAGGAGCTGACGGTCCTCGAAAAGGGTGAATACTTCGGTGAAAAAGCACTGTACAACTCTGACAAACCTCGTCGACAGGTGAACGTTGTTGCGATGCCACCTGGCGTAGAGTGTTATACGATCAAGAAAACGTAAATTTAACGTGTCATTCATTTAAAGCTTTTTCGAATAGCTTGCTCACAAGTCCCATATAAATGAAGCGTGTCTTTAATGTTAGAGATTTTTTGAACTATCTTGGCGAACTGAATTTGATCAAGAACAAGAATTGGCAGCAGTATCAGAAAAAGAACGAACCGGATAATTGGGACGATGAGTTCAAGAAACTATCCTTATCTGATATCGAGTGTGAAGGAACAATTGGGACCGGTTGTTATGGCAGAGTGGAATTAGTCACTATAAAATCGATGCCTAACGTCAGTTTTGCCAGAAAGAAGGTGACGAAGTACATGATCACGAGAGGTGGTTTGCAAAAAATGATATTCAATGAGAAGAATAATTTGAAACTGTGTAATTCACCGTTCATCTGCAGGTAAGTTAATAGTACCTCCGTAAATCGAAAACAAATTTTTTTAAATATAGAATAGGAAATTTAAAACCAAGAAGAAGGAAAGTTCGATCCTATGATTCCTAGGTTTGTAAATGTTAATAATTAATCGTAGAATTTAACAAAATTTATCTTCCAATGACGATGCGGTATATTTGTATTAAACTAAGAAATCCACACTCTTTGTAGACTGTACAGGACCTTCAAAGATAAAAGATATCTTTACTTCTTAATGGAGGTATGTTTGGGTGGAGATTTAAGAACGGCCTTACATAGACATGGTAAATTTGACAATTCCACGAGTCGGTTCATCGTCGCTTGTATCGTAGAAGGCCTTCAGCATATTCATTCGTTGGGTATCATCTACAGAGACCTAAAACCAGAGAATGTCGTAATCGATAGTCGAGGCTATGTTAAGCTTGCAAGTTTTCCTATTGTTTCTTTATCTTTGCATTTAAACGAACAACAAATTCGTTCATTGATTAAAATTCTTTTACAGACTGATTTCGGGTTCACTAAACTTATCGGTCCTTACAAGACACATACTTTTGTGGGTACGCCAGAATATTTGGCTCCAGAAATGATTCAAAGTAAACATTATAATCAGTACGCATTTCTATGTTCAATTAAATTTTTAGTCAGTTCTAGATCAATTCGAGTAATTTATTTCTTATTGTCAAAGGACTACCGATTATTGGGCACTTGGAATTATTACGTATGAAGTATTAACGGATCGAACACCTTTTCAAGACATAAATGACATAGAGATATGTACCAAGATTGTTCGTGGATTCGATGATACATACCTGCCACCTGCTTTAAAAAGCTCAGCAAAAAATTTTATCAAGTCCTTACTGCAAAATAATCCAATCGAAAGACTCGGTTATTTGCAACAAGATTTTCAGGATATTTATAATCATAAGTACTTATTAACGAAATTATAAAATGTATTTGTTACCGTTGTTTATTTATTCCTTGAATTAATTTCAGATGGTTCCATCATTTCAATTGGCAAGAATTACGAACTCAAACAATGGCATCCCCTATTGTACCAACGGTAAATAAAAGAGCGCCAACGTAGATTCTTGGTAACTAACCTTATTATCTGATTCGTTTACAGGTAAAGAGTCATCTTGATATGAGAAATTTTGATAAATATCCTCCTAATTACGACCCGATATCGGTAGATCTTTCTGACTGGGACACAAATTTCTGACGATCTTTATTTTATAATTGATTGTGTATATGCACATACACTATGTTAAATCATACGATAATTGAATTATTATATATTGTTAACACTAGACTTACAAACCGTTTCTATCAAAATGAATGTTGATTTTTATACGGATAAAAACACAATATATATGTATATCTATTTATCTTTATCATTTCACGTCAATTTTCATCGTTTTATTTATAAAGTATTTAGCTGCACATTATACATTAATAATTTTATAACACTGCGTTAAAAATATATTTTTGCATTGTAAATACTTTTAAATTTTTAGTCGAAAGTGTAATGTAATATCTATTTAAATTACCTTTAATTTGTAAAAAACAGATAACTTTTGCAAAAAAATATAATTGAAAGATACATATTTTATACACCTAAATCAGATTACAGATTGATAAAGTACGAATGAAACGTTAATAACATTGAGATTCATTTCCATGTGTGAGATTATTCCCCAAGAAAAATTGTACTTATTTATGGAGAATTCATCTAACAACGTAAACATATCATAAACAGGTAAGTACAATATTCGATTAGAATAGATTCTTAGACACTTGTAAATACGGTTCATTGGCCTCTTTAAAATATAAAAATTGAAACTTGGGCATTGCGCATAGAACGCCGTCAACTTCAGGTGGCGCACGATTTGCTGCACTCCTGTGCAAATAACCTTGTTATACCATCATTCGAATGGTGAATTTACAAATTTACATAACAAATATATCACGGGTTATAAAATATATTATTAAACATACAGTTACACGGATAACTTATACACTATAAAATTATAATAAATAAATTTCATTTGTAATCAATAAAGGTAAAATTTGACAATACATCATATTGAATTACAGTGCAAAAGAAAATTGCATTGTATTTTTCTAATAATAATTTCCATAAATAATCGTAACAGTGGAATGTGAATAATATAATTGTTTTTAATGTGCTTATACGCATTGATAAGTACCGCTTGGTTATTAGTGGTGACAGTACCTAACTTGACATGAGGTGAAACTAGGTCCATAAAAATTTCATTTATTATTATTTGTTAGTATTTTGCGAAAATACTACATAATGGAAGCACATGAAAATGAGCAATATGTTACATTTCCCCTCTCAGGGGTACATGATGGTATGCAAGATAATATTATATCTCATGAAGAAATATGTGAACCAGTAGACGAATGTGTTCTTCAAGAAGGACTCACTGAAGTATCTGTTACGGATGTTAATTCTGGCATCGCAGAAGCACAGGTTGCAGTTGAAATTTTAGCAGAACATTCCGATGAGGAAGATGAAAATCGTGTAGTATATCCTATATATATTAAACAAGAAGAACAACAGCAATACACATCTGGAGATGATGAATCAATGGCTGTGGAAGCTCTCCGACAACTTGGAGGCATGTATCCTTGTTTTGAGGACAAAAAAGTATCATGCTCAGATTGCGGGAACCTTTTTACGCAAGCTGAAATGTCAAAGCATCATACTACTTGTTCTGCCAATAAATTATCATGTGTTACTTGTGGAGAGAGATTTGAAAGAAAAATAGATTTAAATAATCATATAGTTTGTCATCAGGTAGATCGTCCACATGCTTGCAGAACTTGTGGTAACTTGTTTCGTTCAAAAAACAATTTAAGATGTCACATGTTACAAGTACATCAGGTAGAAAGACCTCACAAGTGCACCATATGTGGAGCAGATTTTCAGAGGCCTTCTAGTTTATCTAACCATATGAAAATTCATACATATGTTGCTGGACGTGCCATTATGCAATCACAGGGTAATAACATGTCACAATCGGAGGAAACATTCAGAAAATGGCCTGAAAATATGGCAGAAACGCAAAACAATCAAGTGCCATCTTCATCTGTACAAACTGTACAAAATTACGATACAGTTCAATGGACAGTTCCATCTTATAATTTTCAGAATGAACAGTCAGCAGTTAATACAATATCCAATCCTGAAGAAAAGATAGATACTTTACATGAATTTACTGTATTGCCAAATGGGGAAGTAACACAATTTGAATATACCCAACAAAATAATATAAATAATCAAGTCAGTCAACAATACAATCTTTCAATAAACTCATTTAATAATACTGATACAATGGTGAAAGTTGAAAGTTTACCATATAATAGTGAAAATAGGAAGAATTATGTAGAAGTTGAAACAAATGGTACAAAACATACTTGTAGACATTGTGGAATTAGTTTTCCTCGTGCAACTGCACTGGTATCACATGAAAAAATACATGCATCTAAAAATTGGAACATGCCAATTGAATGTGAATATTGTGATAAACAGTTTCAAGATGGTAATCATTTAGCAACTCATCAAACAACTTGTGCAAAAAAATTAATGCAGAATAATGTAGAACAAGGTACACCTAATAATAAATGGGGTAAACATGCATGTTCTGAATGTGGCAAAAAATTTACTACTAAACAAAAAATGTTCAGGCATCAATGGATTCATAGGAAAAAAACACATTCCTGTGAGGTATGTGGATCTCAATTTGAAAAACAAAATCAATTAGATGAACACAGATTATCAGCACATCCTGGTGATTCTCCATTTACTTGTTCAGAATGTGGTAAGAGTTTTGTATCGCGTCAAGGTCTCTGGGAACATGGTAGAACACATGCTGGAAGTCCTGCACATTTTCATTGTGATACATGTTCCAAAACTTTTTCATCAAGACAGGGATATTTGATACATCATAGAACTCATACTGGAGAGAGACCATATGGTTGTAAATTTTGTTGGAAAGCATTTAGAGATGGTGGAACTTTAAGGAAACATGAACGTATTCACACAGGAGAAAGACCTCATGTTTGCCCTCTGTGTTCAAGAGCATTTAATCAAAAAGTTGTTCTGAGAGAACATGTTCGATGGGTTCATGCAGCAGGAAAAAATGAAACCGAAGTAACTGGACCACCTTTCTCGTGTCCCATATGTGGTGCTTTAAATCAAGATCGGGATGAACTATGTGCACATATTGTTAAACATTCAGACCAGATGATAGCAGAAGCAAAAGCTAAAACAAATAATAATACACCGAAAACCAAGCCAGTTAAGAAAAAGACAAAAACAAGTGCAAGTACAAGTTTACAGTTAAAACAGGAAACTGGAAGTCGTATAATTCCTAAATCAGAAGAAACTGAAGCCCTTTTATCTATTACTAAAACAGATAAATCAGATGACCAACAACTTTTAGATGATAAACAAAATAATACTTTCCTTGTAGTTACTACAGAAAAACGTAATGAAAATTATATTGCAATATCTGAACTTAAGTCTGAAAATGTACAACTATTAGTTGATGAGAAACAAGATGAAAATATGCATATTTCACAAGCTAATCATGATCATAGAGATCCATTAAATATGATTGCTATAGATAAACAGAACAATAGAACCCATATAGTCTCTACAGAGCAACAAGGAAGTGCACTTCACCCTACAACCAGTCATAATGAAATAACTACAATGCATTTAATACAAACATCAAAACAAACTAATACTTTACATTTAATATCAAAACAGAATGAATCATTACCTGTTCTAGCATTACCAAATCCTCAGAGTCATGAAAATTTTTCCAGTCAAATTGCACAAATAAGTAACAATGATTTACCTATGGATATGGTAACTCATCATTCAAATAGGCAAAATCAAGATATGAAAGATCACAGTGAAGTTAGACAGGAATCCTTAATACAAGAGGGAGCATCCCAAACAGCTGTAATACAGGTTGTGCATTATCATCAACAAGAAAGTGATGATGGAGAGGAATTAGTCTGTGGCATTTGTGGAGAAGATTTTAATGATAAAAATGTGTTAATGGAACATGTTAAAATTCACATATAATTATTGTTACTTTATCACTATCCCAGTTTGTGATATTATTATGCTATTAATGTGGCTATGTAGAAAATAACAAGTTTGAACATTTCTTATGTTCTTGAAAGAAAAAAATACTAAATATAACTATTTAAGTATTGTTTCCAATAGTGGTAGTAAAGCACCAATTTTCTATGTGTCTTACAGATGCACTGATGAAAAAAAAAACAGGGAATTTCAATGATATTTATACATTTTTAATTAATTTGTTTTTGTTTCTCCAAAATGCTTTTGCACATTTAGGTCATGCAGTATACATGTGGTGAAATAATGTACATCTTTTAAAATAAAATATAGATACAGATTTATATATTATGTAAAGCACATTACTGGTTGTCTTGAAGATTAAAAAAAAAACATATCGTAAAAAACAATCTTAAAGTTATATAGTTCTGCTTTCATGCAGTTTTGCGAAGTATTTGGTCTGAAATTTACGTATCATTTTACGACACGTAAATTATAATTGAGCCAAATGACATTTAAAATGTAGAATGTGAGGTGCAATAAGAAAATAAAGTGCATTTTATTTTCTACATTTATTTTATATTAAGGCACTTTTCTTTAATACCGAAACGTGCAAATTTTTCCTTTATCCTTCATATTTATATTACCGCGTGCTTTACTAATATAAACTTAGTCTGTCACGTGTTGTTGCCGGAACAAAATACAAGTGTGCGTTATTTTGTGAAGTAAACAATCGTAATTTATAATTATATTTTGTATTATTACGTAATGTGTTATGTGATTTCAATAATTATGTACTAAATCTCAAAAGCAGTCTACAAAGAAGTAAGTATTAATATTTAAAAAAATTTTTTAAATATACAAGAAAAATATATACACGTTATTTTATTTGTTATAAAATATGATAGTATTTATATAAACACTTTTTTTTTATTATATTTCAATAAAAATTCGAAACATATTATAACCCTCGATAATTTTATAAGTTTTGTTTGAATTAAAACTTTTGAATGCTAACCTATAATTAGCATTACATGTTTCTATTGCATCTGTACTCAGTCTAACCCAGCGTTCAAAAAATATTTGTAATATATCGAACGTTTGTCGAAAAATAAAAAAATACGCGATAAAAGTGTATGATACTATACAAAAAGAAGTTTATTTAATCTTTATCACATTAAATTAAAGAAAATTCGATTTTGAAGACGAATCTTTTAACTTCAAACATCAAAGTGTGAATATTCCTAAATTAAGGAGGTTATGTTGATGCTACATCGTGTTAGTAAACTAATAACGTAGAGGTAAACAATAAATTAAGACTAAAAAGCTTTTCAAAGTTTTTAATTAAATCATACAAATATGCCCACTTGGAATCAAATTCAAGCTCAACTTCGAAATCCAAATAACCCGGTGGTATTTTTTGATGTATCTGTGGGTACTACAGAGATCGGACGAATGATTTTCGAACTCTTTGAAGACGTTTGTCCAAAAACGTCGGAGAATTTTCGACAATTCTGCACTGGAGAGTACAGAAAGGATGGTGTACCTTTGGGTTTCAAAGGTGCCATATTTCATAGAGTCATTAAGGACTTCATGATCCAGGGTGGTGATTTTGTAAATGGTGATGGTACTGGAGTCATAAGCATTTATGGTGGTGGAACCTTTCCTGATGAAAATTTTACATTAAAACACGACTCACCTGGATTGTTATCCATGGCTAACAGTGGTAAAGACACTAATGGTTGCCAATTTTTTATCACATGTGCAAAGTGTAATTTCTTGGATGGTAAACATGTTGTCTTTGGAAGAGTTATTGATGGACTTCTAGTTATGAGGAAAGTGGAAAATGTTCCTACAGGACCAAATAATAAACCAAAAATTCCAGTGACAATATCTCAATGCGGACAAATGTAGCAGTTAAATAATTATAATTTATATTTTTGTATGTAAATTAAATGTAAAATATGTTTATAAAAAATGTGCTATATTTCTCAAAAGTAAGGATACCATTTTAATCGAATACCTCTTCCCATGTTTAGGTACCTGTTAACACATTTATTTCAACGAGCTACAATTACAATTTAAATTAAGAATTATGATTCTAATCGCTTATTTACTGTCTGCATCTAACATTGCCGCCAGGTATCTTATAATTTCTCACTAATAGAAATTGGCTATCATGACCTACTTATTACTAATTAAAAGTTAATAAATTACAGCTTGGTCAACAGGTTATAGATTTTCACAAACTAAAAGTGTGATCGAAAAATTCTGATGCAATGAAAATTAAATGAAAGGAGTTATCGTTTTTCGAACTTCAATTTTATTACGTTAAATTTACATACGAAATAAATAGTTATTATAGTCTATATTGTATTGTACTGGATAAAAATCCAAACGGTCTGAAATATCAATGCGACTGACAACTCGGATCGATCTTCCCAGGAGTAAAACATCCAAAGTAAATACGTACGTGTGTATGATCTAACACTATGATTAGTGTCGATTGACAAAATTCCAACCGTAAACGTTAGGTCTTCATTTCGTATCTAATTTGCGATAATCTAATCGGAAACTATCATAATTCGTACATAATTCGTTCATGAAATAATTTAGTACTATATCTATTGATAGCCTAAGAGACAATCGATGTACTTAACAGTGAGTCTTATCTCTGTCTAGCTACATATTAACTTCTTTAATATGTTCTGAATTGTTACACGAATCGATAAATTGCTTATGCTACGTACGATTATTTCTCTCCTATTCATCTGGCACTTTTACTATACCGTTTCTCATTTGCGAAACTAGTACGATCTTAATCTTTTCACGCGAACAATCATTCTCGTCAGCATACGCGTATAATCTCTTGCTTTGGTTGGTTGTGGTCTAAATACGAAAATAAATTCCAGTTGCACTTACGTTACAGAAAATCGTGCGTGGAAAAGCAAATTCCCAAACGATTTGCCAACTTCTCGAGGAAGGTCTCCAACAAACCTTCGTATAAGTATACCGATGTCACAAACGATAGCCAGTGCAATGCTCTGCATCGGAAACACATTTGGATATTTCAAACCAATCTCGATAAATACTCATAGTCCATTTTATCGAACAATATTTCCATCTCGACTTAACTCGAAGGAGACTGATCTTGGGTTCAAGATTGGTCGTTCCTTAAAAAAACAACGATATATTCACGGATCTGTGATATTCCAAACGAGAATGGCCGCTTTCGAGGGGCTTTCCTATCACATAAATCACGTATCATCTGGGAATCATCATCGGGATCGTCACAACCTGAAACAACATTACACCGATCATCATCGTCAGCAGCTCACGGCAGCGATTGCAGCTGGTCCCTCCTCTTGGGCACCGTGAGCTGAGGTGCGGTCTACCTGCTGTTGCAAAAAACGTCTTCCTCGATGGTATCGACCTGCGAGTTATCGTCAACGACCATGATGGGCGTAGCACCGTCGTGGAGACTCGACTTTGAGATGGATCTTTTGTAAACGTCCCTGGTGACGCTCCTGGTGAAGCTGAACTTGCGCACCAGCTTCTTGTCCAAGGCTGCAGGACTCTTTGGTCCTTTAGCTCTGAACTCGTCTTCGGTTCCCTCATAATGAGCTAGCATAACCTCTGTCGCGTGTTCCTCGATCACGTCCACGGCATAATCTATATCGTCATCTGTAGCATTCTCTTTGATCACGCAGAATCTCAGGATGTACTTGCCCATCACTCTGGCTGGGATCATGTGAAGTCTGCCAGAGGCGTTGATATTGGCCAATAGTTCCTGGTTTATTTCATCGCTCTCCTTCAATCTGAAGCAGACCAGGCCTACTCTCACATCGTTTGTGATCTCGAATCTCTTATCCCTCCTCATCAGAGTCTCGAATCGTCTTGCTAGCCTAATATGGTTCCTTATGTACTTCTGTAAGCCCGTAATCCCATACGATCTCATCACGAACCACAACTTCAGCGCTCTGAATCTTCTGCTCAGAGGTATTCCCCAATGGCGATAGTCTATAGACTCTCCAGATCTAGCATGCTGGAGATACAGGGGATCGACGACGAGTGCCGACGTGAGTTTCACTCGGTCCCGTACCCAAAGACAGGAACAGTCAAAGTTGACGAGCAACCACTTGTTGGGATTCGTGTTGAACGAATCCGCGTTCTCGATACCCGTCATCAGGGGCCTCATTTCCGGGCAAATAAACGCGTTCCCAGCGTAAGCACCGTCAACATGTAGCCAGACGTTAGGATAGATCTTGCACACTGGTCCAATCTCGACTAGATTATCGAACGCACATGATCCGGTAGTGCCGAGCGTGGTCGAGACGAAGAACGGTACCAAACCGTTCGCCACATCTTCTCGAATCGCGGATTCCAGTCGTTTACCTCGCAGAGAACCTTTCTCATCCGGTTCCAAAACTCGAAGCTTCACCAAACTGATCATCGCCGCTTTCTCTACGCAAGAGTGAGCCTCTGTGGAGCAATAGGCAACCAGTCGTGGCAGAAAGGCCGAATCCTCGGTGTTCGGGTCTTGTTCCTTCAGGGTTCGAATCGCTTGGGTTCGTGCCGCCAGCATGGTGACCAAAATACACTCGGAGGCAGACCCTTGTATCACCCCACCGCCCTTCGAGCTTTTGTGCTCGGACAGGAACTCCGTTGGAAGGTCTATCGCTTTTGCGTACCAGTCGAGAACGATCGTTTCCAGTTCCGTGCAGGCTGGGCTGGCTGCCCAAGAGAAACCTATGCAGCCGATTGCGTCCGACAGCATGTCCCCGAGGATCGAGGGGAACGAGTTTCCCGCTGGAAAGTAGGCGTGGAAACGTGGATGTTGCCAGTGTGTGATCTGTAAAGCATCAGCGTTCTCTCAGTGATCGAGGTTGGTCTTTGAGGAAACGAGTATTCGCGATGGTTTAATTGGGAAAAGAGGAATAAACGAAATGGGCTAATTTCGCGATAGTGGAACGTGTCAGTTCACGTTCGACTAGTTTTCCCTAGTTTCTCCTATGTTTTCGTATTCGCGAATATTATTAACGTCGAAAGAGGTCGGAATCAATGGGATCGATAATCGAGCCCATAGCTGACACTCACCCCGGGCATTATTTTGCTGTTGACATCCCTCATTATGGAATCCCATGATTCTCCCTTCGCTGGCGCTTCTTTGGGCAACAGAGGTCTTAGGTAGCCTGGATCCACGTTCGCCGTCACTCTTTTGCCTTCCAGTGTGCGGAGATACTCGCAAATGTACTCGATCATCTCCTTGCCGCGTACTTGAAACTCATCGATGTTCATGATAATTGCCGGCTGGAATTGCAATTCGAAGGAGAGACGGACTAGTGCGTCCCAATGAAACTCATGTTTGATTAAGCACGTTCTCGGCTAGCGTGTGTACGTGATCGTGACATTTTTCAGCGCCATTTATCGGGATTACAGACGAAATAAACGTCATTCGTAAAGAGATACCTGGGATGAAATACCTTTTTCAATGTTCTCTTTGTTTTATTCTTTTTCTTTTTATTTTTTACTTAATCTTATTTAATTTTATTCAAATCGTACAGAATTCGTTGGGTTCTCTTTCTCGAACTACTTCTAGAGCTTCAGTTTGTTTCACTCACTTCATTCTCTTTAATTACCGAATGAAAAACCGATCCACTTCAACGATTTATCACTTGCCGATCGTTCGAGTACTCGTTAAGAGGATTCTATACTAGTAAATCGTCGTGTAACGCTCTCAAAAAGCGACTCCACTTCGAAGGAAACGTGTAACAAGTTTGTCCCGCGTTGGAACTGAGACTGGTGGCACCTGCCATAGCGCCGGTCAGTTTTATGCGCGCCTCCTCTTCGTACATCCCTGCCTCACGCAGATAAAATTAAGGCGGAGCTTCGGGGATCGTGAAAATTATTAATTTATCTAAGCTTCATTCTGGATTGCGACACTGGCGCCTACTGTAACGCTTGTTACGCAAATGGCACCTCAAAAACGCATCACACCCCCTTCCAAACTTTCCGCCAACCCTCTAAATTGGTCACATTTCCGTCAGTCTAACTAAATTTAGTATCTTTTCGCTCCCACGTGTGACGCGATAATTCATTCTCTTTCTTAAATATATCCATTCGCATTTTTCCCATGCAAGCATAACTTTCAAACTTTTTACCATTACACGAATCTTCTATAAAAATATCCGCGTTGGATCAGTGCCTTTTTACGTGTAAAAAAATTTACTTATAAAGCAACTTATCCAAAACGTTTCGACCACGACGAATAATTATTATATTTTCTTAAAAAGGATGAAAAGTTTGGTCGAAATCTATGTCATTTTTTTATCCTCGATCATCTCCAGAGCGCGAGTTTGGTGGTCAAAAATTCGGTTTCCACCCCCGCGGAAGATGTCGAGAGATCGATGCCGAAAATCTGAACGAAATTCGTAAGAAGGGTGGTCGACATCAATGGTGATGTATCGAGGGGGTCGCTGCTTGAATAAGCCAGCATGTTGTCGATGATGCACGGGGAGTAAACTCACCCCCTCCTCCCCCGTTTATAAATAGACGTTTACTCTTCACCTACATTTACAACACCCCGTAGAAGCGGTGACAGGTCACCGCTCAATCTTTGTAACACACACAGGCAGACACATGGCGAACACCATTTTCTCTCTCGTCGCCACCTTCACGCATGATCTCCTCGTGTCCGACGTTTTCGAATTGGATTCTCGATCGAGGGTGCACGAACGATTGCCACCCAGTTCGAATTAATTAATCCCACCACCGATCACCTTTTTTCCAGCTGACCACTGTGCATTTCCCTGTCGACTCTCGATAGCCGAGTTGTCGATGAAGAAACCACTGTACGCGACATTCGGGCAGCTAGCAAATTATCTTTCCGGTTAATCCAATTAAACGATCGAAAGTTCGAATGTGAAATTAGGAACGAGGAAGTATATCTGATCCACCGTCTGCGTGGTTGATTAAAACTCCTAAACGTTGAACCCCTCGAACGACGAAAGCAGCATCGTCGCGGTGCGTTGGCTGGAATTTTCATTTATTTTTCGATATCGATAAGGGAAATCAGCCTTTGATCTCCGTTCATTCGCAACATCCTACACAAGGGGTGATATTAATCGGGTGCACGTTCGACTACCAACTTTCTGGCAATGATCAACGTTATCGACAACTACCCCTACCCTCATCAGCCTGTTACGATCGCGCGTTTTCGCGCATCCCTTGCCGCGGAAATCGGCGATCACGTATTCACCTGGTGACTTTTCCGTTTTTATTACGAGTCGCAGTTCGCGTACACGAGTTTCACAAAAACGAAATCGAAACGAAATTGAATAAATGTCACAGGGATGCTTATGAAAGGGCGACAGAGAGGGAAACGATAGGCAAACCGGCGGTCCAGGTGCATCGCTCACCCTCGTGACCCCAACCTTTTCGATCGTGTAACGAACGATTCTTTATGACCTTTTTTTTTTTTCGATATTCCTACGGCAACACGAGTTTCCGTTTCATGTTTTTATCCCACCCCTTCCCCTGATCTCCCCAATTTACGGATATCCCGGTGGACAGGAAACGATTACGTTTCGAGATGATGGTGGGTAATTGGAACTCCGTTCTGTACTTCTGAAATCTTTTTAATATATCGACGTATGCACGCTTTATATATATATATATCATACATGTAGGTATATCGTGTAGAGTAATATGTTACACATGTAGCGTGTTCCACGTGGTACACGATTCCGTCGCGATCCAAAGAGAGCACACTTATATAAACAGATCGATAAGCAAGTAAAGAAGATGTACTTATATTTATCGAGCGCTTCCTTCGGTCGAACCGAGAGAACGCGAAACTTGCAGCTACTACACACACAGTTCCGGGGGGTGACTAACGAAACAGGCGACGAGGAATGATGCCACGATCAAACGGGGTCGTCGATCGATTTCGACCGCGTCTTCGGACATTTTCTCCCGTCGTTCGTTGCTGAGCAATTTTAGGAAAATTTTGGGACAACTTTAGGAGAATCCTATACATACGATTTCTTCGCTAACTTCTAAACTCCCTTTCATCGATCTCGTCGGCAGTATTCGTGCATCGTCCGGACGATCGAGAGGTCGCTTCCGTCGACGCACCTGGAGAAACTTTAGAAAAAGACAATGGACAATCGTGGAAGGTTTTACGCCCTGCCGTTCGGCGATCTTCCACGGGACGGCGATGCTGATGGCGATGGATCCGGGCTGCAGCCATTGCTGCTGCCGCGACGACTTCCGGTACCGCTCGCTTTCAGCCGTACCATGGTGTCCAGGTGGCGAAATCTGCAAACGTCGCTTCAATTAATACCCCATTCTCGTGCCAACGATTATATCACTTATCCACGAACGAGGCACCTTGATGGACATTTCGGAAATATGGACTAAAAATTTGGTGCACCCCTGGAAAATGTATTTTCAAGGAAATCGATGTGGAACGTGACGACTATGAGACAACAGCGAAGCCTCGAGATAATGGTGCGCAAGAAATAAGGTGAAAATTCTATCCTATTTCTATGCTAGTGTAAATTATTGGAGATGGAATTATACATGTTTGCTGATTGTTTTAGTGTAGAGGTGGAAAGCTACGGAAGATGCATAGCTTTTATCGAGACGTCTATGAGGCTACTTAGATCACATGCAGTTCACTCGATCGCTTTGATACAGAGGTTATCACTGAAAAATATACTATTTTAAGAACAACAAGGGTGAGCTGTGAAGAGATTCAAAGGATATTTTCTGAAACGCTCAACAAGATACGAAGCCAGCATCTTTTAAATGAAATATATCTTGGTTTGGCAGAAAAAGTTAAAGAAGTAGGCGCAACGATTTCGAGGGTATTTCGTAAATACCTGAGAGATAATTCGCTGGTATCCGCAGCATCCTTTGCCTGCATCAAGTATGCCAGTGGCCACGATATCCAGGAACGTCTAACATCGGACATACTAGATCAGTGATTTTACTAAATTTCTGTAATTCATGTGCAGCCAAGCCTTACGTGGCGGTATGAGGATTGGAACCAATGCCACCGATCGTTGCTTGAGTGTCCAGTTTCGCTCCCGTCCTGTTCGGAGTCTTGGTGAAGCCGGGTTGGATCGCAGGATCGGACACCATGCGCACGAAGAAGGACCTCCTCTGCTCCAAAGTGGCTTTCCTCTTCTTCTCGCGAATATCTGCCAATTCGTCCATGACATCCTATAATCGAAAAAGGAGCAAGACACGTATGCCAGCTGAGAATGTTACAGAAGAGGAATGAAATTCTTCCAGTCGAGATATCTCGCTCACCTTGGACTCTAATAATTCGGCTAGATAATCCGTTATGATACTCCAAGCTATGTCTATAACAAAAACAGAGGTTGAGGAACGTAGACGTTGAAAATTGGCATTATCAAAGGAGATATAGCTCACCAACGTCAGAGGCGGTGGCATTCGGTGCAGCAAGCGCGAATCGAATCGTGAACCGTTGATTCACTCTTGCCGGCACCATGTGCAGCTTTCCGGAGTCGTTGATGGTGCTCAGTAGCTTTTGATTCAGCTTGTCGGTGCCTTTTGCCCGGAAACAAACCAGGCCCAACTGAAACGATCAAACGTAACAACAATGACTTCATCCGAGAGCATACGCCGTTGCTACAGCGAACAATCGCTCACCACAACTTCGTTACAAAGTTCGAATCTCGCATCCTTCCTAACCAACGCCTCGAATCTTTTAGCCAGTTGGATATGATTGCGAATGTAGGCCTGCAAACCGGATATCCCGTAGCTTCTCATCACGAACCAGAGCTTCAACGATCGAAATCGTCTGCTCAGAGGTATGCTCCAGTGTCTGCGGAAATTGGAACGGCGAGACGATGGTTAGCTTTTTAATGAGATAAACAACGTTAAGTAACGCTAAACGAAGTCGATGAAATCGATACTACCTGTAATCGATGGCGGTATCCGCGTGAGTGTGCTGGAGATAAAGAGGATCGACGACGAGCGCGCCGGTCAGCTTGAATCTGTCTCGAACCCAGAGGCAAGAACAGTCGAAGTTCGTCAATAGGAACTTGTTCGTGTTGGTGTTGAAGGAATCCGCGTACTCGATACCAGCCATCAGGTACTTCAGTTCCGGACAGATGAAAGAGTTTCCGGCATACGCTGCATCGACGTGCAACCACACCTGTCGAGGATGATCGCAAAATTGTTGAGACTGAAGGTACGCGACGATGTTGTTCCAAAGATATCGATCGTCTTACGCCTGGATATTTTTTACAAACTGGCCCGATTTCTTTGAGATTGTCGAAGGAACAACAAGCAGTCGTGCCTAGGGTGGTAGAGACGAAGAAGGGGATGTAACCCTCGGCCGTGTCCGCCTCGATTGCCTGTCGGAAAAGCGGACAGTCACGAAGGAAGAATAAATCACCTCTGACGCGAGAAAATTCATACTTGACGCAAAGTTTCGCCACGAAGAACGCTCTTCTCGTCGGGTTCCAAGATTCTCAGCTTCACGAAGCAGATCATGGCATCCTTCTCCACGCAACTGTGACTTTCGCGACTGCAGTAGGCCATCAACTTGCCTAGAAGAGCAGTTTCGTCCAGGTGTGCGTGAGCTGGCGACTCCTTCAGCCTGGCAATCGCTTGAGCCCTCGCTGCCAGCATACACACCAAGATACACTCCGAAGCTGAGCCCTGAAATATATTCAACGCCATTAATTCCGCGCAATGTCACGAACTCCTCGACAGTTTGAGATATTACTTGTATTACACCTCCTCCTTTGCTACCCGAGCTAAAATAGAGGAAGTCCGTCGGCAAACCAATGGCTTTGCCTGAAATTTATCGTACTGATGACTCGTCCCATAATATTTAATATATATTCAACCGATATTTAGCGAGATAATATTGAATTACCGAACCAGTCGCAGACTATCGTCTCCAGCTCCGTGCAGGCTGGACTGGCCGCCTAGAACAAATAAGATGTCAAAATACACAGATGATCGTGCAAACAATGATCAATCCCTCGAGTCTCGGACCAATTTTCCCACCCTAATCTTCCCGAGAAAATTGAATTCGTGTATCAACGCTGCTTTAGCACTCTCGGGCACGCGATCTCGCCGGAAAAGATCGTCAAGCTCACCCATGAAAATCCGATGCACCCTATCGCATCCGACAACATGTCACCGAGTATCGATGGGAAGGAATTTCCAGCTGGGAAGTACGCGTGAAACCGTGGATGTTGCCAATGAGTGATCTACAAAAACGTTCTCTTTGTAATAAATCTAATTGGTTTTAGGTAGGCTAATCGTCGAAATTGCGAGGAACGCAATTGACGATCTCTCCACTTACTCCGGGCATGATCTTCAACTCGACGTCTCTCATGATGTCTTCCCAAGGCTCAGGTTGTTGCGGTGCCTCGGAGGGTAGCAGGGGTCTCAAATATCCGGGACCAACGTCCGGCGTCACTCTCCGATTGTGAATATTACTCATGAACTCGCAGATGTACTCCACCATCTCCTTGCCACGCACACGAAACTCTTGAATATCCATGACGATCCGTTCCGCTCTCGAATACCTTCACATGAAACGTGATCTCGTTTAACCTCACGATTTTCACGAATTTCATCCACGAATTTCACCCTCTCCCCTTTGTTGTATTATATCTAATTCAGTGACAAAGTCTGTCACGATATACTTGTCACGAAACAACGGAAAATCGGTGAATCTATAGTACAAAGGTACTCGATCTATCTCCAGCACAGACACTTTTTCTGTTGAGAATTTCCGAAACTATCCTGATATTTTTAAAGCTGTCTAGATTCTCTTTCAGTTTCACTTTCTCTCACAACTCTTTCTCGCGAGACTCTGTCGGAATTTCGTGGTCCCCACGCGGAAGACGTCCTACCTGTTGCTAACGACGGCAGAGATCGAAGGGTCCAACCGGTGCACGTTGAATGAGCCACGGCTGAACAATCCCCAGTTCCCCTAACCAGCGCGGATATATCGAGGATCCAGGATTCTTCGACTCCTGCGCAAACGCGTCCTTTGGTGGGATCTTCTTCGCGGATCCTCGAAAGGACGAGCGGGAGAGATGGGTGGATCTCTGTATGGGCTCCAGACACAATTTCCGTCAAGGAGACGATCGAAACAGACACGCAAGGGTACCGCCTCTTCTTCGTCCAGGCAGTGGGATCATGTTTACTGCTCGTTACAGACTTCGGCAGCTGCTACCAGTCTAGAGTGACGAGACAGCAACTAATCGGCTTCTTTGGAAGTTCGTCTATGCCTTTCGATCTGGGACGATGTCACTCGTCGTTCAATCTAGCAGAGACTTACGCGAGGGTGACACGTGCTCTCGATGAGACAGGATAAAAGGGAATAAAGTCCGAGAACAGGTGTGCCGAAGTGACAATAAGCTAGACGATATCTCGTAAACGATTCCAGAGAGCGGTGTAGACTTCATAATTCATGGTCACATCTGTGACACTCGCCCTCAGTCACGTCGCTCCTTCTTTTTGGTAGAACGGCGAGTTCTAACGAGCACGGACTTCGTTAAAATATACATGATCGAGAGGTTGCTCGAATTCGTGAGAGGTTACACGCGGAGAGAGGGATGGAGCTTTCCGCGAGGGGAAATTTCATTCCGTAGAGGTTGATCGACTCGGAAATATTCATAGAATCGTTGGAGGGAATGGCTGGAACAGGAGTTTCCCTCCCGTTTGACGGAGGAAAACTTCTCGAAACGGGTGGCGATTCGTTCATTCGCGATGAGATCGTGGAGCGTCTTCACCATAGAAGGGTTGGCCACTCGAATAAATTGGAAGCCGGGCTTCTAGCATCGCGCGATGGTTTATTACGATGGGAAAAGAGCGCGTAGGCATCGTTAAAAAGGTGTCAGATGCAGAATGTCCCTCTCAAAAGTCGAGGTGATGCTGGTGCACCGAAAGTGGTCCAACTCCTTGACCTTTCCCTCCCCGGGCGTTTTTACGGGACCCGCCAACCACATTAAGGATCACACAGCCATCGGTCGTCGGTTCGAAATTAGATTCTTTCGTTGCTCGCGCAAAACACCGGATCGAATCGCAAAAACCACCGACCGCGAAGAAATAACGTTCGTAACTGGTTCACCAACATGGACGTTTCGCGTCTACGAATGATTGATCGGTCGATCATTTCCTTTTTAACCGTTTCAATCGGTCCGTTTCGTTCTTCCACCTTCGAACAACGTCGCGAGCCATTCGCGGAAATATGAAAACGTCGTAACTATGATCGCGACGTAGCTATGATCACGACGTAACTAACTATGATCGCGACTACCTATCCACGAACACCAACGTGAACCAACGTAGCGTAACCACTAGAAGCAGATATAGGCCAAATAATGATTTCTAGCGTCGCGAATGCGGAACTAGCGGTACTTTCAAGGAAGTCGCCGGCTAAATGTTTAATCGAAATCGATCAGACGAAGTGTCACTGTCTGGCTAACGAATTCCTCCGGTACGTGCACCGGCATGATTTCCATAGGGGTGGTCGCGCGGACGTGGGACCAGGGGACTTCCCCCGTACGAAATAGCGCAATGAACCGGGCGGTAGCCAGCAGCGGGTCATCTAGTTTCGTTTCGAATAGGCAAAACGACGCCCTTTAGGGATAAAAACGTTCATAATGCTGGAATGCAGGGGATGGAGACTGACAGGGGTGCTTAATAATGCAATATGGCGTCGGGGCGTCGCGGCGCTATGCCGGCTATGCCGCATACCACCACCATATACGCCTACACTGCGACCCCTTACACCCCCGTGGCTATCCCCGAGTACGAACCAGCCTGAGAGAGTAGGGATGTACCGTGCAATCGAATGCTGATTGGAAAATATTGATGGGGCTTTCCATACAGGGTCCCCAGACCGTCGATGCTTTTTCCAAGTTCGCCAAGGAATTCCGGAAATTATATCGAACGCGAACTTTCCAGGGCCGTCCCACTTTCATCAGGGGTGATTGATATTAATTGTCCAGCCACGAGTTATCGCCGATTGATATCGCGAGGTCTCGTTATCGGGTGGCAAAGGCTCGAATACTTGAGAATAAATTCGAATATTTCGATGTGTTTTTAACGATGGCTTCAATTTCCTCGATTATTCGCTACACCGAATCTACATTTGCATGCCGATCGTCATTTTTCACTCGAAACGTGATACCTGCCATTAACCCTCTTTAATTAAGATGCTTAATTCCACCTGTTGAATTTTTTTGAATTTTTCTGAATTTTAATACCAGTGCGGTTAATCCATACTTAACTCTTTACACTTAAAATAAATTTTTATCCTTCGCTTTGTGGGGAGAATCGATTTGAAGAATAAACAGTTCCTCCTCCATCCACCCACTTCGATCGTGGGTAAATTAAAAAGAAAATGATGTTTATTGTTCGATAAATGGTGTATTAATATTTAAGTATTCCGCGAGGGGTAAATAGAATTTTATGAGAATAAATTAATAATCCATGAAATAAAGTGTAATAGAGTTTGTTGAAGACAAAGTTCAAGTTCAACGACTCGATGGAATTGTAGACGTTTAAACATTCTTCTATGGGGGAAGATAAGACCGGGGGTGGTTTATGTGCAAGACTGTACTCGGTCGTTCCAAGTTCCATGAATGGTTCCAAGCGTGGCACGCCGAAGAAGCAATGCCTGCGAACTCATGACCTACTGGCAGAGAGACGTGGTCTTCTCGCTCTTTCATGGTTGTACTTCCCTATATAGTCCTCTTTAAGACCGGGAAAGTCATTAGAAAATCGGAACTGCGTTTGACAAATATTTTTTTATACAGAAATTTCGTCAAGTCTTCGTACGATAATTTATCGAGAAACGATCTTCTTTCAGATGGGTAGATCGAAGTTGAAGAAGAAAAATAAATGGACGAAGAATTTGCCGTCCGAGCCCACGGATTCGGGGATTCCCATACCGAATTTACCAGAAAAGTTCCTTTTGATGCGAGTAAGTTGCGAAATGTTTGCGGAGCGTTGGTATTCACCTTATTTCCGTATTATTCAATTGCAGAATTTTAGGTAAAAAGCGGGACGAAAATCAGAAATGTTCTTGGATACGCGTTAAAAGAATTCGAGAATTATAATAGCGTGGTTTGGACCGCGGCAGGCCATGGTATTGGTAAAGCCATTTCCTGCGCGGAACTTTTCAAGAGGAAACACGAAGGTCTTCACCAAATCACCAAGTTACGTTACGTAGAGTAAGTTGCATAATATGAAAGACATTAGTTTCTTTCTAATTGAGTTATACGTATCTTTAAAGGTCGGAAAAATCTAAAGCGAAAAATGAAGCCGATGTGAACGTAGATATAGACATTCGCCACGTACCGGAAATACATATTTTTCTTGCAAAGGAAATAACGGATACATCAGAACCTGGGTAATAAATTAATAATAATAGATAATAATTTGAATAATAAAGTTATACGATGTTGTTGATATCGACGATGTTAATGTCGTAGTTATCAGGCACCTGGGAATAATGGGGAATTTTTAAATAATCAAGGAACGAAAAATGGCAAAAAGGGTAAGAAACATGACACTGGTAACAATGTGACCTGCATTGATGCTGAGGAATTCGCAGCTATGGGATTAAGGACCGGTCAGAAGAGACCAAAGAAAGAACAGCAAACAGAAGCGCCACGAAAAAAGAGTAAGAAAAAAGGAAACGGTGATCGATAATACAAGTGAGAGGAATTAAATTATATTATAAGCAAAATTCGATTAAAGAATTGTATATAAAGAAAAACGGAAAGTTTAATAAATCATTTCTTTTTTTTTTTAAGTTTCTTACATTTGTCTGAATTGTAATTCTATTATATTTACTACACATAATGAAACGAATATTCGTATTAAGTAAAAAGTTTATTCCTTACCAATACATGCATACTTGTTACAGAAATGATTACGCAGTCACGATGTATCTCTGTTGTCTCGATCTTTGTTAACTGATCATATTAAATTTCTTATTTACATATTATATATACAGTGTTATAGTGGGCATACATATACATTGCAGACTTGTAACATACATTATGAAAATTACAGTGCCTTTTACACAAATTCAGTTGCAGGACTTTTCTGTTTTAAAAATGATTCGCCAATAGACGAATAGCAAACATCAAATTTCACCAAGAATAAGTGAAATTATTAAAAAATTTCTTTACATGATTATGATATCCACCATTGGTGAAATTAGAAGAGAAGATACTTTACAATTCTTTGTCTGTTCGTTAGTAATATATTCGTGGTATCAAATTCATATAAGCTTACAAACAAATTTTTTTAATTAATTACATTTGATGCATTAATAAAATAAACAACAATAGATTTCAAAGTGTTTATCTTTTTCTTAAATTTGATGTCAGTTTCTAATATAAACTACTTATTGCAGCTTACTTACTCGGCAGTAGTATAGATAATCTTCCAGCATTGATATCTTTTTTCTTAATAAGAAAGCTAGAGAACACTTTCAACTTTGCTATTTATTAATGGAATTATTAATCGTCAGAAAGTGAATGTCGAATAAAAGGAATAAATAATTTAAAACCTAATTATAAAATAATATTTACTTGTATTCTCCAGTCTTATTTGAAAGAATGTGGGTGTCGTGATAATACAAGAGGGTTATACCATTCTTCATATGTTTATCATCTCACAGACAATAAAAAGATATTTAATCAGACTATACGACATTGAGAGTTATATCAATAACAGTAGAAGAGAGTTCAATATTTCAAGTTCAATCCCATGTATGATAAATATCATATAAATGAGAACACTACAACATTTATTATTATTGCTAATAGTACATATAAGTGTTTGCTTAATTTGATTACTGCATGATAAATATAGTTACATTATATTAATGACTCTTGCTACAGTAAATATATTCATTTTGTTATGAGTCATTCAAATAAAAAACTGACATTTAATGTTATATTAAAAATTAATCAAAAAAATAATTAACTCACTTATAAATTTAACTACAAAAAAAACTTATTATCTAATAAAGTGCTATGTAGGAGGTTGAACATTTTTATCCTTAAACTGAATTTGAATTTCTTGTTATATTTAATCAAATTAAATTTTCTAAAAAGTTTAAAATTAAAAAATTAAAAATTTCATACATTAAAAATATAAACGTATGAAAAATGCAATAATGCAAAATTATTTTCATTTAATCTATTGTAAAAGGTATAATGCATTTATGTAGAAAGATTTATCTTTATACAAAGACCTCATAATGGCTAGTATTCAACTGCAATTATACCTTCCATATCCTTCACATTCACAATTTTAACCATGAAAAAGTTCTTTTACGAATTCCTATTAGCAATTATTGTATTCAAATGACTATTTTATTCTTAATTCAATTAATACCAAGAAATTCTAGTCGTATATTTCTAAACAAATTACCAAAATTTTTCGATACTCTTATATTGATTCCAATAATTGCAACCACAAGAGATATACCAGCAATATATCAGTGTTATCAATGACTTCATTAAATCTGACAAATCAATTTAGGACAATATAAATAAACATTCAAGTCCTACGCTTCACTTTCTGTTGTTCCCTCTTCTCCCATAATTGGTACTATCAAACTTTCTTTTGACATCAAACTATATTTTGTCACAAATGCTGTAAACCTAGAAACAGAAATGATCAATGATCCAAATAAATAAATTAATGAAATAAAAATTATTTTTATATGTGCTTCTATAATAATTAATTATTCTACCTGCGACATAAAAAAGTTTCATTCTCAAATTCATCAAATATTGTTCTATGATGATAATATGCATGAGAGAAGATTCTATAAACCCTTCGACTAACAGAACCAAGTTTCGTTACTGAAGATTCTTTAATGCTCACTCTGGAATAAAACGTATAGAAATAGAAAGACAAATAAAAAATATTTACACATTACATATTATACATACCTGCTAGGAAAATATTTATTGCTATTAAGTAAACAAGCTGCACCATCAAGTGTATGTCGTGTATAATCAATAGCTGGACATTCTTTGGGTGTTTTATGAGCAGCACATAGAAATATCCATTGTTCCGTAGCTGTCATTTGAGTACAAGTTTCTGGCTGACATTCTGCTTGCAGTCTTACAGTTAAACCATTGAGTTCCATACAAAATTGTCTTAAATGTTCATATTTCCATACTGCTTCATCTTGAGCTTCTGGCATTTTCAATATTAAATCAACATTAGATGGATCTTTTCTAATCATCTGCTGAATATATTGTTGCACGGCCAGCGTGCTGTCCATTTCTTCAAACGGTTCATCAGGCCATCTGCAAAAATTCTAAACGAAAAAGATTCTTAAATTTATAAATCTTTAGAGTATATTATAAAACGTATTTATCAAAGTGGCGTAATTTTAAATTAAATAATTTTAACCTAAAATTATATTGACATTTATAGACTATCAATACATTGGTAAAAATATAAAACAATATAAACGAAATATTATAAATTATTAGTATGTAAACAATAGTTTCTTTGCAGAACATCATTGATTTTCGAAAAATACATCAAAGATGCGTTCAAATATTTTTGTAAATACATTGTACATAACCGAACCATTATTAAATGATAACGTATAAAACATGAAAACAATGAATCTTTAAGAAAATTAATATTTTTATTAACCTTTGCCGTAGTTCCGGGTCTATTTCTTCTGAACATACACGTGTCCGCCATCTTCATTTTTCCAGTTGCACTCGATTAGCATGCACGTTCGATTGAATCAAATAAAAAGATCCGAGATGTCGTAATGTCGGCATAGAGAGTAGCGACACCATATCAGTGTCACATGGTGGCACTTTATTCTCGTTTAAAAATAATATAAATGTTTATATATCGGATAAAAATACGCAATAAATATACTTTTTTATTTAATATTATGAATAAATACAGGATAATATAATTTACGTTTTAATCTAACAATTTACTTTATTTTTATAATTTATATTCTATACAGAAAAAATAAAATTGGATTTTTTCCTTACATAATGTTTTAAAAATAAAAAAGCTTGACTAATGAAATGGTTTATATTATGTAAATGTTTATTCGTAAACATCTTGTTTATCGCCAATGTAACGTACTATATCCTCGGGTCGTAAAAGTTTCTCTGCATCCATATCTGGTATTTCAAAACCAAATTCATCTTCCATGGCCATTATAATTTCTATATGATCCAAGGAATCCAAACCCAGATCTTCCATAAAGTGAGATTTTAGAGTCAACTACACAAGATATCAAATTTTTAATTATAACATATTAAAAAGTAGACAAATGATTAAATTGAGATATACATTTATTACAAAGACATCACGATTCAAGCAAAGTGTTAATTATTTATTTCTTCTGAGAAGCTATCTATCAAGGTGTTTGAACAAATATAAAACAGCACTAATAATACTAATATTAACTCTTTGTAAAATATCATTAATAAGATATTAGCATTCTTTTTTATTGAAAATTATTAAATTGTGTAGTTGCAAAACACCTGCACAAGTATCTTTTAATATTGTATTATCTTGTGAATAGATACCTTCTGTGGATCAACTTTATCATAAAGATTGAGTACTAAAAGTACACGCTGGCTAATATACTCAAGTGTTAATGGTACCGTATGACCATACTGACGAACCTGCTTGACTCGTGTGCCCTGTAAAATAATAGTTCATACAAAATATGGAATTTAACAACCTTTTCAGCATTTACTTTATCAAATGATCGAACCACATGTAAAACACGTTCTTCAATTTTCTGAATATTAGCTGCTGTGCAATATGCACATATATTTCCTATATTTACCTACATATACAATAACATTATATATTATTTATGTATTAGAAAATAAGCAATATACAGATAATATAATTATATTTATATTAAAATATTTTGCAATTGTCACAATAAGGAAATCAAAAAGGTATTGATTTTTTATATAAATACATAAGTATATCCCTAAAAACAATCGTATTTTTTTATATGTATTTAATTTAATTAAAATATGACATAACAATCCAATAAAATATTCTGAATTTGAAATACGCTTGTGTTTACTATTTGATCAAATCCTAATTTATTTATGTTACATAATGTCTAATTTGTAATACGATATATTAACCATTGAAAAGCATTCATGGAAATTATAAAAAATAGCCGTGTTTACCTGTGGTGCAAGCGTGATAGAATTTTGTCTTCTATAATGACAAAATTTTACATTTGACTGAAATTGTGCAACAGTACTTCTTAAACATGTTCGATTAATTGAACGTCTAAGAGTACCGGTATTTCTTATTAAAAAACGAACTCCCGCGAGAGACGCCATTTTCTTTACAGTGAAAAGTCTTGCGGGTTACGACCTACCCTGGTAGACCAACTTTGTCGTAATGTAGCATATCTCGTACAGGAGTTTACATGTATATTAGAAAATGTAGCGACACCTACTTATATCAATTTATTTTTTGCAAAATTAAAGTTATTATTTATATTTTATTAAATACTACTATGAATTACATAATAAAAAACGGCATTATCTTACGAATACAACTATTTATTTGTATGTTTTATTGAAATTATTTACATATTGAAATATTTCTGTTATGCCTATGATGAATTTCATTATTTATAATTAAATTTCATAATTTTACAAAAATGTATCCATATTCCAAGTGGTAATATTTTTCGTCTCAAGCATCTACATCTAAAGTCTTTTGTTCATGATGAATAGTAATAGTTCGATATTGGTGGGAAATTTAATATTTACTTACTGGTATAAATCGTCAAACTGTTGAAAAACTTCGAGAACAAAATGAGTAATATTTAAATAGATCTGTATATTGAGATTCAAATAATGTTTATCACTAAAGTTATTGCTTCATTGGTTTTTACATCACAATTTCTCTTTTTTAATCAGTGTCTTTTTAAATTGATCGATAAGATATTTTTTTTCAATCTGATTTAAAAGAATTTGATAGAATTCTGATTACAGATAGATCGAGTTAATATATTTTCAGTTATATCATAGAATGCTTAGAAATAATTTATTACATATTAAAAAATGTAGAGAACAATAATAGCATATAACTATATTTATCGATATTACTTTTATTTTTATTCGATGAAATTGTAATAACAATATATGACAAAAAATATTAAAATATTTAAAAAAGAAATGACATTCTAAGATAAAAATATTTGGTTTGTAGTAACATTTTATATTGAAAGTATGGCCAAATTGTCAGAACCACGCACCTAATAATAAGTGATTTGTAGTGGAGTTCATGTTGGTGTTTATCTTTGGCAAGTATTTTTTTCTGCTATTCAGAGAGCAAATTTTGTTACTGCCTTGGATAAAGTGTGCTTGAATTTGTATTGTTAGTGCCATATGTGCTGGAACAACAGTGATCAATATGTGGGTGAAGCCACAAGAGGTTCTACTGGCAAATGCTTTTTGGTAAATTGATACATATATTCGATGTTCAATGTTCTGTTATAATTACTGTTTACATCGTATGTCAAAGACAGCTGACAGAGATATATTTAGAAATTTAAGCAATTTTCGAACAAGTATTATTTCAGAGTTTTATTAATTTATATATGCTAGTTTGAATAGAAAAATAATTATTTTTTTAATTTGTTTGCTATTCTTTAATCGATATTATTTGTTTACATTTCGTACATATATCTAATGAAATTTAATGTTATCTATTTGTCAAAGAATATAGTTAACTGTAGTTTTAAATATTTTACAAACTATAAAACTATAAATTACTTATACTATCATAGCAGTATAAGAATATAAATTATAATGCATTGTAGACTAGAGGTACTATTTATTGTCGATAAGGGACGTTCGTGCTATTAAAATCATTTTACCAATTATCTATAAGATTAATTTATTCCCCTTCATTAAGATATGAATGAAATATAAATGAGAAATTTTCATTGCTATGTATATTTTTGCAACTATAAAATTATATATGAAGTTATTAGTCTTTTGAAACATTATTGATTGAACAAATAAAATAAATTATAATTTTCTGCAGCTTATTTTTCATATCTTTATTATATTTTTTATGATTTCTTTTTATTTTAAAAAATCTTTATTTGTTATATAATTGAAGTTATTTTACATAAATAACTAATAAATACTTTTAGAAATTAAGAAATTAAATACTATAGGTATTAGTTTTCTTCAATATAATTATAACTGGTATTTTATTATATTTTAGAATAAAGTGAATCCTATGTCCTTAAATGAACATTATCATATTTTTATTACTAGGGTAACAGAACAGGCAACTATATATTTTGTTTTACAACGTCGTAAAGGATATGGAAAGAGTAAAGGTCTTACTTCTATATTGGTGGGAACATTGGATAGTGTTTTTGACACTAAACCACCACCATTTAGAATATTACATCAAACACCATCATCAGAAGTTTATTGGGGTAAGGTATCTAAACATAAGAACATAACATAAAATATTTATAATGTTTTTTATCATTTTTGAAAATATATACTAATATAGGAACTTGTTATTGTAAATTAAAGTGTTTTTAACTTATATAGCAATTGCATGTTCCTTAACACATGAAGAAATTTTGCAAGATTGGGAATGGCTTCATTCCAATTTGATAGATACTTTAACATCATTTGATACTGAAGAAGAAATAACTGAATTTGTTTGTTGTAAAATACAATCCATTATTGCAAATAATGTACCAGATTGTCAATTTGCAGATGGTAAATTATTTATAATAAGATTAATTGAAAAATAAAATTTTCATATAATTATTGAAGCTTATATTATTCACAGAAGATGATCCAGAATCATTTAAAACTGTATCTTTTAAATTTCATCAACTTTTTAACATACCAAAAGAAGATAAATTAGTCAATTACTATTCTTGCAGGTACTTACACAATTAACTCACAAGTATATATGATTTTATCAAACTTAGAAAATTTAGTAATATTGTATTTTTTTAGTTACTGGAAATCTCGTTTACCTAGACAAGGATGGTTATATTTATCAATAAATCATATGTGTTTTTATGCTTATATCTTGGCAAGAGAAACAAAATTAATTATAAGATGGGCAGACATTACTGAATTGGGTAAAACTAATTCCATCTTATTTCCAGATAGTATACGCGTTGTAACCAGAGACAATAAAGAAGTAAATAAAATATTATAATGTTTATTGTCTATACTATTACATTTTTTATGACAAACAATGTTTTATTTTACTTGCAGCATTATTTTTCAATGTTTCTTCATAAATCAGAAACATATTCATTAATGGAACAACTGACAAATATTGCTATGAAAAGGTAATATTTATAACTTACAATTAATAAAAATATAAAATATGTTCAATAAATTAATGTTACTTTTATTAGGCTTATAGATGAGAAAAGTGGCTTTAATGAAGATAGAGAACTATTAAGTAAACTAAGGTATTTGGAAGCATTTTGAAAATTGTGAGTAAAATTGATATGTATTAATTGTTATGATATTTCCAGCAAAAATGTACCTAAAAAACCATCTTTCTTAAAAAGAGATCTTGATGCACGAGCACATTCTGAAGCTTACAGGTTGCAATTTAGATTACCAGGAAATGAAAAATTGGATGGTAGTATTGATGCAACATTATGGACACCATACAATAAGAGATATGTCTGGGGAAAAATATTTCTCTCTCAAAATTACCTTTGTTTTGAAAGCAGGGTGAATATGTTGATTAATATTAATATGTGTATATAAAGATTTATATTTAATACCATGATTTAATATGTATGTTAATTTAGGTGAGAAGATTAGTAAGTTTAGTTGTACCTTTAAGAGAAGTAAGGCTTATAGAGCCTGCTGAAAATCAATCATCAAGTACAGGAATAGATAAATCTATTCTAGTAACAACTGCTCGATCGTCATTTCTATTTGCTCAGATTCACGATCGAGATTTTGTTGTTCAAAAAATATCTGAATTATTAGCAAAATCTAAACTATCAAACTTGTAAGATTTCATTTAATATTAATTTTGATGTCATAGTTTAATAATACTTTCATTGTAATTAATATATTTTATTATGAAATAGGAACGTTGATCACATATTTTCCCAAAATAGTTTACATCTCGTAGTTTACAATAATTGTGAGGAAACTAAATCTCTTACTGATTGGAAACCACAACCACCATTAATGACCCTATTTAAAGCTCCATTAACTAGTGAAGCAGCACTAAAACAAGAAGCTAAAGAAAAACAATGGGAATTACATTTTGCAGAATATGGTAGAGGTATTACAATGTATAGAACAACAGAGACAGCAAAACTTATAATTCAAGGTGTACCACAGTCTCTCAGAGGAGAAGTTTGGCTTACTTTTTCTGGTAACATAATAAACAATCATTACCACAATGATATAGTTTTATAATAGCAATATAATATAGTTTTGATTTATTTCTAGGTGCTTTAAATGAAATGGTAATGAATCCAGGACTTTATAAATCATTAGTTGATCAATCACTAGGTAAATCCTGTCAAGCAAATGAAGAAATAGAACGCGATTTGCATCGATCTTTACCCGAACATCCAGCATTTCAATCTGACACTGGTATTAGTGCTTTAAGGAGAGTTCTTTCTGCGTATGCTTGGAAAAATCCACAAATTGGTAAAAATTATATTTATAACATTCGTTGTCACAAAGATTAAAAAAATTGTTGAATTAATTGTTTTGGAACAGGTTATTGTCAGGCCATGAATATAGTAGCTTCAGTTTTATTAATCTATTGTTCAGAAGAATCTGCATTCTGGCAGTTATGTAATGTATGTGAATCATTGTTACCCGATTATTATGACAGAAGAGTAGTTGGTGCTCTTGTTGACCAAGGTCTTTTAGAAGAATTAGCTGCTGAACACTTACCAACTTTACATGCTAGATTACAGGAACTTGGTCTCATTAAAGTTATATCACTTTCATGGTTTTTAACCATATTCTTAAGTGTTATGCCAACTAGTAGTGCAGTAAATATAATGGACTGTTTTTTTTATGATGGAGCAAAAGTAATTTTCCAGGTACAACATATCTTATGTACATATATTTTACCTTTAGTTTCTTTTATTTTTTATTACTAAAAGTATTGAACTTTATTGATATCCTTTCTAATAAATACAGAATAAAGTACATACAGAAGAAATTTGAAGTAAACAGGTCTTTCTTCCTCTGTCAGATAGCATTGACAGTACTGGAGTGGAATCAAGATAAATTGTTAAATTGCCGTGACGATGGAGAAGCAATGCAGTTATTAACAGATTATCTTGGAGGTGTATTCAATGATGAGGGACTTCTACTTCCTAGACCAGTTGACAGTGCTGCTTCTAATCGAGTAAAAACTTTCTTTATACATAAGATACATTTGCACAGATTAATATAAATTCATAATTCTGTGTATTTGCTTATTATTGTAGAGTATATCTGTTCAAACCTTAATATACGAAGCATATTCAAGATATGGTTCTTTGACTATTGGTGGAATAGAAAGACTTCGTTTAAAACACAGGCTTAGAGTAGTTCAAAGTTTAGAAGAAGGAATTGAAAAAAATGTAATTAGAAGTGTTGTTGTTGACAAATATATGACAATGGAAGAATTGCAGGTATTATATACATATTTAATTATTTATAGATATGTAAATACTAAAGATATAAATATTTGAAAAACAATGATATCAATATCTAGGATCTGTTAAGTTTAGTAAGAGAAGAATTAATGAGTCAACGAAAATCTGAAGCTGATCGTTATGATCCAACGCAACCTCCTTACGAAGCATATAAAATAGATTTTGAACTGTTTAGAATATTATTTGGTGGCTTGTCTCCATGGGGAAAATGTAGTCAAGCTGAATCTCTCGCTGCTCGGTTATTCCGTGTAAGTTAATTTAAGTTTTAAAAAATAATTTTTTATTTCGAAATGGAGTTATTGATGACAAAAAAGGAAAATCATAACAAATGATAAAAAATCTTAGAGAATTAACACCTATGTGTATCTTAATTTTATTGTATAAGATCAAGCAAATACAGAAAATGTTCATAAGTACTATTGTACTATCAGTTAATGGATCGTAATCGTGATGGTCTACTGAACTTTCGGGAATTAGTACAAGCGATCGGTATGACAGCAACTGCAGATTTAACACAAAGATTAAAACTTTTATACACTCTGCACTTACCACCACTACTTACATCTGTTGATTTCGAATCACCAACGTATTCTGGTAAATATTATATAATAATTAAACGTATTTTAATTAAAAAATGTTTATTTTTATTCCGAATAAATTAAACATATTATTAATATCAGATGGTGCTGAAGTAGCAGCAGAAGCTACAGATTTTTTCGATAGTATGGAGCAAAGCGTCGCTTCTTTAGAAATGCCAGTTAGTTTAGCGGAAGAAGCGAGTATCGGTACCTTATCTCGTTCGACAAGTTTAACCAGTCAACAGGGAGATCAATCATGGGAAGTTCAAAGCATTGGTAGCTTACGCTCTATGTTAGCATCCAAAGATAGTCCACTGGATCTTAAAACTGTACCAAAAATGTCACAGGAACATTTCATTGCATTATGGAAAACACTTTATGACATGTTTCCTGCACAACCAGAAGAACAAGAAACGTATCATTGTATAGCTTCAATAGGTAATTTCTATATATATTTATATAATATTTATATGATATAAATATATTCTTTTCTCAACATATAGGTACCCTTTTACTCCAATTAGGCGATGTTGGTAAAAAATTTTATGTTGGTCGAGATGAATCTGAAGATAGTTTACTTTTAGCCGCTATTGCTGCTCAACAAACACCTTCAGTTGTGGAACGGGTAATATATTATTTATACCGAATAAATTTTCTTATAGTACATTATAAATTTTACATTAATAATGATTTTTAGTCACACGATCGTAATGGAAATCCATCAAATGTAGTTGCGTCTATTGGTCCAGATTGGGCAATAAGTGTCGAACAGTTTTTGGCATCTGCGTTAACAGGTCAAGCGATAGTTGATTTTTTTAGTAAACGAACAGATCTTACAGAAGCGATTGCTACTCTTAAAAATCGTAGGTTCAATCGCGTTCATTCCTTATCAGACACTCCTGTATTAAATATTTGATACACAGACTCAACTGTGTATAAAATAGTGTAAGATATATGTGAAATTTACAAACTCATAGATTGCCTTGAATAATTGATTAATAATTTCATTTCCTAAGGAAATTTCTACATTTATTGCAGTTAGACAAATAAATCTTAATTACAAAATAGGTTTGTAGTGAAAAAAGAAAAACATTTTTGTAATGAAGTAGTAGTTAAAATGAATTAAAAAAAAAAAAAAAACATTAAAATATAATATTTCAATGCAATAATTCAAGTAATTAATTTTATATATTACTCTTATATCTTTTATTGACTTTAAAATAATAATGTTTATCAAAAATTTTTAATTCTTTAAGCTTATAATGCTTTACTAGACATACCTATTAATAATATGTACTAGTTTACAATGGAGATAAAATTTCACTGCACATATGATCAAAAGTTGATTATTCTTTCAAAAATATTAATTTTCAAATGTATGTAAATTTATTGGCCTAATCATATAACATAGTAATCATATACCAATTAAAAATTAAATAAAAGATGGCATCAGTAGGATATACTCAGGGTAAAATATTAGTTCCAAATCAGTTTTGTGACATTTTATTAATATTCATGCTTGGAAATAAAGTTCCCGGTAAATGATACTAATATATGACAAAAATATTTTTTAGAACTGAAATGTACTGGATATTTACGAATTTCTATACTTTTTCAACTATAATATGAGTAACATATGCACGAAGTTATAAAATATTTTTACTGTCAGTTAATAGATTCACTGCTTAATCTTGTAACCTTACTAAAATTCCCAGTACATTAAAAAAACTTTACCAACAATTACAGTAATAAATATTATGTGTGATAAATCGATATTTTAAAACAATATGGTAATCATTTAAGACTATACTTAAACTATATACGTCCTTAAAAAAGTTAGATAATTCTTCAAAATAATTAAGGATTTATACTAATTCTTATTATTCAAGGTGTTATATGTATGATACAAAATTTTAAATGGATACATATTTTAACATATTTGTAAATGTTTTTGTTGAATGCAGTTGAATATTAATATTTGAAATCATACTTTTTTGACATATGCAACTATATTTTTTAAAATAATTTTTATTTTTATATAATCATTACATGCATAATTTTTTTAATGGAATCAGCAAAAGAAACTGTTCCATCATAAAACAGCATGAAATATTAAAAAATTTATCTTCCTGTATCATATATATGTATATAATGACTCATTATTTCATATGTGGAACTCTATGTACAAATCATAATAAATGACACGTACAACAAACTTGGAAGTTTATAAGAATAAATTAAATTAGTTTAACATTCATTTGGTTACCTTATAGTTTAACAAAGTAATACACATTATTTAAATTTTTTTATATTTTTATTGAAAGAATAAAATGATTAATATTAATTAAAAATTTTTTGGTAATATATCATCATTTTTTGCAAGTCGTACTAAACAATCATCAGATTCACCCTAAAAGTATAAAAAATATAATTACTGAAAAAGATACATATAATTATTATAATGGTAAAAAAACGTACCATACGGCGAATAGCTCCACAAATTGCGTACATTTTTTGAGAGTCAGTCATGCGCCCAGTTTCAGGATCAACATCAGCAATACTCAACTGAATAGATGCATGATCTTTGGCATGAATGATACGATTACTTGAGGAGCTGTAAAATACAAATTTTGCATATCATTCATAAGTAATTTAACACGGATTTATAGATATATTTACAACTTTTATTTAAAAAAACAAGTTAATACTATATCGTAAAAACAGTGCTCCACGTGCATTGCTTACCATTTTCTTGGAATGTACAAGTCAACAAGCACTCCATTGTCGTTCTCCATTTTTAAATCTGTAATAACAAAATTTAAAGTCTACACTGTTTTGTGCAAAAATATAACGCTAAAAGTCTTTAAATTAAAATATTTCTTTACTTTTGGTTGCTAAATGTGTACCCTGAAATGGCTTCACACGGAAAATAATTTTACAATAGTATAAATGTCATAAAATAAAATCAAGCTTACCAACATTGATAATATTTCCCTATATATTCCTATAGATTTAAATAAATTTTTATATACTGATATCAATAAACTTTTATTTTTCAATATTTATGAATATAAATGTAATGTTTGGAAGTAATAAATATAGCAATTAATTATATATAATGAATGCAACAAAACGATATATAAACGGCATATTATACTTTCTTATAAAATAAATAAGAATAATATTTATATATAGTAACATTTATATTTATATATATATCTATATACACATATGTATATAGATATATATATACATACGTAGATACATATGTATATATATCTACGTATGTATATATCTATATGTATGTACATATATATTAGAATAGTAATTAAAAGTTGATTATGATATATATATATATATATATATATGTCTATGTTATATATATATATATGTATATATGCTACATATATATAGGTACATATATCGAATTAAATATAAAAATGAGAAACAAGAAATTGTGTATGACAGGTAACACCGCCAAACGGACATTGAAAGAAACATTCCTTGTCTATATCACTGTCACACAGTTCCATCGGGCATTCGGTGACTTGAAGTCATCCGGTAAATCATGATGCTCTTACGATGTGCCTTCGAATTTCGTAAACACGGAGAGGTGTGTTAATATTCTCTTGCGCGTTTAAACAGTCTGTGATACAATAGTGTGTCCAATGTTAAAACATGTATTGTTTATTATATACATATTACAATTAAATTTGACACACGATATGTAACCGAAAGTATGCTAGATGCACTACGATGCAATTACAACATTAATGTTAAGTGCACTTATCCTTTTTCTTGTAACAACAACAAAACGTTAATCGCGCAAGTTCCTGCTGCACGTGCTCGTCAAACATGTCTATGAAGGTGAGCTTTTCTCTGTTAAAATTTCGTTATATGATTCACTATATGCAATTTTCTATTTCGGTATGTTTTGAATGAAACATTGCATGCCACATTTTAGGATGGAGTTAAAAATAAATATAAAATATCATTTTATCGTAATTTTTTAAATTTTATTAAATTTTATTAAATTTTATTAATATTTTCTATGATAATATTTTTTCATATGCGAAGAAATAATTTTAAAGAAACAATTGACTAACTAATTTTGAAATTTAATTGTATTTACATTCGATAATAATACCCATGTTTCAAATATGTTTAATCAAGCACAAAATTATGCGTTATTAAAAAAAACAGTGTACCAAACGTAATTTATTTTCTAATCGTTACTACTTACATATTCATTTATCGTAAAAATATGCGCATAGCAATTAACAAGAAACAACTTTAATCGAGATCTTTTACGTGGCACATATACACTTAGAAACATAAAATTAGATGAGATCAGAAGAAATTTACGGAGAACTGATGTCATTTCTCGACACTATAACAAGTTGCAAACACCTTGTCCTCTTCATTATACGCATGATTATATAACAATTATCGTATTTATCTTTGAATATCGTAAATAATATACACGCGAACAAGGCAATTCTAAGTACTTACGTTCATTGCAATCGATTAAGATCGCATAAAAATTTTGTATGCATCGATTGTTATGCTCAACGTGAGATGACCTAAAAACATAGGTTTTAAGAAGAAAACAACGTAACATTGCATTTCGATAAGCTTGCATGATTTATGCGTCACATGTAGAAGAAACACAGGTGGCAGATTTTTTGGACACTGCATCGAGATTTAAGTAAAATATACGCAGACTGGTTTTTATAAAATTTATTGACTATATCTACACGATCGTCGATTTACATTTTAATTATGATTTCATGCATTTCGTGATTTCGTAACGTGTGCGACGGATAAGTATTTAATTTCAGTTAGTTCCGTTAATAACGTCTTCTCACTGGGACCAACGTTCGAAAATTGTGCATGTGTTCTAAAAATATTGAAAAGTTCGAATTTCACGCGAAAAGCAGAGAAATTGTGAAACACTACGTAATTTTGTAAAATCCAATTTAAATTCCGAATTTGTTTAACTTATCTATATATCTGTCCTAATTATAATTACTTAATCAATATATAATTATAACTATAGGTTATCGACTGTTATATATTATAATCGTAGTTGATAGAGATCGCAATAAATTTTCGTGATTGGTCAAAACAGTTAGGTAAAGGAATTGGAACAAAATCTGGAAAAAAGATCACAAAGATAACCTGATATTATATAAAATAAAATTGTTTTGTTTTAAAGTATTCTTTTTTTCTTTCCCTGTTTTTAGAAAGAATCGCCTTGGGACGTGGAATTACATCTGGCGGCGGCACGTGGAGATGCAAAGCGTCTTCGAGTTCTGCTAGATTCTGGACGCGTCCATGTTGACTGTAAAGATAAGGTAGATTAGGAAAACTGTTCGTATTCATCGACGCGTCGCACGAACGTCTATAGACCATAGGGATTCGGTTACCAAGCGACGATCTACCGTTGAGTCAATTGGTTCACTATACAAGCGGCGAGACGCATTAGAAGAGCGAATAGTTCAAATAACCTTATTTCGTATTTCAAAAGTGGTTTATTAGATCACGCACGGATATTCGTTTCACTTTGGCACACGATCAAAATGGATGGCACTATATTTGGAGGAATTTGGAATTTGATCAAGAGACAGGCAATTAACGTTAACCTTCTTTTAAATGTCATGGCGAATCGTTCGACCGTTTTCGGGATATCTCGACTCATCTTCCTTTGCTAATTTGCAGACGATCGGTCGAGTTAATCGCGTCATTAAGGACTGGTTTTTTTGATTGGTTGTTGCGCCAATTGGAGAACCTTACTAACCATCGCTTCATTATTATTGCAAATTGTCGATGTAACGACGTGAGATTCGACAACGCAGTAAAAGAAGTAAGAGAAGTTCTTAAAATGAGAAGAATTTCAAATGCTGAGTATACGAAATCGGAGGAGTTATATGATAGATTTATGATACATAATCTGCTTACTAATACTGGTTTGTAGGAGTAATCGTGAAATTTGCCCCGCTTAAATCAATTAGAAAGCAATTCAGGGGAGTGCTCATTATGGAGATCATATTGAGGCGTGCGCGGTCACGCGCATATGAATTCAACATTCAAATAGAGTTCATTCAAACTACTTAATACGAATTTCACGGAAATTAAAGAAAATGATTAATATTTCTTCGATTTATAATCAACGTTACTGGCAGATTACTGACCATCTTATTTGTTTTTAGGATGGAACGACTCCTTTGATATTGGCCGCCGCCGGAGGCCACATTGAAGCAGTCACCGAATTGCTGCAACAAGGGGCGGATCCTAATGCCAGACGGCTGGTAAGTCCAGAGTACACGTAACCAGCCCATGAATGAACTCCTAAGAATGAATGAAACCCGCTGAACGCGCGCGTCCTGGCAACCCCGTTACCCACTGAACGGAAATGCTCTTTGCGACGACCGAAAGTTATAGTTTTAGCTAATTTTTTCCTCCCTTCTGAAATCTCAGGAGCACATTTTTATCCACCCTTGACTTTCTTACCAACCGAGGAATTATTTTAGTTAAAATATTTTCAGAAATATTTTCATTATTGAAACCTAAGGCTCGACGATTATCTTCGTTTCTTATAAATATAATCGTTGTCGCGATATATCGTAAGACTTTTGCATTATATTCGAATATAAACTAATTCTTCTCGAAGTTATTAGCTATTTTTCCACGTTTATCTCGATAATCTCTATCGTATGGCGATACTAATATCCTATTCGTATCCGATGATAATGATCTCATGTTGAAAGGCTGCGAGCGGTTTTTCTGCAGTCTCTACTTTTTTGAAAATGGAGGACATGTCTCTTGGTCTAGTTATAAAGGGCTTGGAAAGTCTGTGCGACGTAAAAAGTTTGTCGCTTGTAACACGAGGCACCAGGAAGCGGTCGAGTGGCCTTTTTTAAGTGGTTCGCGACGATTTATCGCTGAGCCCACGTATAGTAGTCTCGGTGCCATCAGGGAACCCGGCATTGTATGCAAATCCAACGAAATACAGAACCCTGTCGCGGTTTTCGGCCATGGTATGTCCGTTAGCTTTCAATTAAGGGAGTACCTGGCACGTGATTCATTAATTAAGTTATCGATATTTTTAAGCGAGTAACTGAACGTCGTTGCAATAATTTTATAATCTTTTTCCTTGTACTACATTCCTTGAGACTTAAATGATACCCATGATCCTTCCTTTTTTTAGATGTAGAATAACGATGTGCAAATGAGTCGAGACGTAGCAGCCTCGAAAGGAGGAAAAACAGATCGAAGAAGTCCTTTCTGGTATTTGAGATCAAGTGACGATGTTCTCGAGAACGAATTACGCAAACGCACGTTAAATCAGCTAAACGCGCGTCAACCGATTACACAATCGTCGCAGTTCGATTTCCAGAATTATTTTTATTGACTGTGACTAGAGTTCCGTGCTTCGTAGGCGCCTTTGAAATTAGCACTGGCGCCGTTGACATCGAAATGGGGCGATTTCCAGCGCTATATCGGCGACCCAAATGAATTCTTAATCGATCTTAATTATTGAGAGAGGAGAGAGTCAATAGAGGAAAGGTAGATGTTCTAATGTAAATGCGAGAGAGGCGCTCAATTAGTCGTTCTGCTTATTTCTACGAGTCAGCGATCGCGAGTCGTTCGATTATTTGGCCGATAGGCGAGTTTCTAATTCATAACAAGAGAATAGAACGTATTCTTCTCTCAAATCGAACAAGCAGCGTGACTATTTCGTTTTCCATATTAGAAAATGATTATTTATGATTTTTTAATTAAGCACCATGATTCATGAAGAATATTCTTTTTAATAGCGCTGATGCATCTCGAAGTGAACAGTAGCGTAATAAATACGCTGGTAAATAGATAGCCGTTTCAAATATAATTTTCAATTAAATTATATGATATTCTGTCTGCAACTGCTGTTTTTTTCTTTTTCTTTTTACATTAAATAGGTAGCCTTTAAAATTAATTAGATTATTATGAATCTACGAAAGATAAAATAAAGAAAGAACCAGCAAAAGTGAATGCTGGAATCTGTAACAAAAGAAGCCGGTTGCGTCGAAAGCCCAAACGCGAATTCATTAACGTCGGTCAATTAGTCACGCTCGTTCTATAGTTTCTAAAAAGCGCGACCTGAATACAACGAACGAATATTTCGCCTCGTAAATACCCTTGGTGTTGGCGCATAAAATACGTACCTCTGCGTGTATTTGTATATAAGCACATTCAAGGTTGCTGAAGCGAAGCACGTTAGGTTGCACCGTGGTATACACGGATTCGCGTGTTTCTAATGCATTTCAGCAGCGACGTCTGCCGTAATATGCGACTGGTCGCCTAGAACGGCTCACGTGGAGCGCAAACCGTCTAAACGCGGCTTGTGCACAAATTGCCAGTATCAGCTTGAAAATCGTGCGTGGGCGTTCGTGACACACTGATCCCTTAAGTTTGGCCTCGTTCAAGAAACAGACTTTCGACCGGTTCAAACAAATCTTTTCATTGGCTACCGGTACTTGGAGCAATATCTTGTTACTTAAGTATCGAATTTCGTGGACTTCTCGTTGCAATCCTTTGGCAATGTTTCTGTTTCCAAGGGATGGACTAGTCACGTTTATTTATTCATTTCACAATTATATATGAAAATATATAATTCTTTTTAAATTGAAATTCTCGCTACAACTTGATTTTTTAATTAGTTTCTTTCTCGTGAAAAGTGATCATTTTTTTTTTAATAAATTCAAGAGTGTTCCCTAAAAGAGCCGGTATCTAACATGGCTGATTTATCGAAATCTTATCTTGTTTATATTGCTCCAAATATCTATAGGTTGACTCACGAGTTCGCAGAAGTAATAAATTTGTAACGTTTTATTTTCATCGTATACGCGACTGGCAAATATCTGCGAAAAAAAAAAAAACGAAAAGTTCGCAATTCTTTGGAATTCGTTTTTATGCGGAATCGTGGAAAAATAACTTCGGTAAAAAAGAAATGTATTCGACATTGCGAAAGATGAAACATTTCAGGATTCTCGAGTGCCGGTCTGGCGGAAATTTTCCAAACTTCACCGGCGCTTCATAAGAATTTCAAATAAACGAGTATGCTCGTAGCACGCGAAAGCGTGTTGTATCGCATAAACATGGCAAGCGTTAAAATAGCGTGCGTTGGAAAGCAGATTGCACGCAGGAAGTAACAAGTTCATTATAAATCGACGATGTCCGCCATCCGTCCAAGCATCCTCTTCGTTTTAAACGTCGCGCATTAATTGGTATCACCATCTATCAGGGGCCAGAGTACAATACGCGTCGCGGGTAGCCTGCATCGTTTACCTTTAATTACCATATTTACCTGCGATCCAACAAATTAATTAAACTATGGGTGGGGGGTGGGAACTGGTATCGAAAATAACTTTGACCTTTTATGTTGTCCCACTTTGTACTCGCGTCTTGCATCGCAAGATTTGTACTCGCATTCGCGGGTTTGTGTTTCACAAAATTGACACCAGGTGGCTTTTTGATGAGTGCATTTCTTGCAAATCATCGATTGCCGTCAAAGTATGCGCTCGATTTGTTTCTCGCCGAAAGTTAATGTACGCGAAATAAATATGGAGGAATAGGATTGTCGATATTTTTATCTTTCTAAATTTCCAGGTATTTGTCGATTAGCGTAATCGTAGCGTTGTTACTAAGCGTTCGAAAGAAACGTCTTTAGTCGTACAATTGTCAAGATCCAATTCTCGGCCATAGCGCATGCATGATAGAATGCAGGCTGAGTGGGAAAAATTCTCGACCACGATGGCGAACTGTTACCATGACTAGATAGACAGGTTGATCGTCGTTATAGAATTTCTGCGGTTTGTAATGTATAGGTATTATGTCTCCCGGTTTGATATGGTTGAGGAAACATTGGATCTCCATGGAACGTGTGCACCTTGGAGAACGGTCTGGTAGTTTCTGAGCGGGACCACGAGTAATAAAAAGGAAAAGATTCAATTCGAACGATAAATCGATTGAGATTGATTTTTCGACGTCGATTATTGATGCTCCGAATCAACGGAACAACGTTAGTGAAAGTGCATGCATAGCTGGCACTTGAACAGGTTCAGTTTGCATCGGTCTGGACACGTTGTTCCTTTCGTGGATATTCGAGACACACACCAGTACTTTCTCTCCTTTACCGATGGATAGATATTCGATTCGAAATCGCTCTCTTTTTACTCAGTTATTCGGAATTTGGCTCGCTGTAGCTTCCAATGAATCTGACCCCGAAAAGAGTCATTTGGAACATTGAGATCCGCGATTATTTTGATATTTACCTTTTCTTCGTTTTTACAATTTACTTAGTGTTCAACGAATCATACCTTTGTCGAAAAATATTTAATTAGTGATATTTTATGTTCACATTTATTCTTTTTGTACCATTGTAAACTGTTAATTTTGCGTCTCTATAGTAGGAATGTTCTATCGTGATAAGAATAGAGTTCAGTTGATGGTACGTCAATTCTATCCGGTGCACTAAGTAAACGATAAGGTGTCAATCCTTCACAGGCGCAAGAAGGACATCTCTGGCATATTATAATAGGTACCGTTCCGCAGCAAAGGCGACAGGATGTCGCTCTCACTGTCAATTATCTGCAGGTATTATCATCACAAAAGGAACTCTGTCTGTTGATCGTAGTAGCAAATTCGATCTGAATGTTACACGAGTGAAAAGGCATATCTGACAACTCTAGGATAATAAAATGTAAAATTCATGGCCTATTAAAGTCATGTGTATGCGGAACTCGTGGAGAATGTGACATTTAAATGGCGAATGTTACTAATTATTCGGCGATATGTATTCACATTTGACATTTCAAATAATCGATGGAAATTTTTTTGTTCTTGTTCCTACAGTAGATTGCTTAAAATTTCTTTTTTTTTGGGAAAGTATTAATATCCATTCGTGTAGGTATTATTACCACTTTTCGAAAGTGTAGAGGCGTTTCATTGTTTCTTTAATAGTCTCTATTTTCAGCTTTCTCTTCATTCTCTGATAATCAATACTAATGTACATTTTTGGTGATCGGTGCTCTGCTTTTAACCGTTACCTTCCAAACGTTCCGAATACAAGGAAGATTTATACTCCGTCCTATGGATATTACGTATTTTATATTTTTCTCCTTCATCGTTCTATACTCGATTTTTCATTCCTAACTACGGTAAAACAAACTTCTATGTAATATCGATTACGTTATAACACTTAATATCAACACTCTTGCACTTTATTATACGCTACATATGTGTCTACAGAGGTAATAAAATAGTTTCTCGACATAGTAACTCGCCTTTTTTTTGTGCCATAAAATCCGAAAAGCTTTCTGGCACTTGGTACAATTGCCTTGGTGTTCCACTAAAATCTTCAACACTTTATTACTTTTTATTTTTAGACGGGCACCACGGCGTTGTTTTTCGCCGCTCAAGGTGGCTACATGGACATCGCCAGCCTTCTATTAGAGCACGGTGCCATCGTTGATTCTTGCAGCATAGTAAGTTGGAACGAAGTAAAAAGTATCGTGTAGTCAGGTGAAATGGAAACGATCGACAATTTCTGGTTGGGATTGCAGGACGGCGGTACCCCACTTTTCGTTGCGTGCCAGTGCGGTCACCTAGATGTTGTGGAAGGTTTGATCGAAAGAGGCGCCAATCCAAACGCTTACATGAAGGTGAGATAGTTTGGTTTAAGATTTACGATAGAAGAGGTTGTTTACTTAATCTTGGAGAATTATAGTTAGCGTCTCGTTAGTAATCTCTGAATAAAAGGAAGGTAACAACGTATTGGGACTTTGTAGGATGGTGCCACAGCATTATTCATCGCCGCTCAAAATGGCCACGTGCGTATCTTAGAGGTTCTTCTGGAGCACGGGGCAAAAACAGACGCGGCAAGAACCGATGGTGCCACGCCTTTATGGATAGGAGCGCAAATGGGACATGATCACGTCGTGAGGAGGCTTTTGAAAGCTGGTGCGAAGGTCGATGCCACCAGACACGTAAGTCGAGAATGATCGAACAAAGAGAGGAAGCTGGAATCGACTTTTCAAAAAGAATGGTCGGTCTAGAGTGTTTTCTTTTGTAGGATGGTGCGACCCCGTTGTTCAAGGCAGCACACAAGGGCCACACCGCTGTTGTAGGTGAACTACTTAAGTATCGTCCATCCCTCGGTATTCTTCCAGTAAGTAGAAGTACCTCTTAAACTGGGAATTGAAGATTTGGAAAAAATCAAAAGTAATTTTACAACCAATAAAAATCATTAAAATCTTTGTTGATAACTAATATCTACAAAAATTAACAGAAATAATTTACATAAAATTTTAAAAGATATATTTATAAAGAATTAATTTTGTATTATATACTGGCAAACATAATAGCATTTAAAGTGCCTTGTCTCTTATAGTTAATTTGAAATTACACGAAAGATTATTATTTCAGAATGGTGAAAGTGCACTGCATGCAGCAGCATTAACAGGACAAATGACCGTTACTAGACAACTGGTAGGTGCGGGAGCAGATCCTTTACTTGTGAACCAAGAAGGCATTACGCCCCTCCAATTAGCTATTAGGCACTCGCAAACACAGGTGGCCAATTATCTGAAGGATAAAGTTAGAGCACGAACAGGAACATCTTAGCAAAATTTCCGTTTATCTTCAACTCGATAAAATAGAAATTAAGATAAAAGCATAAGGAGAAAAGAGTATAGACCAGTGAAAGAGATCAGTATTTCTAAAGAGAATGTAATATATATACATGTTACAAATTGAACATACTTTAGACAGTTTATATATGAAATGATCAAGTGAATACATCCTTATCGTCTTTCGCTTCGCGTTAAACAAGAAAGGTAAAAGGGATGTTAATCTATATTGTAATCACAAGACTGTGGTTTGAAATCCGTCATTTCCTTAAAATTACTTGTTATTTTCAGTGTGTACATATATTTAGAGATAGATACAAAGCACATCCTATAGTATCTAAAACTAGGTCAAATATATTTTAACGCATTCTTTTGTTGTAAATATACAACGTCGAAACTTTTAAAATACTCTTTTGATGTAGATGACATACATCTCATAGAGTTGTTTTTATAATAGAACTCGTGATTACTTAAACGTAATATGTATGTACCTTCGAATATTGTTTTGTTCTAATTGAGGGTTCTATAAGACTGATTGATTTTCCTTGGAGAAAAGAGTAAAATTTAATAATTTTTTAGTATTATATCTATTTCTTCTTGTTGATTTATCTGTATGTTATATTAGTGTTAAGGTGGTACGCACATAAAGAGAAAGAAAAAATATATTTTATGTTCTTAAACTATTCTCTATGGTGATATTAAGATGTTTTATTTAGATATATTAAAATATATTTATAATTGCTTGTTTGATGTTACTTTATAAAATAATAAATACATTTACTGTTTTCCCAAAGTGTCATACTTATTTATAACAAATTGATTGAAAAAAACAAGGACATAACATTTAATATGGAAATTCTGATTGATATAAAAAATACTTTCGTAATAACTAACTTTTCTCTATAATTGTATGCTGAAATGATCATGTATAAATATTGAATATATTTTTTTTCATTTCATATCACAGAATTTCTGCTTTGCTTATTTTCTAGTTGTACTTTTTATTACCAAATTAAAATATAACCGTATTGTAATAAAAATATGAAATGTTTACCCGAAATATATTTTTGAATAAAAAATTGTAATTGTATTGTTATATTACTAAATAAAGCAATTTTTTTTAATTTCAACAAAAATATTTTTCATGCAAAAAAGGAAACGTTGTAGTTTCAAATGAAAAGAAATATTACTATTATAACAGAAAAAATATGTATGAAAGAACAAGTCAAAGATTTACAATTCATGTCAAAGATGTCCTTGTAATCCAGATGTTAAGTGCCTATTTCCTATTTCATTTCAGATGCAAAGCATCTTCTAAGTAATGTAGTGTAGTCGTGTAGCGAGTTAAACTGTTCAAGAAAGAAGACTACTCACAAACATATTTGAATGATTTTTGTAACATGAAGGCAATCAATTATAAGTAGTAGGCCAACGTCATGATGAATTTTATCAATTATCGCTGCTGCACTGATAAGATAGATAAAAAACATATTGTATGTGCTGGATTTACGGAATTATCAGTTATACGCTGATTCTTAAGCAATAGTTATCATGGTCCGCGATCGAATGCCAGAGTTACGTGCTGTTAGTATCTAATCATTCAATAAAATCAAATTTAAACATTATTACTTACATTATGACGTTAAATTGTATAGAATTACATGTGAAATGTTATATATAGCAATAAAACCTACCATAGTAAACATTGAAAAATAATTAACAGTTGTTTTTTTTAACTCAGTGCATTTTCTTTTCGGTTTTTTAAATATTATTTTTAATTAGTAATTTTTTGTTGAAAAATTGTGCAATATGATATTTCCTTCTACTTCTTTTTAGTGTCAAAATAGTAGCACTACATTTGGTAAAGGATTTTTACAAGATGTACACATTCAAATGTCTCAAAATAAAAAACTGAAGGAAGTATTAAATGAAGTACGTACATATACATATATAAATATTTAAGTCACCATTTAAATATCACAGACTTTTGCATTGGCAATAGATAGATATACAAATAATATTAATATAGGTTGAAGAAGTTCGAGATTTAATCCAACTTATTGCTGAAAATGTCGCTATTGTAAAGGATTTACATAATAATGTTTTATCATACACTAATAAAGGTAAGAACAAAGTACCAAATGTTGTGGCTACTTAGTAATGAATAATTTACATGTTTTAGATATACAAAAAGAATTGGAAAGTCGAACATATACTATTTCACAAACGTCATTTCGTATTCAACGAAAATTGAGAGGTAGGTATAATTTTTCTTACATTTCTACATAGTGCACCATAAATAAAAATGGAAAACCAAAAATAACTTGTCTTACTTATCCTAATCAGACTCACTATCATCTCGAATTTGGGAAATATTTCTTTCTCTCATTTCATAATGAGAACTAATTAATTCATTTTCATTTTGAAAAAAACTAGAAAGTCTTCTAACTTTTGAAGCATGACCAACAGTACCATTAGAATCGAAACCTTTGAATGACATAGGTGAACTTGTACTAGGCCCAGGTTGAGAAGGTGAATATAACATTGGAGTTGAACATGTTGGAGTATTCCAACCATCTAAAATACTAGTTGATGAAAGAGAATTTACCGGTGTATTTCTACAATTTGATAATTGAGAAACTGAAAGACGTCGTAATACGACTTTAGGGTGTAATTTACGTGTAGATAGATTTAAATTTTTGTTAGATGCACTGTGATTGTTCATTCCTGATGGTGAATTTTCTTCTTCAGCAGAATTCTCATCACTAAATGTAATATCTTCTACTTGTCTGAAATATGTTACAATTAGTAGATAATCAGTAATATACAATATTAAATAAATTAGTACATACTTTTTAAACTGCTCTATTTCTTTCTCCAATTTAGGATATTCACTTAATATGTTTAATAGTTGATCCTTGTTATATTCAGAATATGTTTTAATTAGAACCCTTTTTACATAATTTTCTAATGGTGACTTCAGAGTAGATAACTTTACTCTAAGTTTTATTAACATTGGTAACAGAACTTCCAAACCATGTTTTCGTACTCCTTCTACAATAATGCTCAATGCATTAGAATTTGGGCTAATTATTTGAGCTGTATATTCTTCGCCCTCTTGTTGATCATCATCATTATGTCTGTTAAAAGATGACGGACGTAAACGGTCGTTACTAATTATATACAATGCATCCTTTAAAACGCATGATCCTTCTTCTTTTTTAACATCGATCGAAGCGACGCAAGCTCCACCGAGTATCTGACTAGTTATTTTTACAAGTAATTTTATTTTTCCTGGAGGATCTAAATGATCCAACATAAAATCATAAATTGCTCTTCGCTTCTCTTCATTTGCTTTCCTAGGAAGCGTTAAAACTTTCTTTTCTTTTTCACGCATCTTGTGATGATAAACTTTATGTTGAGATTGGTAATTATTATAATGATATATGCTCTGTAGAAATTGCTGTGATATTAAAGATTTATTCTTTGTTAAAAGTCGTTCTTCTATAAGAAAAATAGTTAATTCACGTATCATACTATCCGAATCTGATAACATTGTTAATATATGAAAGAAGAAAGGACCTTTAACTTTTATGTAATCTTCCAAAAGAAGTTGAATGAATATTACCATAATAGCCTCTCGTACTTGTGGTGTTGAATTTTTCATACTTACACACATATCTGGCAAATATGGTTCAACCAAAGCAGTAAACCTAACACAAATATCAGCTAAAGCTTTTGCAGCATTTATTTTTACTGCAATTTGAACAATCGAATGCAAATTTATTTCTTGCCTCATTAATCTACCAAATATTGGCACTACTTCTTTTGCAATTTCACGATCTCTCAATGCTTGCTGCCCAAGTATAACAACTGCAGAGGGCTGTAATTCTTCTATCTCCTTTATTATTTCTGGCAGTGCTTCCCATTCTAATAACACTCCTTGCAAAATTCTTAATGTCAATGGCGAAATTTTGTAAGTACAAAACATTGTTGCATGTCCTAATGTAAACATAGCTTTTAAATAATTGGGTGTTGCTTCTATAGCTTCATTTTCACTCCTAAAAATTTTTGCAATTTCTATCTCTGAAATTTTTATCAAATTTATCATATTTGATTCCAACATATTATTTTTGTCAGGATTCAAGTAGTGCATTATATTGTGTACAATATCCAAACAAATGCTAATTAACCCAAAATTAATCTTAAATTGTTGTAGACATTTGTATAGATAAATATGAAGATCTTTTAAAACTTCACAATCTAAAGACTTCCAAGAATATTTTAAGACTTGTAAAACCAAACTTGTGTAAAAATTATTTTCTGCAAAAATTTCTTGATAATTTAGGAAATATTTGTTCATATTTGGTAAATTGGTATTTTCAGCCAATGCTACTAGCAAAACCCAAGCTTCTATGTTATTATTTGTCCCAATATGAGACTGTATATTTTTCATCACAAAATTCGTTATGACACCATTTTTTACCCACAGACTACAAGCTTTTGATAAATGTTTTCTCATTTTCATATTAGTTATAACATTTAAAATTTTCCATGGTAAATTATTTGCAATATTATCAATACTCACAGAAACGTTTTGTATTCTATTTAATAATAATTCTTGTAAATATTCTAGCACTTTTTCTTGTACTTTAATTTCAATGTCAAATATTTGTGGTATAACAATTTGTACCCATTCATTTAGAAGGTCAGGGTTGTCTGGAAATTGTTGCAAAAGTTGAGATAGAACTTGTACAGCAAATCGACGTACCGTTAATGCTGGATCTCTACATCTAAAACTAATTATAGATGTAACTTCATGTATTAGAAATGGAAACATTAAAATTAAATTTCTCAAGATTTGCAATGTACTTCGTCGTACCATTGCTCTTTCGTCTTCTATTCTTTCTGTTAACATAGATAATAGGACATTTGATCCTGGTAGTAAGTCAATGTCTGTAGATAAAGAATTCTTTATATCATGAAATGGAAGAAATTGTTTATTTGACTCAAGTTCTTCAAATATAATTTGAAACATTTCTTTATCTGTTTCACTGTCTGATTCTGTAAATTCAGCAATTATTGCCATAGCTTTTCCTCTTACCATGCTTGAACAATCCATGCATCTACTCAATACAATTGCAAAAAATGTTCTTTGTATCTTAGCTTTCAAACTATCAGTTACATAACAATTTATTAAAAAGGCTTCAAGTAATAATTTTCCAATTATTTCTTGAGCAAATAATCTAAAAGCTATCTTTGAATGATGTGACAATAATATTAAATCCTTAAAAGCTTCCATTACAATATTCTGTTTACATATTCCAAGAAGCTTTAATAACACACTAGCTTGTCTCTGTCTAGCTTCAAGTCTATCTGGACATGTTAGCATTATGTGTTGTATTAATGTTAAAATTGCAGTTTTGGCTTCCTTCTCATATGTATGCAATAAATTTTTTAAAAAATTTATAGTGTGTTCACGTATATTTGCAATAACTTTTACTTGTGCTTCCATATGATTACATAGCAAACGTGGTAATATATATTTTGCTATGAATGTTATAGTTACTTCAACAGGTCCATGTTTACTATCACATAATTCTTTCAAAGCTACATAAGCATTTTGTGTCAATGAAACATCCAAAGTACCTATTTGCTTATTAAAATATTGAGAAGCTATGCAATCATCATCTATTTTTGTGACCTCAACTAATCCATGAACAGTAATGTCCAATGATTGTATATGATCTTTAAACCAGAATGATCTTATCATCATAATAAAGCTGCAAATAATAATATTTAAATTTTTTATAAGAACTTCTTTTTCATTGGGTGAGAGAATAATGATTTCATTCACTAATTCATCTGTAATATTTAGATCATCTAAATTCATTGTTCTGTTGCGTTTCTTAATAGGAGGCTGTAACTGCTCAGAGACTATATTAAGAGTCTCTATGGCTCGTTGATACAAATTTGAATGAAATATATTAAATGCATTGCTACCAGGAATAGCCAGAAGCACAAAATATAAATTAATTGCATATAGACATGATTGCCTTATCTCTTCATCAGCATCCTTACTATGACCACCTTTTATTATATAACCCAATACAGCTAATAAAGCACGCACCTTTACATCCATAGTGATTAATGTGTTCCAAGATATTTCAGAATTATAATTTTCAGTATTATTCTGATCTCTATTTTCTTCTAGCCAAGCTTTTACAACAATATAAGATTCGTGTAAAAGTAATCTCATGTCTTCACTCTCTAAAAACATGAGGTACTCATCAGGTGGTTCATTATAAATCATAAATTCTCCATCCCACACAGATTGAATCCAGTCTTCGTTCAAATCACTGAATTTAAAATTATCGAATATTTTTAAGGATTCCATGGTGATAATTGTATTCAGTTTAGATCATTTTAAATGAAACTACAATTATTATCACATTTCTTTAACTATCTTACAAACGTAAACATAACCTTAACTTATCATTTGATAAAGAAGAATTATGGCTTCAGGTTATCATTTTCTGGATACATATCGATACAGAATTTAGTATTCCATTACGGTATAAACCAACAGCAAACTTTACTGATGGTTTATCACAAAACATTTCGTATAAGCTGTAAAGGATTGTATGAGAGATTTTGGCGTCCATTCGAAAGCGGGAAATCGACTGACCAATTAGATTCATTGAAAAGTGCAGCGTAAAATATTGCAACATCCTACATAATTTTATGTACAATACATATGTAAAATTGGGAATGTTTTATGCAAACTTCATATTTTATAAAATGTTCAATGCTAAGTAAATAATTAAAAGTACTACACAATCACATTATATTAATCAAAAAATACTTTAATCACGAATACCTATTATTTACGCGCGCAAAAATATTTTATGAAAGTTATTAAGTCACGTGGTGTTTTACAAATATTGAATTATACAAAACTAAAATAAATTTGATTATCTATCAATTAATGAAGTTTATATTGAATTTTATTTTATTTTTTGTAATTTGTTAATAATTTTTTTATATATTTTTTAGAAATCGGAAAGGAAATTGCACCAATTGATGATTTATCTTTAACTAGTGTCAGAGAAGGACCTATACATATACGAATTAAAGCACTACAATATGCAACGATGTTAAGATTATTTTCTGAAATTATGGAAGAGTACAACATATCTATGTTAAGATATCACGAAAAATGTCGTTTACTCTTGCATCAACAAAAAATGTTAAGTATGTTTTGTCAGGGAAATTTTACTATTCTTATTTAAATATCATTATGTTACTTTTACTCATTTTTTAGTCAAAGAACATATTACACATGAAGAATTGGAAAAATTACTTAATGCTCAAGAAAACAATTTATTTGTTGACAATGTAAGGATTAAACTTATTTTTTTATACTATCAATTTTTATCAAATTTAAATAAATTTTTTGATAAACAGATTTTAGAAGATAGTAGAATTGCAAGGCAACAATTATCAGATATTCAAAGTAGGCATAATGATATAATAAAAATTGAAAAATCAATTGCAGAAGTTAGAGATATGTTTACAGAAATGGGATTTCTTATTGAAAGACAAGTGAGTGTAAATAAAATAAATTGATAAGTTGATAAGCTTTAAATATGTAGACATAAAAATTTGTATACTTTGCCTTAATAGGGAGAACAATTAAACAGTGTGGAATATTTTGCTGGAAGAACAGCAGATAATGTTGATACTGGTCGTATTGACCTTCATAAAGCAAAACAAAGGAATCAAAGACATAGAAAGGTATTTATACTAAAAGTGATAGTTATATATGTAACAAAATAATAGCAACATTTAATGAAAATATATTTTTTTAGAGAAAAATTAAACTTGGTATCATACTTAGTATAATAATTATTGTTTTCCTAATGATCATCATCTTTTTATAGAAAGAGGAACAAAGATTTGTAAAAAAAATGAAATATTGCATAATACTGAAAATATTTATTATGTAAATAATAAAAATCAATACATTTAGATAAATGAAAAAAATATTTTTTATATCATTAATCCCTTTTACAACTAAGTATAACAATCATTAAACTTATGTAAATAACATTAAAAGTATATCACTTATTAGCATTATATACATAATTGCTAAAATAATTAACAAGACCCTTTGCACTAGGCCTAATTTTATAATCTGCAGTAGTGCATGCAAAAAATACTTCAAGTACCTTTTCATACTCTTTTCCTAGATTAATAGCAGGTAATGCAGGACGAGTACCTATGATCACCAAGGTATTGTATTTAATACACTAACTGTTAAACATTACTCTATTTGTAAATTATTATTAAGGTACTTACCATACTTTATATTCATCATTGCATTAAAAGAACTGCTACTATAATCCGTATTGATATCATATTTATTCGATTTTGTATTGTTTCTCATTTGCATTTCTACCATTGAGTCATCTAAATAACTGTCATTTATTTCTGAAGATTCTACATGAGGTGGTGTCAAAGCTATCATCTCCCAAACAACAAGACCACATGCCCAAATGTCAGCTTTATTTGTAACAGGCCCATCCTCTAAAGCAACAAGTTTATAATTAAGCACATTATCATTTCCATATTATACAAATTATTGTGCACAAATATGTAAACTTAACTAACCAAATATTATTTCAGGAGCACTCCAACATTCTGTACCCACATATGTGAAATCTCCATTTGAAGTATCTACTTCTAAAGTGTCTTTCAGTGGTAAAGATACTCCAAAATCACATAGTTTAACTGTTTTATAATCTACAGAAACTAAAACATTATAACTTTTCACATCACCATGTAAGATGTAAGCAGTATGATGCAGATATTCTAGTCCTTTTATAATTTCATATGTAATTTTCAAAATGTCCTTAGCAGGAAATGGATCATCATCGTTTTCAAGTTTTTCTTCTATCTTATTACCTAATAAAATTGTATTAATAGAAATATTACATAAATTTTTAGTTTACTATAATCATTTATCACTAATTTTAGATATTTTTTATACCTAAAGAGGCATCCAATTTTTCCATTGCCAAGCATGGTTCACCGTTCGAAAGTTCAGTGAAAGCTCGAAAACCAACAATATTTGGATGATTTAATTTACGAAGTATTTCTGCTTCGAATCGAATGCGTTCTGTATACCTTCCATCTTTCACAACTTTGCAGTTGCGTTTTTTAATAGCCCATGGTGATCTAATAAATCCGACTTTTGGTGATCGCTCCAGACTAAATACATTAACTCCTATTAAAATATTGTATTTACATATTAAAACGATATTAATATCGAATAGTAATAAACTCGAATAATCATGTTTTGTTTACCACATCCATAACCAATTTGTTCTAAAAACGGGGAAGCTGGGATTTTAATTGGTGTTTGCAATTCTGGATTATCTTGTACTCTACTCTTATGTCTTTTCATTGTTGGTGTTTTAAATTCACTCATTTTAGTAATATTACGTAAAGAAAATATTTAAGTTTAAGTTTTACTTTACACGTTATTTCACCGTTTGTCCGTTGATTTTTAAATTTTCTTAATACTAATACACAAGTGATACCAACTTTATATATTACATAGCAGAAAATTAATTAATATTAACCTTTGTAAACGAAGAATATTTATATTTATAATTGAATTCTTCTTTAAAGACTCTTAAATTACTTTTTTAATTCTTACACATTATGCATAAAGCAGTAATTTTAAGCACCATTTATGACATTTCATATTAATATGTTAAATTATTATTATTGGCTACCTTGAAAGAAGCGCTTTTACTAAAGATAGTGAAGTAATTTAAATCTTTCAAGGTATTTATGTTATTAAAATCTAGTATTAGAACATTATTGAGAATAGCTGATATATTCTCCTTTACATATTAGAAAATAATATCTTTGATTTTCAATCGAACAATTCTTTAGTTCTTTGAATTTGACATATCCTTTTTAGTTAAATAGTTCTAGTTATTTCTTCAACTTGATCTTATTGTTAATAAAATAAAATTGATTAATAGATTTGCAGATTTTATATAAAAAAATTAAAAGATTTGAATTACTTCCATTTGTCACAAAGTTTGAGAAATGCATAATATCATACAATATATTTAATACTCTTAACTCTCCGGATATAATAAATTTATAATCAGTGTAGATGTGTCCAGTAACCTATCAAGTTTATTCCGTAGCTTTGCATTTTCGTTAGTCGCTCGAGTAGATACTCTATCGAGTGTAAGGTATGCCTCTAATGATGCTTTCTGCTTGAAATAATTGCGTGTTTTTTCAGAGACGTTTTTGAATATCGACAGAAATTTAAAACTCACGTTAAAAAGGTAATTTTTGCCTAAAACTGTTTATTATTTCTTCAAACAATAAAAGTTTATTTCTTTTTACAACATTTTTTGTTCTTTCATCTTTTTAAAGTTATTTAATTGATTAGTTCTTGTTCTTCAGCATTTCACGAAACTTCTAATCTTTTTCATTTCAGGTTAACGAATGTATATATGTACTATCTCAAAATCGAGGAATAAGTATTTAATGGCGTATTAGTCGATTCACTATTTTTCCCTTTGTGGAGAACGTGCTGTTATAAAAGCAACTTCTATTATGCGTAATCGATTTCTTTAACGTCATTTACATTTATTATATTTAAATTTATAAAAATTGTAGAAAATAGATCATAATTATACTCAATAATTCTTCGGATGGAAATTTAATTGTACTTCGGTTGTTAAATATTTTCCCAAATATTCGACAAAACCTTAATTTCATTTTTAAAAGTATTAAGTAACATCGAATTGTTCACTTTCACGAAGTAGTATCCTTCGATTGTTCCTCTAAAGTACGATAGGAGTAAAAATTATCTAACGTCAGAGCTTTCAATGTGGCGGTACAGAAGCTGATGAACAGCATCACCATAAACAGAGATAATCGATTAATTTAGAATGTATATTGTAGCTAAGAATAAATCCGTATGACGTCGAATTTTATATATTACTAGAAAAAATGGGGAGCTTTTAAACCCATAATGAGATTTCATTAAAAAATTAAGGGAAGCGATCAGAGATGAACCATTTCACACTGTATTTATACCAATTCTATTTATCCTTATATTTAGTAATACGTAGCGAATTTTTTATAGTTAAATGTTCTATTTTTAGAAAATAACATGGAGGAAGAAAAGATTTTAAAGATAAAATAAAGTTTTCCTTCAAAACGCGTTACCAGTTATCATCACGATCTTTCAAATACTTCTGTCGATTATTTACGTTATTGATATGATATATATTACTATTTGGAATAAATCAATAAAATTGTTAGTTAAGGGCAAAATATGTTTTGATCGTACCTTTAACTGATTCAACGTAGAGGGCTGAAATATAATTATAAGGTAGAAGTAAATATACTTCGGCTACAACAATAAGTCAACCTTTATAAGAGCATGCGCATTATCGACTTTTCATGGAAAACACTGTACTAAATTCATCGGGGATGGATCTTGCAGAACTTGTGCACCCGTTGCGTTGATTTTATCCAAGTGACTATTAATAAAAGCTGAAAAATGAGTGAAAAAATATTCTTGAAAATATCAGTAAATTCAAGTAAATTTTTAATGTGATTTTTAAATTGAGTTTTCTCTTAAATATATCAGTTATTTTATATCAGTGTCCACTATGTTAACGGGAATACTTAAAGGGTATGTTTTAAGAAGGAGAAGACGTCGTTTATAATCTATAATATCGATTAAATATAAAAAATCTTCATTGATTTCTAATTTTTAAAGCTTTTTATCGTAATAAAAATTTGTATGTTAAATATCATAGTGTTTTTCTTCTTTACTCAATATAGTAAAACTTTTTTAGAACGGTTTTATGTTGCGACGGTGAAAATTCTACTTGGAACAGTATATTTAATACGGACAGAAATATCCTTAACGAGACCACATCTTTATTACGTATCATTTATAGAATAATAATTCCGATAATCGTAATCAGCGGTATATTTGGTAATACTTTAATATTCCTGGTGTTATCTACACCAATGTTTCGAGGAATTGCGTACTTATATCTTCGAGGATTAACATTAGCGCACATTGGGGTCCTTCTATCTTGGATACCTGTATGTAGGTATCATAATATAAATATAAAAAATATATATAAATGTAAGAATATTTTAAGTTAATTCTAATAAAGATATACAATTTTAGTTATTAGATTAGGATACGGCATGAAAAATAATTACCCATCCGTTTTTTACCACGCTCATTTGGAACTGGTTGCTGTAAACACTTTTGCCATAGCCACCATCTTAATTATGACCTGCTTAATCGTCGATCGATATATTTTTATTTTTTTCCCGGCCCGTATCCGCAGCAGAAACGCACGCAAGAATGTTCACTCTTTTACTCTGTGTTCTTTCATTCTTGGATTTGCGGTATCAAAATGATATTTCTTACTTTTATCTAGAAATATTATATACACAAGTTTTAATTGTAGAATCATTTTATAGATAAGTGCTCCATTAACAGGAATGAGAATAGTGTATGAACAACAAGAAAGTACCGAAACTGTTTTCACACTACGTGAAAATACATCCATCACGCGAACAGCCTTATGGAATACATATATTTGGATCATGGAAATCACATTGCGACTTTGTCCTACTATAATTCTTCTTCTCTTAAACAGCTTTGTGGTAAAGAGATTTTTGCAGCTTAATGCTAAAAAAAGAGAATTTCAATCGGTTTCGGAGAAGTTTCGTACTCCAAATGTTCCCGAAACCTCTTTATTGACTCGCAATCGAGGATACAGGTAGGGTTGAAAAAACAAAAAAAATGAGAGGAATAATTAGTTCATTAATACATTAAAAAAACTCGTTCTCGCTTTCATGCTGTTCAAAAGTTACGGTTGAGATGATTTTAGAAAGAACAATATTTTTGTTAATAAACATATTACATTATTTAGATAATAAAATAAATTTTACTTAAACAAAGAAATAATCGATTTTTATATAGTAGAATAATTATTTTTTAGAGAAGAACAACATTTAGCTATATTAATGTCAATGATGACGATATGTTTTATAATAACAATGATTCCATCGATATTAACTGAATTTATATATCATGATTATTATGAAACCAAAGGAAATGGTTACCTTTTATTCCGAGCATTTGCTGCTGTCACAGAGCTTTGTAATTTTGCTATCCATATTATCACATACTTTTTGTGCAGTAAGGAATTTCGGACAGAATTTCTTAAAATTCTTCGGGTAAATAATAATTTTAAAAGGTAGATAAAAATTTAAATCAAATTTACTAATTTTAACAATTTTAAATATAGAACAGATGCAGAAAGAATATCGCTGAAGAGGATTTTGAGCGACCAATAGGAGAAATCGAAGATTATAGTCGACATGGTACAACAGTTCGATTAACACCTGAACAGACAAAATTAAATTCTCCAGCTTCAGCTAGTAAATTAAATCCTATGGAAGAAGATAAAGAGTCGGAAATATTAAATGCCTCTGATATAGTCTAAAGATTATATTATTACAAATAAAACAAACTTTATTTAAAAAGAAAACATATTAATTTACTTATACGTATAATGAATTTTTTACTTTATCATGTAGTAACTGTACTACTGAAATTAATTTTTTATGTATATAATTTTATTTAGATAATAAAAATTTTACTTCTAAAAATATAAAAAAATTAATACCTTAAAAATATTAATTCCAATATTTATTAAAATAATATATTTTAATGTAACACAATATTTAATTCAATTATTACTTTAAAAACAAAATTATTAATCATTATAATAATAATACTAGATGGCATTAGTAGTCACGGATACACAACATCATCAAAGAACAATACATAACCTAAACTGTCAAATTGTATATAGAGTACGACGAATAGTACAAAATTTTCTTGTATACAAAGTTTTAATTCAATAGTTTTTTCTTCGATGTAGTTCGTAGTTTAAATAATTGGGTATGCTTAAACGTGTATAAATAGTAATTTGCTATTAAAAATAATTTATAGATTGGTATATTTTGTATTTTGCAAGTAATATTTGTGATTCATAAGAAAATTATTATATTTCCTTTTTCTTTACAGTGAATTCTTAATTATGTGTGAGTTACCGCCAGAATTAATTACTAAACCATTAGCTCTTATTGGTTTAACCGGTTTAGATATTGCAAATCCTATACACCGCTCTATTTGGGATGCATTTAGTAATAATCGCAGATTGGAAAGTTCTGCCATACAATTTAAATTACTTAATCCTACTCATGAATTTCCTACAGTAAAACCTAAGGTATATTATTTTGTATAATTATAAAATATGACTATTATATATATGATTACTAAATTATTAAAATAGTATTGATATATTTTAGAGAAATTCATATGAATGGTATAGACCCAAAGGAATATTAAAACGTAATTGGATGAATAAATACCTTAATGAAATCCCAGCTGTTGTTGTCGTATTCTATAACTTAGATTGGAATGATCCACAGTGGAATGAAAAAAAGATGGAATGTGCTTCTAGAGTACAATCTCTTAGGTATAAATTATATAAGATAATATTAATATTATTCATTAATGAAAATAATTTTTAATTACTTGCTAGAAATGCTTTGGATGGAAGAACTACAAAAATTGCTGTAGTACTTATACAACAATGTACACAGCCTCCACCGGGTTCTGAAGATGCTATTGCAACTGAACGTGCCACAGCTGTGTGTGGTGCATGTGAATTACCTCCAAAGTTATTATATATTTTACCTCATGGAAATCATTTACTAGGCTATATATCTAGGTAATGAACTAATTAATTTCATGCTTCAATCTCTAATTGTATATTTTAATCATATGTATTTACATGTATTACAGACTGGAAAGTGCATTATATGAATTGGCACAAAACTTTTATCATCATGAATATCGTATTGTCAAAGGGCATAGAGATCAACTTAATAAAACTGTACAAAAAAATGCATACAAGCATCTATTTGTACGCCATCAGTATAAAATGGCATTTTTAAATGAATTAAAACAAGATCAAAGTTTAGCTCAGAAGTAAGTGTAACAAGATTAACAAAAGGTTTTGGGCATAATTAAAAAGTTAAAAATTATTTTATAGGCATTATAGTCAAGCATATAATCATTTATTAGAAATACAAATAACAGACACTAATGTAATGGAAATTGCAACTATTGCTTGTTTTATAAATTACAAGTTATGTAAAATAATGTTCAATGTAAATGCTCCTAAAGATGCTATATCTCAATTTAGACTTCATACTGACAGGTCAGAAATATATGTAATAAATGTGATAATATGAGAAGTACATGATAAGTATTATCACAATAATATTAAATTGGTAGTACAGATTTAAATTATGGGCTGGTCCAAAGGAACTTATATTTGAACATCATGCTTGGATGTGCAGTCAGTTTTCTACATTTGCAGAATTATTTGATGATGCTATTCGACAGGGACTTCCTGCTGTTCAGACTCGGCACCCTGGGTATTATTTTCAATCAGCAGCTCATCATGCAAGTTTAAGACAAGCAGCTTGCAAAGAACTTTGTCAAGTATATAAATTGATATATTTAATATCTATGATACATTTTTATACAAAATTCTTAAATATTATTATATTGTTTTAGAATGTTAATATTTATCCTGAGCCAGATCCATTAGCTGGAGAGGAGAAACTTGAATTCTATGGACAACGACCATGGCGTCCTGGAAAATTGAGTGCAGAACCTGCAGATCCTGTAAAGGAAGCACTTGCTATACAGGCTTTGCAGTATAAGGAAAAATACACAGTTAATCATTCTGTAAGAAATATATCTAATATTTTTATCCTCAAAAGTTTTTATTCATTTAAAACTAGAAATTACTTTAATATGTAACTACTATACTTTCAGAATATAATCATTGATTTACTGGGCAATGCAATCTCACAATTTAAAGTGTATAGATGTCCAAGAATGAGAAGAGTACTAGGTATGATGTATTTAATTAGAAGTTATATAAATTTTCGTTTAATGATATGTATAATAATCGTATTTTAGTCATCCAAATGGCTGAAGAATATTATAATTCTAAGGATTACGGAAATGTTTTAACGTAAGTAGAAACTTAAATATTACTATATTTGCATAAACTAATTGAAGTTACTAAAAAAAAGTTTTGTACTATTCATTAGTCAAAAGATTGACTCTAACATTATTTCCTCTAGACATATTTCATAACTTAACATCAAAATCATAAAATTTGATTGGCCAGATTATTGATGCACATGTTGTGGGAATATCACGGTGAACGGTGGCCCGTCTTAATCACAAATATATTAAAGAATGCCTTGCGTGCGGCATATCTTTCTACACATATTCGAGACTACATCACCTTGGCATTTGAAGCGTTGGGACCATCTACCACATTTTCCGAGGATTACAAAATTGCTGTCTACAGTAACATCATTAATATTCTTCATGTGAGTCATATTTAATTCAATTTCATGCAATTATCTGTAATTAATGAATTAAGCAAAATATGAAATTACAGAAAAAACCACCAACTCCAGAACCTGACTTACCCGATGATGTGAAATATCCCGCAATAGAAAAGTGGGTAATGGAACTTAATCAGTCAGATCCAATTGTTTTTACAATTGATGATAATATGAGTTCATTTATAGAAGTTAAAGCAAGATTTTTACAACCTAAGTATGCTATCAATTCTACAATTAGTGTAGAAGTTATTATTAGGTAATTTTACAAGCTTACATTCTTTCGTACAGTGATAAAATGAAAGTTGTAGCAAACATTTTTATTTTATTCAGGAATTCATATAGTAATAGTGTTGAATTTTCTAAAATATCAGTAACAATCAGTAGTCCAGAGTACAATTCAGAATTCATTGTTGCCGATGCCGAACATAACAATCTTATTTTTCATGGAAAAGAAATGAAAAAATTTGTTTATCAATTTCAAGCTTCGCTACAAAATGATAGTAGCAAAATACGCATTACTACAATTTCATTGTATATGGGCAATGATAAAATTTGTTGTATTATTTTGAGATTTTCTGTTGCGGGGAAAGAAACAAATTTCTTGAGTCGATTATATCCCGAAATACAACAGTTTCGGTACGTTTGAAACAAAATATTTATAGATATTTACAGAAAATTAATTAATTTAATATTTATAATAGTAGAGGAGAGTTTGAAGCAATACAACCACTAGTCACTGCCGAAATAAAACAAGAAGAATCTAGTCTGAGTATAAGTGCTGAATCCAATAATCCAGCACTTTTAGGAGAGTGGCTTCCTATTAGTATATCTATTACTGCTAATGAAAAATTGTCGTCAGCATTTTTAAATGTATCACTTATATCTGATGGAACAAATGAACAGTCAAGTATGTATGTAAATTATTGTAGAAGTACATATTACATATGCTAATTGTAATTTTGTCAAATTGTAGCGGAATTAAGTTTAACAATGAATAACAAACAATCGGTAATATCGATACCAATGGATAATTTGGAAAAAGATTGTGTTACTCATCAAACTGTGTATTTAAGAGCTCACAAAGTTGGTGATCGGGATATTCATATAAAGGTATATACTACGTTTTTATCTATAATTTTTATAAAACACTATAGTAAATATAATTTTATCGTAATAGGTAGAATACTCGAGACCTAAACAAATTAAAGGATCTAAAGAATTAACATATTCGTTGTCAGTTACAAAACCATTTGAAATATCAACATTATTTTATACTACACTTTTTGAACCATTAATGAAAGGTTTCATTAATGAACCATTTATAATAATGCCTCACGTTTCTTGTGTTTCTCCATGGCCTATAAATATTATAAATACCTCCATAGAACTGGTAAAAAATATTTTCATTAGTTATTAGTGTTTTATTTTATATCATGATACTATCTTTCATGTAATTATATAGGGAGATTCAATAGAAAGGGAAAATACAGATGAATCAGTATCTGTTTTAACTGGTATTACACTTTCTGAAAACGAAACAGGTACAGATGCATATTGTTTGATACCAAAAATAGGTGGTGAACAACCTATTAGTACAGGAGTCTACACCATTAAATGGAAACGGTAAATGAAATTACAAATAATTGTAAAATAAATAATTTAATATTAAAATTTACTGTTTTAGTGCAAATGATGATAATGCATTAGAAACCAGCAGTAGTGTTACTTTAGCACCTTTAGGAGTTGAAGATGTAGTGATTGGTTTAGAAGCTAAATTGCCAGCCCATGGTTGGGTTCGTACACCGTTACTCATATCGTATATTATAAAAAATCATTCCGATTATATGATTACGCTACGATTAACAATGGAAGCCAATGATGCCTTTATGTTTGCTGGACATAAACAAGTGAGTTTTCATTTTTAGTTCTAAAAGATTATAATTTGATAATTTAATAATTTATCTCTTTTAGATTGATATTTACATACTTCCAAAAAATAATAAAATAGTTGAATGGATTTTACGACCATTAGTAGCAGGTTTTGTACAACTTCCAACATTATCTTTAACAGTTCCCACTGGTAATAATTTTAATAGTTAGTGTGTGTTTGGTAATTATATCTCAAGTTTAGTTACATTTGTATGTTATATTTAGATGAAGAACGCAAATTAAATAAAGCACGACTTTCGGAAGTAGTGGAACGGTCAATACCGAGTCATATATATATTCTTGTAAGTATTGTAATTATATATATACTTATAAGTATCATAATTATATACATTCTTGTAAGTATCGTAGTTTTATCATCTAGTAAAGATCTAAATTTAAAAATTACGTTACAGTTTGAATATTTTTTTATAGCCAACTTCACAAACTTTAGAAGAATAAATAAAATAACAGATATAGAGGGAATATACTAGAGGAGAAAGGAATTTTGTTCTTTTATCAAAATGTATTATCGAGCCACAGATACATTCTCTATACATTCTTACACATAGGAAAATTTCATACGTAAAATTATAAATATTATCAATCTGTTAAATATAATTTATTTAAGTTACTTCAAAGTGTAATAAACAAAGGTCCCTTATCCTTTAATATGCATTAGGTTCCGTTAACGTACATGTTCATACGGACGTCAATATCGATTGTGTTACCACACGATATTTCTATAGAAACCACGTTTAATAAAATACATTGCGAGTATGTGTACACATGAAATATATTTATCATAATTCGTTTAAAATTAAAAACTATAATAAATGTTTAACAAAATGGTAAATTGTTAATATAAAAATTGTGAATAATGACATCGATAATATCTGATAGTAATCATATACATAATACTCCCTTGGAACAACAACGAAATGAAAAATATTTAGGATTTTTAACGCCTATTTTTCACATCAATTCGGAAGAATCTTTGGCTCGTAATCGAAAATTTTTAAAGGTATGATATTATTATTAAAATTTATTTATCATGCAATAAAAATTAAGAACTGAAATATATTAAAGACACATAATAAAACTTTGCATGTTTAATTTTTTATATTATGTGTTACATAATGAATATTTAGTATAATGAAAAATATTATTATATATGCTAAATTAAAAAAATTATTTAAAAATAGGATCTGGAACTTGCAAAAGCACGTTTGCGAACTTACGCTGCATATACGCCAACTGATCGAGAATTACAACAACGTGCAATGGAATATCGCAAATACCTCCAAAAATATATACAAAATTTCACTTCATAGTAAGTCGATTTCATGTCGAAGACGAAGTATATCCATCCAATTTGATAACTCGAGCCGAACGAACAAACTTTCAAGTGAAAAGTTTGTTGATCGTTGGGATCGATGCATCAAACTGATAATTCGAACGGTAGTATTAAACTGATGAAATAAAAATGTAAACTAAATGTTGTTATAAGAACCTATAGTATCCGGTAACATGTTAAAAATAAAATGTTTTATCACTATAGTTACGTAATTTTATAGAATGAAGAAAATGTATACTTACGCTATGATGATGATCTACTACAATCAATTTTATAATACAAACTAATAGTGTTTATAGGAATATAAAAAGAGAACTCGTAGACAAGTACGAACAGTATTCACCTGTAGGAATGGAATATTCACGTTCATTTTTTACGTGTGACGGCATTATCAACGCTCGTAATTACTGACACGCAGAACGTATATGTACGATAGGATAAGTTCGTTTCAGAAGTTACCTGATAACGACCTAAACCAATAATTCGACAAGAAGCTATATAATACTTCCACGTTAAATTCCATCTATGAGTATAAATATTAGATTTCAATTTTTACAAAAGTATTATGCCATGTTATTATTGTGTATAAAATTTTGTTATAGATTAAATTGAAACGTTTCTGATGATTACCGTTCCCTAAAAAACGTTAGGATATTTTTATTACATTTCAAAATTATTATTTAGACACTGACTATTACTTTAACTTCTGCTTACCTGTTCGTTGATAAGACAAAAATTTTTTACAAATCTATCTCTTAATCGTTCTATATCCAACAAAAATTTAAGAAGAACTGACATATAACAGCTGTGCTGAATAAGGTCTCAATATATAATTTTATATTTCTACGTGGCGTTGCTTCACCAGCTGAGTAAACAAATTGACATTGAGAGTTCTCGGTTTGACCATTGTAGGTAGCCTAAAAACATCTGTATCAATAGCATCTTTATCTCTCGTATATCATTTCTTTTGTAATTTGGTCCGAGTGATAACACGATTCTCAACAACTTCTAAGAGTGTTATAATTAATAATTAGGAAATTACTTTTTATGGGAAAAATGAAATAATAAACTTTTGGGGGTATTTTTTATTGCAACCATTTATTACAATAAATTATAAACAATTTTTTTTTTAAATAAATTACCTTTCCAGGTCGTTTAAGTTCATTTTTTTTAAACTACGAAAAAAAAGTTTATACAAGAAAAAGCGTAATGATAGTATATGTCGTTTTGAGGTCATTTATCGCCGAGCTATGCATAGAAACATAAACCGGTATAACTTTGCTGCGCTGCGTTAACAGAACATTAATGCATTATCGCTGTTGGCTATCAAACGTAATACACGTTGAAAAAATAGTATACTACTAAATACTATAAAAACATCGTTCATTGGCCTTGTAAATAGTAACATTTATTACCTTTTCGATATTTTTAACTTATGACTCATTTTAAACAAACTGAAGAAAGGAGAGTTATAGATTTATTTATATTCAGTAAAGTACTATTGGCACCAAGCATCTTTGGAATGATATTCTTTTCCAAAATTATGATATGTACTTATTTCTTAATTTACTATTTTTTAAAATTGGAAAAATGCGATGCAATGAGAAAATAAATAATTTTCTAATTACTATTTTAAAAAAATAGTATGTTTTCAATAAATAATTTTTTATGTATATTCATACATACATATCAAATATTTCATTGAATTTTTGTACTTTTGATAAATTAACTCCATTAATATAAAGCACAAGTATTGCGAAAATACATGAGATATTGTAATATTGTTTAGTACATTTTCATTGTTTATACATGATGCATACAGTGTGTATACATGTACTAAAATAATTATATATTTAAATTAAATATTTCAGATTCTATATGCAGCTAATGTAGTTTGCATAAGACTAATTTTTACTAATTTAATAACTGTTATTTACTTTCACAGTTTACATCTAAAATTTTTTTTATCATTAAGTAGTTATAAAACTGTTAATTATAGGTGCAATTTTTTCAGGATTATTTAAATGTACATGATGAGTTCCCTCAATTTTGTGGTACTCAAATCTTGCAGCACCTACTTTTATCTGATCTAAAACACTGTCGTAAGATTCAGGGTGATCGAGTTTCATGCCGGGGACAGCACGGATATTAAGATAAGCGCACTTTATCCGAGTTGCATATGCAAGGGCTAGATCCAAGGATATCATACCCAATACAGAAACCTAAATTAATATCAGTATATTAATATTATAATTAATATCAAATCAATATTAATATTCTTAATAGATAATATGATTAATATTTTATATATAAAATAAATTGTGTTCAAACCGCATAAAATTTTACCTTCAACCGCGGGTCACGTGAAAAATAATATTGCTCTGGTTCACTGGAAGGTTTTAAGCCACGTTTCATTAATATTATTGCACCTTCTCTAGTTATAGAACCACTATAAGCATCTTCAACAATGTTAAGAACTTCTTCATAACTATAGGATGGAATACTATCAGGCTTTAGTGACTCATATTTTAAAAATTTATCAATACTATCACCCGTTATAGCAGAACTCTTTGTTATGTCTTTTACGCTAGGGCTTGCAATATCTAAGCTTATCATGAAATCCACTTCATCAGGATAACATGCAGCATATAAAAATGATATTGCTCCTCCCAAGGAATGTCCAAGTAATCTCACCTATGACAATAATGTTTAATTATATATTAAGATATGCAATAACCACAATCCAATATGAGATTATAAATGCTTAATATTGATTAAATTATGTTAATATGCATAATGATACATATTCGTGCACTGTGCATTTTTATTTTTAAAATATATTTTTTACATGGTAAAAATGTGAGTAGTTAGTAAATATTTTCAAAGTTGACTGTTACATTTGTATAACAATAGTTTGTGGCATGATAGATTATACAACAATATTTAATTAAACTACAAATGGAGTGGTAAAATTTAATCCACTCGCTAACCTTCTTCCACTTGAAATATTTGGTAATTCTACGAAGTAGCATAATACCATCCCAGTAAACATAATAGTATTGACTTTTTGGATAATGTGAAGACAAACCATGACCAGGCATATCCAAACAAAGTACTGAAATCTCATCACATAATAAAGGAATCAAAGTGTCAAAACTGCCAGCATTATCTTGACGTCCATGCAGTGCCACTATTGGTTGGATCCCTTTGGGACCCCACCATTTGCCTGCAGGTAAGTGATTACTGTGTCATAATGAAATAGTTATTTAAAATAACGATTCAATTATTTTAAATGTATGAATATGCTAACATACATATCTCTTAAAAAGAAATATTTTTAAATGATAATTTTACTATGAAACAAAGTTGCAGCTGAACAATAAGAATATTTTGTCATCTTGAAGATATATACATGACCTATAGTTATACAACGATACTACATGATTTGTAATATATGATTTAAACCATGAGCATTAATAATTAAGTATGTAAAAAGTCAATATAAGTCTATAACAGTCAACCTTGCTTCAAATAATTTGTATAATTTTAATTTAATGATTATAGAGATAATAATATAATATAACAAGCTTTTTTGTAGCATGACAAAAATAATATTGAAGTATAAGTTTGTATACATTATAATAGAATTAAAAAATGAAATATGATGATTAATTAAACTGAATTTTTATATTAAAAAAATTAAAATTATTTAAAGATCGTTGTATAACTTGTAATTGCTAGCTAACCTTGTTCCAATTGTAATATTTAACAACTCTACGTAGAGTGATAAGTCCATCGCAAAATATATAATAAAATTGTCCGGCAGAAAGATGGCTGGATAAACCATGACCTGGTAAATCTAGAGCTAGAATGGCAACATTTGATGATAATAATGGAATTAATTTATCAAATGTTCCAGCATTATCTTGCCAGCCATGTATAGCCACTATTGGTTGTTGATCCACTGGTCCCCACCATTTGCCTAAATTTATTATTGTTGTACTATGATATTATTTAAATTATATCAGGGCAATAATTAAAGAAAAATTTCTTTATTTATATCTGTAATTATAATTAAAATTTAAAAAATGAAATCTTTACTGACCGCTTAAGTGACCCCATGGTACAGGTATCTGAATTTCTTCCACATCTGAAAATTTTAACACATTATAGTAATGCTTAATTAAAAATCTATGATGTACAAATATATAAACAAATAACATGCTAACTTACTATGTACTTTGTGTCCATTTATGTTTCCAGTAGAAGCACTGACTTTGTTAACTGTACTCATTTGGATAATAATGGAATACAAGAATACTAATAATTGTTCACAATTTGCAACAAATTATTTTGTTATATATGCTCAACGATAAACTCCACCTTCTGTGCAACTTTCGTAAGATATACGAAATTAATATTTGTGCTAAACAATATAAAAATGCCTGTCATTTGTCAAATTAAAGTATATACAGTTATATAAAATCATATCTTAAGATTTAAAATGTCACTTATTATCCTTTACCTATGCTTTTACTGAGTAATTATTTTTATAAAAACTGTATTAATAAAATAAAATTCGTTTAACTATTAACTATATATAAAATCTTTATGATTAGAATTAAAAATTCGGTGACTTTAAACTGTTGTCCATAGATCTTAGATGCCACTAAAATCTTAGATACCACTTTACTCTGAGTTTATATATTAGATAACACTTGATTTAAGATAATTTCAAAAATAGTTAATTGAAATAATAATGTATTGGAAGATGCATGTACAGTCACTCACAAAATTGAGTGTTCACCTAATTGGTAATGAATATAGGCGGGAAATGAATATAAACGTATATATTTAAAAGTAAAAATGCAATATATATTTTATTTGTATATTTTAATGCATAGTTCGTAAAAAAAATTTTAAACAATACGAATGATTTGCTTATATTCGACAAAAAATATAATTATTTTAAACTTGTTTTAATGACACAAAATAAAGCGTACACTTGATAAAACTATTTTACATAAAATTAATATTTCGCTGCGTAACCTTCCGCATCTATAATTTTTTCTAAGCGCTATGACTACAAAGTTTCTAGTTACGAATTTTGAAATATTATTCCGTATGTCTTATATTTTAATTTTGATATTTGCAATATTGTTTATTTTATAATTTTTATAAAATAAGCAATATTGCAGATGCCCGTTTTCATTATTGACATAGATGTATGTTTAATTTTATGAGTAACTGTATATAACAATTTTTGTGACGCTTTTCACTTACGGTATGGCTTATCAATGATTTCATAGATTCATGACAATTTATTATTTCAAAAGAAAGTACAGAATTAAGAAAAAAGACTTAAGGAATTAATATATTAAATAATTCTAGTAATGGTTCGACTAAAAATAAATTTTGCACTTAAATATGTCAACCTTTAAATATATACCAAAAGTAACGTGGCAAATGTGTTTCATTATTATTGTAATTTATAGGTTAATTCGCTTGTAAAATTGTATGACCTAGAAGATCGTTTTTTATTGTATATATTTTATAAAAATATTGAAATTATAATTACAAATTATTTTAGGTTGTTATTTTTTAAAGATTCTTTTTTATCATCTGACATTATTGAAATGGAAAACAAGGAGTATATAATAAAAAATGTGATTCACGCAGGAACAAAAACAATTAATTTTGTGCCTGGAACTAAAGTACGTATATATTTAAATTAGTATTTCAGTTGAATTAAGCATGAATTCTACCTTATGTTAATATATTAATGATTATAATCAGGAACATATTTCAATTTGTAGGTAATTTTTCATTTTAAAACAACAAAATGTGACCCAGAAAAGACATTAATAGATGATAGTAAAACAATGGGAAATCCAATGGAGCTTGTTTTAGGAAAAAAGTTCAAACTCGAAGTATGGGAAGTTATTGTACAAAAAATGGCATTAAATGAAGTGGCTTGTTTTAGAGTTAACAAAAGTGTATGTTTATAATATACTAAAAATATATTATAGTACATAGAACTTATATTTTAACAATATCTATTGTTTCAGCTAGTCACAGCATATCCCTTTGTATCTAAAACTTTAAGAGAAGTTGGAAAGCCACAATCAAAAAAACGTAGTCATCATTGTTGTGGTGTAACTTTGCAAAATGAAGGAATTGGCTATGATGATTTATATGAACTCATTAAGTATCCTCAAGATTTAGAATTTACAATTGGTAATCAGTTTGATATAATATTAACTTTTCTTTATACTTTATGTCTTAATTTTAAATGTTTTCATTTTCTAGAGCTTGTTAAAGTAATTTTGCCAGATGAATATGAAAAAGAATCATGGCAAATGACAGAAGATGAGAAATTAAAAAGTATTCCAAACATAAAAGAAAAAGGAAATTTATTATTTAAAGAAAAAAACTATGATAGTGCATGTGAGATATATGCAAAAGGCATTGGAATATTGGAACAACTTATGCTTGCGTTAGTATGCAGTATATTTATACATTATCATTACATTTCTTATTTCTCTTTTATATATTCGTTATTACCTTATGTAATTGATAGTGAAAAGCCAAATGAAGAAGAATGGTTAGCTTTAAATAATTTAAAAACTCCATTGCTTTTAAATTATGCACAATGTAAATTAATACAAAAGGAGTACTATTCAGTTATTGAACATTGTACTACAGTCCTTAAACATAATCCAGGTTTGTTACTTTGTGTATTGTTTATCATACAGCTATAAGAAACATGTGATTAATACATTTACTATTTCTAGATAATGTAAAAGCATTATATAAAAGAGGTAAAGCCTACATAGGTGCTTGGGATGAAGAAAAAGCTATTAAAGATCTAACAAGAGTAATTGAATTGGAACCTACATTACAAAACACAGTTGAAAAGCAATTACAGGAATTTTCTATAGCTATTAAGAAAAAAAATCAAATAGAAAAGAAAAAATTATCAAATTTATTTAAGTAAATATATATCAAATTATATAAATATATGTAAAAACATTGTACAAAAAATAATTCACAGTATAATTTTAATGTTTTAAAGTTTTAGTTTACCAACTCTTAAATGTGTGTATTTTTCAACAGAAAAAAGTTTTGTGATCACAATAATTAACAATCATTGTTATTTCCAATTAATGTACACATTCACAATATAATATATAAAATATGAATAATGATTGTATAACAAAATAAAAAGAACAAATTGTGATTTAAAGACACCATTTTTGCAACCTTTGCACATCATTCTACACTTTAGACGCGTAATATAGTGACATGTTTTATAATGAATCGATAATGTTGAGAATGACATTAATATGGTAAATAAGCTTTATAAACTACGAAGTGTACATAAAAATGCATTGAGTGATAGATTTATTTTGCACCTCGTCTGTGCTCGTGAAGTTATTTCGGAAATATTGAATATGATTATTACATTATATAATTGAACAATTTATCGATTTACTGGCGCTGTTGTATTTATTGATACTGAATCGATAACGTCACTTGTAATACGAAAATGGCAAGGAAGTCAGGTGACCAACAAAATCGTATAATAAAAAAGAGTATTGCTTGTGAAATCTATCCCATGTTTCGTCTGCGTTTATATCGTATCTGTAATAGGAAAAACTTTGTTGTTCCCAGTTGATAAATAATATTTTTTATTTCATCTTTTAAAATTTTATTTTTACGCCATCTGTAAACGTCTGTTCAGAAATAATTTGTTAATGAAGTCATGAATGTGACTGTTGATCGACAGAAAAGTACCATGTTTGACATATGGCACGATTTATTTTACTTTATTTTAATTAAGCTTAAAACATGGAATGTTTGATTTTTCTAAATATAAATTTGTGCAATTATTCTTAAGGTAATGGCATGATTTACTTACACATTACAAAACTGTTATCTGAACATGATACGAACCTAACCTGTTATACCATTGACTAACTTTAACATGTAAAATGATCTGTAAAAACAATTTGTAAATAAATTTTTCTTGTGTTTTACATTTCTTTTTGTTCTTAATTGTGTAACACATTGAATAAATTTTGAGATATTCTTTACAAGGAAAGGCATGAATTGTATTATCACAAGAGTTATATAAAATTCATCTAAGATGTGTCTTAAAATTCTTTTAAATAAGTTATTTCAGATTGATAGAATATAATATTTTATGTTTAAAATTTCTAGACCTAATAAATGAGAAGAATTATATAAAATGAAGCTTGTATCCAAGAATGTTGATAAAGATGGGAAAGGGTAAGTAAATTATTATTGCTAGTAGTAAAATGTAATAAGATTAAATAACAGAATTTCAAAGAAAAGAAACATTTATTAGGAGCGTATCCCTTGTCCCAGAAAATACAGAAGATATGTGGCATGCATATAATCTTATCACTGAAGGAGATTTTGTTAGTTGTTCTACCATTAGGTAAAAATTTTAATTTTAATTGTGTAATTAAATAAGTCTTGATATTTTATTTAATATAATTATATGATATAGGAAGGTGCAAATGGAATCTGCAACTGGTAGTTCCAATAATTATAGAGTCAGAACTAATCTGACTATATGCGTAGAGGGTATTGATTTTGATACACATGCATGTGTTTTAAGACTGAAAGGTAGAAATGTAGAAGAGAATAGATATGTTAAGGTAACTTAATCTACAATTATCCAAAAAATTATTAAGAATATGATTAATTTATAATTATTTTAGATGGGAGCATATCATACACTGGATGTAGAACAAAATAGAAAATTTAAAATTACTAAAGCTGAGTGGGATTCCATTTCTATGGAAAGAGTTGATACCGCATGTGATCCTACACAGGTAAAATTACAATAACAAGAATAAAGAAAACATTAAGTATTGAAGTCTAATAAAATAAGTTATTTCATTTCAGAATGCAGATGTTGCTGCTGTGGTAATGCAAGAGGGCATAGCACATATTTGCTTAATAACTTCCAATATGACAATAGTCCGTGCAAAAATAGACCAAGTTATTCCTAGGAAGAGGAAAGGAAATGTCTCTCAGCATGAAAAGGTTACATTTCAACTTGTTTTTAGACTAATTTTAACTAAATTTTCTCATTTGATAAATCTTTAGGGTTTGACAAGATTTTATGATAATATAATGCAAGGAATTCTGAGACACATAAATTTTGATATTGTAAAATGTATTATTCTTGCAAGTCCTGGTTTTGTCAAAGATCAGTTTATGGATTACATGATACAACAAGCCATTAAAACAGATATTAAATTAATATTAGAAAATAAAAGCAAATTTTTACTCGTGCATTCTAGTTCTGGTTTCAAACATTCATTGAAAGGTATCTAATTTTTAAAGTTAATAATTATAATGATGTACATTTTATAATTTATTTCTTGTAATAGAGATTTTAGCTGAACCTGCAGTAATTTCGCGAATTTCGGAAACGAAAGCGTCAGGTGAAGTGAAAGCTTTAGAAACATTTTATACAACACTACAGACTGATCCTTCCAGAGCATTCTATGGGAAAAAGCATATTGAAAAAGCTAATGAATCACAAGCTATTGAAACATTACTCATTTCAGATAAATTATTCAGGTACATAGTGAAATAATATTATTTTATGTAATAGATTAAATTCATATATTTACGATTGTAATAATTGTATCCAGATGTCAAGATGTTAGTGTAAGGAAAGAGTATGTTGAATTAGTTGAAAGTGTGAGAGATTCTGGTGGAGATGTAAAAATATTTTCGAGTTTGCATGTTTCAGGCGAACGTAAGTTTTCGAGACAGTTGTCTAAATTTTAAATTCTTCAAATTTTCGTATAATATTTTTAATACTATTATATATAATTAGTTAATTAATTAACTATACATTATAACTTTATATGTAGAATTAGAACAAGTTACTGGAATAGCAGCTATACTACGTTTTCCTATGCCAGAATTAGAAGATGAAAGTGATGGTGAAAGCGATTCAGACGAAGATGATTAAAAAGGTTAAAGAGATACGTCATTGTATAACTTTGTATATGTTTGTGCTGTGCGCAATCAAAAATACAATACAATAAAATATATTAATAATAAAAGTTGCAAATTAATATGATTTTCGTTATTTTTCTATGCTAGTGGTATTTTCAATCTTAAATATTGAAAAATGTTTTATCCCCCATCGTATGGTGGCGCTGTTTTATGTTTCTAAGTTCTTAAGCCTTCTGTTATTTTTTGTTGAGGGGCACGTGGTTCATGTTGTAATTTATTTCTTAAACGTTTATGTTGTTCTACATTTTTATCAGATAAAAGTAAGGTGCAAAATGGTTGTAATAGGAAAAAAGAAGGTATGTATTAAGATTATTTGCAATCTTCATGAAAATCATTTGTACAACTGTAATGTTTTAGGTTATCTTTTGAATAAAATAAAAAATTTGAAGTATACATATTTCTTAATCTTCTGTTTTTATTATTAAAAGAATTATTTTTATTTATATTTTAAATTTAGTATCAGTCTGGAGAAGGAGCACAGTTTATGTCGAGAAAAGCTGCCTTAAAAAAATTGCAGCTCACTTTAGTTGATTTCCGTAGACTATGTATATTAAAAGGTATATATCCAAGAGAACCACGTAATCGTAAAAGGGCACAAAAGGGAGAACCTGGTATCAAAATATTGTATCATAAGAAAGATATTCAATTTTTGATGCATGAACCAATAATATGGAAACTGAGAGATTTTAAGGTATGTTAAATTAATCAAGCGCTATACTATAAATCAGAGACTAAATATTGAAAAAAATGGTATTTTTTTTAGGTATTTAATAGGAAAGTTGGCAGAGCAAGAGCCTTGAGAGAATTTTCAGAGATGAAGAGATATTTAAATAATCATCCTACTTTGAAACTAGATCATATTGTTAAAGAACGTTACCCAACATTTATCGATGCACTTAGGGACTTGGATGATTGTTTGACTTTATGTTTCTTATTCAGTACCTTTCCATCACTTCATCATATACCCAGAGATCAGTCAGTACTGTGTAGGAGATTGACAATTGAATTTTTACATGTTATAATTGCTGCTAAAGCTTTGCGCAAAGTTTTTGTTTCTATCAAGGGATATTATTACCAAGCAGAAATTAAAGGACAAACAATAACTTGGATTGTACCACATCATTTCAGTTTTGAGCCTCAAACAAAGAATGATGTAGACTTTAAAATCATGTCTGTATTTGTAGAATTCTACATTGTGATGTTAGGTTTTGTTAATTATAGACTTTATCATACTCTTAATTTGTATTATCCTCCACAACTTACCAGTAGTGGTAAGATGATTTTTCTAAAACATTTTAACATAAATAATAGATTTTATTTTGGTACAATATACAATATAAATAAATATTCAATATGCAGATAACAGCGAAAAGATACTTGTGGATGAAGAGGTATATGTATCAGAAAGAGTAGCTGCATTGAATGTACCATTGGTAAATCTGGATCCTTCATTACAAAATGTAGAAGACGAAGAATTAGAGATGGATGAATTTGCAAATGTATGATCAAATTAAATTAATACTTCATTTAAATATATATATTTATATATGTATATATTAATATATATATTAATATATGACTGCTTATGTTAGGAAGGCGATGCAACAAAATTGGAAGAGGCTAGGATAGAAGTAGAAAAAGTTAAAAAGTTGAAAAAACTTTTTAAAGGTTTAAAAGTTTTTTTAAATAGGGAAGTACCGAGGGAGCCTCTAGTTTTTATTTTACGTTGTTTCGGAGCTGAAGTGTCTTGGGATAAATTACTCTTTGTTGGAGCAACATTTGACGAAAATGATGAAACAATAACACATCATATAGTGGACCGACCTAGTTTGACAAAACAGTATATTTCTAGGTATTGTACAGGAATCCTTTTTTTTGTTATAAAGCTTTTAATCAACATTATAATTATGTAATATTTTCATAGATATTATGTACAGCCACAGTGGATTTTCGATTCAGTGAATGCTAGAGAACTATTGCCTGTAGAAAAATACTTCATTGGTTGTGTACTTCCGCCACATCTATCGCCATTCTCGGATAGCCACCATGATCAGATATACATTCCACCGGAAGAGCATGCTCTTATGGATTCTGAATTTAGGCTTAACGATGGTACATATCCGTATTTTATGCAAATAACAATTATCGTAAACAATAAATAGTGAAAAATGAATTTTTTTTTATTTATTAGAAGAAGATTCCGGCGAAGAAGCAGAGGAGAACGAAGATGAAGAAAAAGAAGATGAGGTAAAGGAGAGAGTTTCAGAAGACGAAACTGAAGAGAGTAAAGAATCATCTGATATGAATAAGGCGGATACAACGATGAATGAGAAAGAACAGCAACGAGATCGATTAAGAAAGGTTGGTAATCTTCAAAAACACATATTTTTGTGATATCTTTTATTTTAATATTTATATATTTTTCTATATATCTACTTATAGAAAATGAAAGTTAAAACTGGAGAAGTAACGAAGGAAGATCCATTTGAGAAGAAACGACAGGAGAGGCAAGAGTATCGACTACGAGAACGAATGATAAAAAAGAAACATCGCAACTTATACAGGAGCATGATGGAAGGACGCAAGCAAAGAGCCAAGGAAGTATGGCTTCTTCGTAAGAAGAGACGGTTGCACGACGCTACTGAGAAACAAAAACGTAAAGAGGAACGTAAAGAGAAAAAGCTAAAATCGCTGAATAAAAATGAATAAAAAGAAAAAGCTAGTAATATAAATTTAATATTTCATCTACCCTGGTTGTACATACTCGATAATCGTAAACTTGAACTACTATACCATATCATATTTTTTATATTATATTATCCTTCTCCTCCTTTTTTATGTTGTACCTAAATGATTTCGTTTGTAAATTTGCGGCGATTCGACAGGAAAACGCAATGACTTTCTCGATAATCGTGGGTACAGTTATGCGTAATGGAGAGATGAATATAATCCAGTCCTCCCACTTACCGGAAGCCCACGCATGCGACGATCCTGGTCCCTACTTTTCCACCGAAGGACTTTGAAGGCCATCACTTTGACTACCCACGCTAGCCTACGCAATCCCGAGCACCGTATATGTGTGTACATGCTTATGAAAGTTATTCCTCGCGATGGCCCTCTCGGCTCGATGTTCACGTACAAAAAATTCTGCACGTTCGACATTGCTCCATTAATAGCATTACCCGAAAGGTCGTACATTGATCTCGAACAGTTCGATCGTGAGTCCACACGGTGTTACAGGTTCGTTTTCGGTCATTCGATCGTTAATGCGTCTTTGATTACTTCCGTGACTTTCGCTAGACGAATTAACATTGAAGGACGAATCCATTTAGCAGCGAATAAATTACCGTCGATGCATCCGGTCACTTTGCGTACTATGTTCGTGAGTCACCTTGAATCGAACATTGGAATCGCGAGAACGAGATATCCATGGGCGGGCTATATTTGTGACTTTGTAACTTCGCGATTCTCTTTTTGACATAGTTATGCGAGGAGAAACTTGGAGTATTCGTGGGCGATGTTTGAATTTGGCTTAAAGATTTTTGCTTAACGATCACGCCGTCTCAATCATAAAAGCAAAAGTGTACATCAAATATCTCATGCAGCGAAAGTGTACGTCTCGTTATTCGCTGGTTTTGTGCACGTTGGATATCACGTTTTATCAATCTATCATCGGTACAATTTTAATTCTCATTCAATGCACGAACCTATCTATTTGCAATGCCGATTGACAACGATGCTGTAACGATGTCAATCGTGCTAGTAAATCGTCCAAAGAACAAAGCAACGTTCTAGTACACCAGTATCGAAGGCGATGGAAAATTATGGGAAATTAAGCGAGAGGGAGTAAAACGTAACCGTTTCTACGTAAATCGGCTCGAACTCGAGTAACTTGTTTCCTTTCGACAAATCATTTCCCGCTCAAACGATCGACAGATCGCCGTGTCTTACATAAAAAACCGCCAGTTCCGTTTCTTTCGCAAGGACGATGATTGACTAACATCTATTTCTGAAAAATCGGTTAGAAACATTTTCCTCTTGTCCGATATATGCACGTTTCTTGCGAGAACACGGTGTTCTGGTCTTTGGAACGACTTCTCGTCGATTTCTTCGGCTATTTGCAGTGGTGACTGAACCGATGTGTCGCGACACTGGCGTCTGTGAAGTCACCAACACTCGGTCCGATTCAGGTGTGCGAAGCCGTGTGCACATTGGGTGCTTACGTCACCCTTGCTATTCCTGTTCCAGCCCATCTCCATTCCGAGTATCCTTAAAACGAACATCCCTAGAACCTGCAGCGCGATCTAATAACATCCTAATCTCGTTGACCTCGGCTTCCTGCGACCACGATCGTACTGCTCCGCTTCCTCGAATCTTTCCATTCTCTCTTCTCTTCTAACCCTAAAATCTATAATAAAAAATCAATAAACGCTGGACATTTGAATCCAGGAAAACTGGAAGAATTCGATAATCGAGGGAATTTAATAGCGGACATACATACGTGCGATAAATTTATACGAATTCGTTAACGAAAATTCTGTTATTGCGATCCTTCGGTTTAGGTTAAGTTCGACTGGATTTTTCATGGACTATTATTTCCGTCTGCATACCGATGATGTTTGCCAATTTGTTTTATAGTTTGCATATTCGAAGATGTCCTTTCTCGAGCGCGAGAGAAGGTGTAATATAAAAGAAGGATACGGGACAGGGTTATGTTCCGCGGTGAAGGTTCCAGCAGGCGGAATTTCACGCTGGTTCCTGGTCGTTTTTTCCTCGAGATATCGATGCTCGATTTGGTGCGAAAGACGGAGGTGACTGCGTGGGACGTGCGTGCGAGAACATTGGGATTGCCAAGATGGCTGGTGGTAAGGCACCCGACTGCCAAGTACTTTCGGCCATTTTTTCGAGTGCGTTCCGAAATCGATAGAACTCGAGGGGAGCGTTCGCCGCGGGAGTTTAAACGCCGACATATTTAAATTACGGATAACCCAGAGCGCGGGAAATAAAAGAGGGCGGCGTTATAGTCGTTTATCCTGTCATCGTAAATTATAGGCGTTGGAGGGAATAAAAACGGTAAAGACGTGTTCTTGTGATTACCGTTAACGAATCGCCACGAGCCTTCGCAGATACAATGTTTCAAATGGTTGCACAGGCGTGTAATTAATCGAGGATGCAAAGCAAACATGAAAGCTGCCATAATCTCGCCTGTATTGACATGCGGAATCGATGGAGAAAGAACGGCCTTGAGTTTCATCAGATCCTCGAGTAATTACAGTGTAGCGTTTCGCGGGGGTTCCCCATCGGCGAGGAAGGAGAGGCGGATTCCGTTTTCGCGAGACGAGCACAGTGGATCGTTACCGCTTGGAGAAAAAAGTATAATAAATGACGAAGGATGCCTCTCGAACGAGCCGGCGAATAATTATATAATCAAGGTTATTACGGCATTAGATAATCGATGCACGACGACGATAAAGACGCAGCAGCGTCCCAGAGGCGAAATATATGAAAGAATGGCCTTCGAAGATTTCCCGAAGATAGCCGATTTATAATATCACGGTGGAAACTTATTCTATGCAAAATATATTCCAGCCGAATGCACTTTTACCCGTTTAATTGTTCCACGGTCGGTCGTTCGCCTTCGACGATGATTAACCACGGTGATTTCAATGCTGGCATAGGCGATGCGTCTGCTCGGGGAGGTCTCGGACGGGCTCCACTTTTCATCCTGCTACGACGTTGGCGTGAAGAAAACTTCGATCACGTTTATTAAACTCGCAACGGATGAAAAAGTCTCATTAATAATGTTTAAGATCGCGTGACGATGCGTTCTCATTCTAATAAATGCTCCACGAGCCTCTTCGGCCAGCGAGGAGAAGCTGGCTCGCAAGAAAGCCGTTCGCGGAAGCAATAATTTCACTAAACGGACGTTGAGACTGGAACACGAGGGAAGTTATATATCGACGAGATAATTGAATGTAATCAGAGAAAGAATATTCCATTCGACGGAAAATTATCGTCGAACAAATATCATTAATCGGTAGTCAGCAATCGTTACGACTCTAACCTACTCTTCGCATTCGAGGTGAACGTTCGCAGAACGAAAATCGCGTGCGATGCCAGCCAATCTCGTCTTTCTTTGAGCATCCAATCAGCCCGGCAGATTAGCTATTTCGATCGGTTGCGGCGCGAATCGGCGTGAATCGGCGCCAATCGGCGCGCCGATAAATCAGCCGCGACGCTGTTGTTGGACGCGACGCTCGATCGCGAAGCGGGAAACGCGTCGATTATCGTGACCTCCGGCTAACCCAGGCATTCCTCTTGCGCGACGGAAAATCGCGCGCGCGTTATCGTGTGTCGTCGGCGAAGCGTGCGCGATTGCATTGTGACGTAACACGCGCGATGATTCAATGGAACGGCGATCATTCACGTCGCCTGGCGACACGTGCCTGGCTCGTTTGCAAATTGGTCAATTACCGTCGACCACCGACGATATCGGCCGGTATTTTAATCGAACGCTATACCCAGCCGCCCCGTCTTTTAGCCTAAGCGGAGGGTTGAACGCGGAGCAACCTGTAGAACGGGTATCCCGCGTTTTTCCGTGAAATTGAAATACCTCGGTGGTAGGGCTTTTTCTAAGTAAAATTACCCATTACCGTGCATCAACGTCCGCTTCGCTGAAACAACCGATAATCGAGCGTTAAATCGAGGAAATTCACGCGCTGGGAAACGGCTACTCTGTTAGTCCAGGCTGATCGGACGGGATGTTCCCTTTCTTTCGTGGGAGAAATTTGATTTCGATTAAGACAGAGGAGAGAGAGAGGGTGAAAAAGGAAGCGAGGAAGGGTGGTAGCCGAGCTGCTTAACCGGAGCGAAGAAAGATCTTAAAGGGACGGGTATTTATTACGGAAGAGCCTGACTCCGGAGAACGGTGTCAGCGTTCATTCTCGTCATCCCGGGGTGCCGTGAGCGTGTCCGTAAAAATGTACAAGATGTTCAAAGGGGGACTAATTACAAGGTGGTTTGCGTGGCGGACGGCCGAGCTTTTGAAATTTGATCGAGCAACCGATCAGCTCTCCCCTGGCCTGGCGACCAAGTTATCCGCAGTTGGCCAGGCGGATGACGCATCGTCGAAAAGAATACGAAATGAACGCGTGCCCCAACGAACCCGTTACCCATACCACGAACTCGAGCTGAGGTATAAGGTGTGCTTTCGAGGTATGCCTGAGATCAGGAGATTCCGCTTGGAAAATAACGCCACCAGCCCCATATTTCTCTCGTTACAGATTCCCACCCGAGGAGCAGAACCCTGGGGACAAATTTTTCAACGCGACTGAAAATCGTTCCATCGAGCGAGTTGTCGATCTCTCGATCGTTCGGACGCATCTCGATCGAAAGGAGTACGGACGGTGGACTTTCTCGGGGGCCCGAGAGCCCGTCCAGCCACGCAGCCATGAATCGCGGTTAACGTAATCACTCGACGTTGCGCAAGATCGTTTGGACCGAGGTAGCTATAAACAATGAGATCTCGCGAAAGCAAAGGTTTACCCTTTTATAATCGGGCCGAGGATCGTCCGATATCTTCGGGGAGGATCGTCGGTTGGATTCACGGAAGCCGAGATCTGCCTCGACCGGGTCTCATGGATCGTTGCCCGATGCTTCAAAAGATTGCATCGTGCCTCACGGATCGTTGCTCCGATCCGCGGAAGGAA